ATCGTTGCGATTTGGGATTTCCACCCTTAAGGTGGCGGCAAGTCGTTGAGTTCGTAATGACCGATCAATTTGTACTATCCGATATTCAACGGATAAGGCGAATGATATAGGAGAACTTGAATTCAACTGCGGAGCTAAATTCAATGTTTCATAAACAATTGACCTCTCGGGTGCCATTCTCACACCCCCTTAAGGTGGAGTTGCCTCATGTATGGATCGACGCGGCGTTAACCCTTTCTTACGTGTCCTATGAATGGGTGGGTGAAGGGGGTTATGGTGATAACACCGCTCGATATCCGCGTTTCCGGTCCCCGGGGGGGGTGGGACATTACCAGAAAAATATTCCGAGTGCAAATATTTATTTTACGAGGGGGCCACCCCCGCGGGGCTTTACGCGGTCCATGCACCCCTAAGGCAGTAAAACTGGGGAGGAGTTGGCAAGGATTTCGGGAGGTTTTACAGGGCCGTAAAGGCGAAGCCCCCCCCCCCGCTCCCCCCCAAGGCGCAGGATCCCGTAAACCGGGGCGAATTAATAAAAGGGGGTTGGCAAAAAAATCTGGAGAACTCTAGGGGTGAAGTGGGGATTTCTCCGGCGGGAATTCAACAGGGAGGATTTCCGAAGAAAGGCTTCTGGGAGGAGATCCCCCCGGGGGGGGAGAGACCCCACGGGTCCGCAAGAATCCACTTCACCCCTTCCGGTTCCGGCGCCCTCTATAGGGGATGTTTGCAATGCCGACCGAGCTGGCTCCACTTGACATCGGTCCTCCCCGAGGAGAGTCGAGATATCCTCTCTCCACCCCTAGAGCGGATCGTCCCTTTATTTACCCTCTGCACAACCCCCACACCCCTATCACGCCACCCTTAGGGTAAAGGGTGAAGGGTGAAACTAAGAGGGGCGTTCGGACCCTGCAGCGACCTCTTGAGCGCCTCTCGTTTCGGAGATAACAGGACGGATCGAAACCCACCCCCTGATTTGGGGTGGTGGTTGGTACAGAGGGAAAATGAATCCCACGGGAATTTTCACCCACCCTTTTTCGAGACTCCTTGGAGTACAATCAACGGACGTTCCACCCCTTTCTAACCCAATGACTCGTCGGAGGAGGGGTTGATATTTCGGAGTGGTTCTGCCCTTTGAAAGCCATAGTCCCGTAGTGGGGGTGAGAATGAATTCCACGGAGATTCCCTCGCTTTTTCGAGGCTCCTTGGACCGAGTCGACCCCTTTCCATCCCCTCTGATCCGGCTCGTCAGAGCCGGGGGGTGGTACTTGGGGGGTGGTTCGGCACTTTGAAAATTAATTACCTAGTCGTTGAAGGCATTAGGGTGCATCCCCCGGGAGTACCCTCCACCCCTTCCGGGCCGGCAGCTCGGCTGATTTCGCGGGGGCAGAGGGAGGGAGTGAGGGGGGGCGAAAGTAACCCTTTGAAGTCGGCCGCCCTTGCACTAGGGGCTGGGAACCACCCTCGGCCGCGGCGCCTCCGTGGAGACAACGGCGCTATCTCTCTATCAGCGATCGATATATCCCGGCTGAGCGCGAAAACACCCCCGCGCACCCCCGCACCCCTTTGCGAGTGCGTTATCGCCTAGGGGCTGCGTTCTCACCCCCCCGACTTCAGTGCGACTCTCCGGGGGACGTGTTTTACCTGCCTTTTTGAATAAACGGCCGATTCATCCCCGGGAGTGATTCGCAACCCCCGACTCGGAAGGGATGCTGGGGCGGAACGGCCCATTCGAACCCCCTCGTCCGGAGGAAGTTCCACGGCGAATTTCGAAAAGCACTCCCCACGCTCCCATGATTCGCCATGACACCCCCACCCCCCGAGCGAAGTCAGGGAATTGTTCCTTTAATAAGCGAAAAGTCGCGTCCGGCAGCTAAAACCACCCCTAGAAGCCCTGGAATAAGGGATCAGAAGAGTTCTACTCCCCAGGGGTGGGCCTTCTACTTCCCTGATAAGTCACCGCCGTGAAATTGGGCGCGACTCCCCTCCTCGATTAAAAATCGATACCACCCTCCGTGACGAAGTCAGGGGTGGTTTCTCCAAAGAGCAAAAAGTTTCGCCCGAAGGCTAAAACCTCCCCTGGAAGTCCTGAAAAATGGAGTCCAGGAAACTTCACCTCCCTAGGGGTGGACTTACTGCCATTTTCCCTGCCAAGTCACCCCCGAGGAATTTCTCCCGACTCACCCCCTCTGACATAACGAGGTGTACTCATCACCCCCTCCCATTACCATGGAAAGGCTCGAGAGCCAATTAGAAATCGCTCCTGCCAACCCTTCGATAGATTCCAATTACCACCCCCGCCCTTTGTCGCCTCCTCCCACCCACCCCTTCTTCCCTCCCTTCGGTCCATTTTCAAAAATCCTCGGCTTATAAAAAAAAAAAAACCCGCAGAAATTTAAGGCGAGTGGAGACGCCCCACACCTTCCAGAGAAAAGTCCCTCCCCCAGTGTCGGGGGGGGGGCTTTCAACCCCTTCGTTACGGCGCATCTTGCCGGCCAAGTGGTCGCGGCCTCAGCCAGCAGACGAGGTCGCATCTCCGCTATCTCCAGCCCCCTTATCACTCCCAGAAGCCCGAGCGATCTGCAGCAGTTGCACTTGCACCCCCACAACGAAAGGGGGAGGATTCACCCCTTCATCCAGAAATTACGATTCTTCTCTGCATATCCATTACCACTCCATCTCTCTAACCGACCGATCTCGAGATAATGAAGGATGATCGATATCGCTCGATGACACCCCCAGACCCCCACCCCCTACCCACCCCCCTCCCACCTTGGCTCGCCATTTCGTCGTTATATTGCTATTCCACCGGCTTTCCCGGCTAAACGTGAGCCAATTAAAGGGCTACGTGAGCGCACCGACTCGCCGACTTGCGCGGCTCGTTTTTCATCCCACCCCCTCTCTCCCGGGGGGGGTGTAACTACCCTCGCCCCCGACCATTTTTAATACCCACCGTTTACAGAATTTCCTATTCGAGCCCCGTCACGGATCGATCATCCCCGTTTTCGCTTTCGAAACGTCTCCTCTTCCGTAGCAATTTTCCGCCAATTTCCCCGTCGCGGGCGGGGGTGGCGTGAGGGGGAGGGGGCCACAGCGTGCCTAGATTTTCCTTTTTAACAAAACGAGGATGGAGGGAGGGACGTCTAGCGAAACGAGAAAATCTTGGAGGGAACGTCGGAAAAGTCTGTAATGAAACATGTCGAGGCCCGTGATGCGGTTTCGGGGGGGAGGTAAGAGGGAGGGGGTGCATTGGGGGAAGTCCTCCTCGCAGAATACCTCCCGGAAAGTCGAGGGGTCCACGGCGGAAGGGTCGAATGGCTCCGAGGAAATCGCGAAACACTCCTGGGAGCGTCCCGGGGGTGGTTGGGGCCAAGGGTGGGTTCGGGGAAATTCGTCGGGAAAAACTCCGCATTGAGGGAAACTCGTACCGAGTGCTTCCCGATATTCGTGGAGTCCCTGGTCGAGCAACCCTCGGGAGGCACCAAGAAGATCGCGCACCCCCCCGTCGAGATGAAGTCGCCCCCAAGGGTGAAATCTCCGATTTTTGGGAGGGGGCGCTTAGTCGCCTCCCCCTCTCTTGCAATCCACCATGTAAACTCCCTGGGAATAGTTGTTGTTCTTATTTCTAATCGATCCTTATCGCCCCCCTTGATAACCGGGCTTATCAACCCCCGGATATCAGGTGCCTCTTGGGGGTGGGAAATGGCAGTCGCGATTTCTAACCCGGAGGGGGGGGCAATCTCAACCCCTCGATTCAGGGAAACGTAATCGAGACTCAATCGAGGGGGTGGTCGGAAATCTGTTTCGAAATTTGTCGCCATGACGGCCGACTCGAGATTGCCAATAAACCCTACTTTCATCCCTCCCCCCCAGGGGTGAGTTCCCTCATCAGTTTTCCACCCCTTTTCTCCCTCCCGGGGTTAAAATCCACTCCTGAGATTTTTTAGGGACCTCGACGTCCTCTTGGGGGTTGTAATCGAGGTTTTGCGAAGGGGTGGTGCTTCTGCCACTCGAGTGGAATTTCCGGATCTGTTTATAAAAAATTTTTTTTTCTCACTATTTTGGCTCTAATTTTTCTCGAAAATCCCCGGAAAAGGAAAAATCGGAGCCGATCTGCCCGGGGAGGATTCGATTACTCGCGGTCTAGTTTGTAACAAAGGGCGCCTCGAGCGATTTTCGACTCCCGGCTCTTTCCTCCATTCTCTTGCGTCTCGATTCGCCACATTTATCCCTCTTTCCCGGGGCTTTTCCCGCCCCCTTCGCCCGCCGACTCGATTGCCCAGATTTTCCGGAGTTTTTATATTTCGAGCCGGCCCTTTGCGATTTTTTCTTCTTTTTTCTTTCACCCGGGGTATTGGTCGATCGGGAAAAAATTATCGGAAACCCCCGAGGGGCGCGTCGACACGACGGAACCTCCGGGAAAAATTTCCCTAGAAATATCGAATAGGGATTTCGCTTCGTTTCCAGATTTTCCACGCCCTTAAGGTGATATTAAAGAGTCAGCCTATAAATATATATGTAGAAATAAATTTCAATTTATCGACGTCGATTAAATTTCTCAGCGGCTTTAATATCATCTTTAACAAGAGAGAGAGAAAAAAGGGAGGATAACAAAGGAACCGCAAAAGAGAAAAAAGCATCCCTGAAAGCAACCCTTGAATCCCTCTCCGGGGGAAACGATGCGCGTGACATCGCGCGATTTGTCGCGCTTAGGGGTTGAAAAAAGGGGTGGAGGGCTTGAAAGAGGAGAAAAAGAAACAGGGTGTCGCGACGCGGGAAGGGCTCAAAGCGGCCTGAAATTATTCCGGGAAGTAAAGTGACAAAAACGCGTGGAGGCGCTGCGGTCGACACAACACACCCCCTCGAATCGATACGCGGGGGTTTGCGGGGTCTCCGGTGTGATTAAGGGAAATAAGGGGGAGGGCAACGATAAACCCGGGAATATTAATACAAATAGTAAAGCGTCGGGAGACATTAATCTAAGTGATCTCTTTCGGTTTCAGGCTCCCTGATGGAGTACGAGTGCTCGAGCATCGACTATTTCCCGAACGAGGAGTACAGCCCCGACCCCAGCGACTCCACCATGGCGATCCCATGTGAGTAGAGTACAAGAAATCCACTAATTTGTGTGTATTGGGGTGGAGAGGGGAGGAAAAAATGGGGAAAATTGTAAAAAAAAGGAACAACCGAGGGAATCGCGGTTTTCCACCCCCAATGAGGCGGGGGCGTCCCTCCCCCCGGGGGTGGGACGCGACACGTGCTTCCTTTCCTCGTGGGGGTGGGTGACCAAAGGGTTAAGTGGACCGAAGTTTGCCGGCCTGATTGGACAATGTCCGAGCAAACGAGCCCAGACCGCCGGGGCGTTATCGGGGGAGGCGATTAGGTCGAGCGCTTATCACCCCTCCCCCTCCTTGGTGGATCGCTCTGCTCCTTATCAGAGTCGATCGCGTCCTAACGGTTCCTCTCGACCCCTCGAAAAGGACACTCGGAGGCCCTACGGTCTTATCAGGGTGCTTTATCAGAGCCCTGCGCCCTAATTCCCGAAGAGTATTCCCGGGGTTGGCCACTCCACCCTGAAGGGGTGGAGGGTGGACGTCTGCGCTCGCATAACTTAACCTGGGAATGAGGGGGGGCTGCAGACGTCGATCGACCCCCTCGAAGCCCCTTTTATCACATTATCCCGACTTTTCACCTCCCCCTCGGTTTTCTTCCCCTTATCGCGCTTATCGTTTCTATCAGACCCCCGACTTTAGCCTACTAATCGCGGTTTTATCGGCACGCGGGGATCGATCCCACGTAGATGCACCTCGGGACGCGGATTCGAAGGCACGTACGAGGCCGCACGCGCGATTAAGCCGCGACAGTTTCCCCGGCGTGAATAATTCGCGGTGGCGGGGTCTCTCTCGCACCAACGGGCCGGCCCCTCGCTCTGTCTTTCTCGCACTCACGGGGGACGGTACCCCGCGGCTCTACGGATGGCGGACGGGGGAGGCGGCTTAATAAAAGCACGGAGTCGCCGAAAAGCGGCGTTATACACACATACACGTTATGTACATACATCTATATATACGTTATATACCCGGAAATATGAATACACGAGTACATGGATTTATCTATGTGTACATGCACCCGTGCATCGTCCGATATTTACGACCGGAATGGTCGGCGAAACTGGAGCGATAGCGGAGTATCGAGGGGGTCCTTGCTGTTCCTGGAGTGATAACCACTCCCTTATCATGCAGTATATAATCGGAGGATTTTTCTTTTTTATTTAATTCTAGATGCTGTTACCAAATCCGCCATGTTCTTCTTCGGGGCCACATTGTTGCTGGTCGTGGCTGAGGTCTGCTACTTTGCCGCCCACGTGGCTCACCCCAAACACCGACTTTGCGTCTTCGTTGCGGGGGTGGTCTTCATCGTTTCAGGTGAGCGATCCCTTATCACCTGATAAGTCACACCTGATATGTCACATGTCTCGTGACACGTGGTTAACATCTTTCCAGGGTTGCTCATGCTCGTGGGCATGGTCATGTACATATCCGTGTTCAAGGCCGAGGTCGGCAGCAAGCTGAGGCCCAGGTCGTCCTTCCAGGTGGGTACTGATAAGCCCTGATTAGGAGGAGGGATTACACCTCTCTCTTCCAGGGTCCACCGTTCATCTATCGGTATGGGTTCTCCTTTCTCCTATACGTCAGCGGGTTCATCACCATCGAGGTCGCAGGGACTTCCGCCATCTTTCTGTACATATCCTGGCACCAGCAGGAACTGGTCCAGGAGGCGTCGCGACGCAAGAGCTACAGGGTACGGCGGTATTCTTTTTTCTATCTCGATGTACTACCTCCGAATAGAGGGTACTGATTAAGATATTGAGCAGGGTGTGTACCACCTGGAGAACCACGTCAACCACTCCCACGGGAGCTTCCTCTGCGAGCGCCACCAGAAGAGATACTTCTTCGGGAGGGACTCGGTCGACCACGTGGACTTTGACGAGTTCCTGCCCCCTCCTCCTAGCCTGGACTACCAGGAGTACCCTCGACAGTTCCCGAGGGACCTGACCAATCAGACGGTACGGCGTTAAGAAAAAAAGAAATAGTTCTATCACTTTTCCTATATTTTTTTTAAACATTTCAAACTTAAATCTTTACGTTCTCCAGGTGAGCACCACCGCCGACGTCCTGCAGGAAGAGTATAGTCCCAGCATCCAGCACGAATTCGTGACTTTCGACCTCGAAGAGCCCGTGCCCCCGCCCCCGCCCCTGCGGACAGGTGACTGGACGATGGACGCCCTGAGGAGGACGACCCCCGTCTGATACAGCGTTAGGTACTTTCAAGGACCTTCCTTAAAAAAAAAAAAAAAGATAGGAAAGGTCGCACTAGTACTTCAACATTGTACTTCAACTTCAACCTTTCTTCAAGGTACGCGAGGCTGGTGCAGAGGCTCGAGAGCGACGCGAGCGAGGACGAGAAGTCTGAAGATCCTGAAGATCCTGAAGATCCTGGAAATCTCGAAGACCCCGACCAAGGGTTCGGGGAGGAGGAAAGGATCATCAAGGACCAGCCTTGAAGACGGAGATCTATGCACTTCCTGATAAGGAAAGGCGAATCGACGTCGCTCTTCAGGGACGAGGAGGACCCTGGAGGACTTCTCAGGACTAAGTGATAAGGACTCTTAAAAGAGGGTTTAGGTAGTTTATCGAAAATTACCGCGTCTCGCCGACGGAAATGGACGCCTCGGTGCCGAATCTCCTGCCGGGGGTTATCAGAGCCAATCGACTGCCGATAAGGACGATCGGTCCTCGTAAGGACGATTTTCCAGGAACTTTGGGAATTAATTGATAATTCGGCGTTTCGCTGAGATAATGGACGACTTCGTGCCGAATCTCCTGCCGGGGGTTATCAATGTTTAATGATCGATCGATCGCTGATAAGGACGATCGGTCCTCGTAAGGACGATTTTTCAGGAACTTTCGGATGTAATCAGCCAAAGCCGAGTGACAAAAGCCCGGGACGTGTCTTGTCCACGTGTCAATGGTTCATAAAATTATTAACAAAGGGAATTAACACGGAAGAGATAACAAAGAGGTCGCGTTTATTAGAATATGGCGAAAGATTCAGATCCGCCATTTTTCCCGGTTTTTACGCTAGGTATGAAATTGGCGTACGCAAGTCAAACTAGAGAAATGTTATTGCAAATTTTGTAAATTAATCCTAAGTGGACTTGGGTAACTCCGTATGGCGGGATTATTGCGGAAAAAGTAACTTTATTATTTACACGATAAATGTCTTTTGAGCGAATAGGCTCGCCACCGTTGAGAAGAGGAGACGCGAGATTCCCATATACTTTCTATACGTNTATATAAATTTTGTAAAGTCGACTCACGGCAAAGGTAGAGAGGTCGACGCGTTCCTTAAGAGATAAGAGGTATAAAAATTTGGAAAAAGTCCTCGCCGACAATCCATATTAACAATTGCACCGTTAATGCACGATCGCCCGACGTCTGGCTAATCACGTAATTTTCTACTCGAAACCTGCACTGCCCCTTAATCAGCGTTACTGTAAATTCGAATCTGCACGAAGAAAAAAAAAAAAAAATAGGTTCACTTAACAAAATTCAAGTTCATTTAAAGGAAAGAAAAAAAATTACCTTAAGTAATTAAATTTCATCACCGGACCAAATTTCTTTGCGCCAATCGACTGAACTGTTTCAAATGAACGGATTTGTCAATTTGAGAAAACATTTCAGGGAATAAACCGAATATTTTGGTTAAACATAACGAATTACTTTAACACTTGGTGTAATGAGACATTTGCTTCTCGTAAACCATATTCAATGGCTAATCCAGGAAAGATTGTATCGATGAACCGAATATTTTTCTCTGTGCGAGAATTCCGAAAAAAATAAAATAAAATAAACTTTGTAAGAAATGACAAAAGAGAGAGAGAGAGAGAAATATGAAAAGAATGAACGTCCTTGCGAATGACGTCACTGAAAGTTAAATGGAGCCGGACACCATCTAAGCATGTAATTAAGCCGATTAAATAAAATAAAAAATTATTCTCCTGTGTACCTCGGCCTTAGCCTATGTACACGAGTATTATCAGTGACAACGCTTATCAGTAGGGCTCCGAAAAATGTCTCGGCGATCGACCATCGAAATCCATCCACTCTCTCAATAGTTCATTCATTTTCTAATCCCTCCAAAAGATTTTCCGAAAATCTCCGGGAAATCCCTGGAAATATTAAACGCCTAAGTAGAAAGGATTTTAATTAAACACTAAGATATCGATAAAATTAGCGGCAAGGGTCGACTTTTTTTTTTTTTCTTCGCCTCCTTATGCGACAAGATTATCCGTCCATTTTCGAGATAATGATCTTTTTTCTTTCCTTTTGTAAAAAAAAGAAGACACTCATCAAATGACGATTTCCCCAAAATCAGTCGCTCTTATCAAAGGACGGCCTTGCTCTTTCCGAGGCAGTCGATAAGGTAGAAAATGTCCCGGCCCCTGATTTTTTAAAGGCACCTGCGTTACCGCCACCTCTTATCAGAGCGGATTGATAACGTTAGAAGGGGTGAAAAGACGATGAGAAAAATGACTATTCGATAATTGGTCGAAGGCTGGCACGATTAGAGGCAAATTCCGATAAGAAGAGACCCGCGAAGATCTCTGGGCGAATTTAATTTCGCCGAGGTGCGCGAATGTGATAACGTGATAAGAAGAGAAGAGGGGAATAGTCTTAACGACCTATTATCGTCGGCTCGTCCGCCATGGCGATTTCTTCGGTCGGTGCTCTGTCCCTCTTTCGCTTTTTCGAGAAGATCATGAAAGCGCAGCCTGATATCAGCACCCCGATAAAGACGAACCACGCCAAAATCAGGGAATAGTCGTAGGTCATTATCGCATCAGGGGATGACTGTCTTGTGCACCTGTCGCTCTCGTACTCGGCAGCTGATAAGAGCACCTGTATCACCACCATCACGCAGGCGGCTGCAAATGACAATCGAGACATGAAAAAGAGGTCTTATCAAAAAAGGCTTATCATAAGAAGCAGTCAAAATAAACATATAAGGACTAATCAGTCTAGGTTAGAATGGGTTATCCTGAAAAATTAGAGAAGCTTTTCCCCTGAAAGCTCGCATAAAAACGGCTTGAAAAGTCTTACAGGAAATCATGATAAGGCTGGACCTCAGAATTCAGAATGCAACTATCAAGAATGCTTATCATGGGAGTAGAGAGTATACATTATCACTTGCTGGCGCCCTTATCAGGAATTACTCACCGCCGATGAAGTGAATACCCCCAGCGAGCCTCTTGAACATGTATCGAGGATTCCGGAAGGTGTAAATCGAGAATCCAAAGCCCATGAGCATGATCGCCATGCTCATAACCGCAAAGGAGCCCTGGGTCCTCGAGTAGTCTAAAATGAATTTTTTTTCCTTCGGATAACCCTTATCAAAAATTCTCAAAAAAATCATGCAGATTCATGAGGAGCTGTAATTCTAGTGGGAATTTTTTCTGGAGACTTACTCAACACCGTCTGGTCGAGGTCCACGTTTTGCTTGGCGGGGGTCTCCGCGGGGAACATGTTGTGGAACTTGCAGATCACTGAAAGTCGAATTTCCCTCCATCAATTCTCGGCACAGGGCAATTTCGGGTTATTCGAGCTACGAGAGGGGAGAGCTTCGGAGGATTTACGAGACACGAGGTAAACCTCGTGTAAGCGGGGAAATAAAATAAGCAGCCGGCCGGAAATAAATCCGCGCCTACGGAGTCATCGAGTAATAGTCGGCCCGGCTTCGGGGACATTTACCAAATCAATCGAAACCAAGTCAATCGACATCGGCCAGGGACAATTTACGTAATCAGCCGGGAAATCACGCCCCCAAGTCAAATAAACGTCCGCCCGAAATAATCGGGAATTTCTGAGCGCGAGCTTCCGCCTTTTCTGAAATTTCCCAACGATTTCTCTAAGATCGCTCATTTTTCTTTTTTTTTCCTCCGATTTATCTAAAGTCTGCAATTTCTCTCTCTGCAATTTTTTCTGATATTTCTAATTTTTCTCTCCAATTTTTGCTAATATTTCTAATTTTTCTCTCTCTCCAATTTTTGCTAATATTTCTAATTACTCTGAAATTTCTCACGGATTTCTTGTCTACCCCTGGAATTTCTCGTTCTCCCTTTCTATTAGATAAAACGAGGAATTTCTATTAGATAAAATGGATTATCAATTACCATATGGCTTAGTCTCCGTGGAGGTCCCGGAGTCGACTCTCTCTGTACCGTACTCGCAGTACTTCCAAAGCCCCATGTACTTGAAGAGCCCGACACTGCCATTGCCTCTTGACTCGAGACATGTCAATCCTGTTCCATCCGACGATTCCAAAATGTACCAATGATCGATAGCGATGGAAACCGCCCAAAAGCAAGCGCAAAGACCGACGAGAACAGTGCACCCGAAAAGTATCCTCCTCTCAAACAACACCTGAAATTTCATAACCATTCTATTACTTATTAAAATCTGAAAAAAATTAAAAAGTTCAAAAAGAAACGTCACCTGGTTGTACAACGCCTTCATGCGACTCGCCATGCTTCCTTCCTTCCCTATCTCCCTCGAAATTCCCCCAGGACTCTCCTTATCAGTGATAAATGGTCCCCTGCGAAAGTCACTGGTTATTACCTTCTTCTGATGTCTTTAAATTGACACTAGAGGATTGACATTAGAGCATGACAATTCTTACCGAAAGTGGGATTACTATTAATCTCGGCACTTTTCTCCGGATAGGACGGGATGAATTGTCCCGTGATAACGTTATCACTACGCTACTTCCGGGACGCCTACGCGTTTACATGGTGGCCTGGCGATCGGGTCCTCGACCGATCAGCTGATCAGCTGATCATCCGCTTATTTCGATTTTCTCCTAGGGGGGCTTTCCGAGACTTTGACTCGACGAATCTGCAGACCTCTCGCCGAAATCCAGGTGGAGGTACCTCCAAGTTCCTTCATTCGCGGCGACCTGGAATTACCGGGACAATTGCACCTTCCAAATCCCTGATACGTCACACCCCATAAGAAATGAAGGGAGAAAAAAATTAAATACCCACTTCGCGTCAACCCCACTAATCAATAATTGGAAATTGGTCATATCGAAAGTGCGCCAACATTACGAGACAATGCTTCCCATTATCCCCATACGTCGGCATGTGGAAATTTCTCATAAAAAATGCCGCACATAAATTGCCAAAATTCAATCGATACACCGCATGTCAGTTAACAAGTAGAATGATTACGTGTCGATTTCTTATCAATATTCCAAGGCAACGTTCCTCCTCATTGCGATCGATCAGCCCATTATCCAGGTGGCAGTCTGGAATAATTTATCGACTTATGCGGCGCAGCCATGGATCCTTGACCTAGGCTACGTCAACCCGAGTTGAGCCCACACGTGTCGAAGGACCAGCCCCGACCTCGATATCATGGGAGTCTCATTAAAAGTGGATAGATAAAAAAAGATAGAGATAAGGATGGCCCGCCGACAGTGCCTATTAACCGAATCTGAGAAACGAGTTGGCACGAACTTGAATCTACTTAGCCAGATCCCAAGTGGAGCCAAGAGATACCGAGGCCGGCGAATGATAACAACTCGATCAAGTGTTCAACCCTCGGGCGCGAGATCGAGCACCTTATCAATTACCGAGTCGACAATTTGTTATTCCCTGAAGAGGCCACCTAAAGGAAGACCTCCCATCATTCGCCCCTTTTTTTTTTTTCTGGAAGCTGGATACGCCAGGATCCGAGATATTGGAAATCACCAATTCATATAATAATCAATTATTTGGCTGCAATATCGCGAGGTCGATATGAATGTTAATAAATTCCATGAAATATGAGAAATTACGTCTTCCAAGTGAACTTGACCAGACTCGATTGTTTGGATGTGATGCTCACATTGGACGGAGCTCTTTTGACATACGGGCGAAATTCCCGAACCCGTGCAGGCAATATTGGACCAAACGTCGTACGCATACATGCGGTAGTCCGGAATGGGTTAATAAGTTTCAATGTCACGTGGGCTCGGCATATCGAGGAGTAAGGAAGATAACGATCATCCAGGAAATCCAGGAATGGATTAGGGCGCAATCGCTCGCCTCCCGCAAGGCCGACAAGTGACAAGACGAGCTCGACAGGTTTATTTATATTGACTCGGTCGGAGGATCCCGAGATCGGCCAGGGTCCTCGATCTGCGAGCGATCTAACTATAGTCTAGGGATCTAGCCAAGTCTCCGGACCAGACGACGTCTGGAAGACGGGAGCGATCCTCCCTCCTCCCCGGAGTGCCCCTTGGGGGTCCCGAGGGAGAGAGGCCCGGTTTCTAGCTCCTTTCCCTCTTCCCTTCCACCCCCGCCACGGACTGTGACGTCAATCCCCTCGGCATTGTTTTATTCGCAAGCTCGACAGCCAATGGCCGGTTTATTTAAGCTCACAGCTGCGACCTTAAAGCCGTAAACTCGCGGCCGCGAAACTGCCCGGTGCCCTGTCCGAGGGATCGATTATGTGCTTTTGTTACTTGCAAACTGCTTTCCATTTTTTCTGGAATTCTAGAAATGAGAGATAGTCTTGATAGTCCCCAAATTTTTTCGGCCCACGGTTGTTTGAATTCTATTTTAGCCATTTAAGCGCTATGGACCCCATAGGTGCGTCCGACGTTTGGTCCAATATTGCTTGCACGTCCTAATGAAATTCGCCCTTACGGCGAAAGGGCTACAAATCGATTATGTGCGCGTTACTTGCAAACTGCATTCCATTTTTTCTGGAATTCTAGAAATGGGAGATAGTCTTGTTAGTCCCCAATTTTTCGGGCCCATGGTTGTCTGAATTCTTTTATAACCCTTTAAGCGCTATGGACCCCATAAGTGCATTCAACGTTTGGTCCAATATTGCTTGCACGTCCTAATGAAATTCGCCCTTACTTAATGCGCAAAGCACGCGACTAAAGCGAATTTAAAAAAAAAATTCAGCTCGACACTAAAGAGATGCATCACTGCCTGGTAAACCACCCTCAATGAAAATCTCGCCCTATCCAAGAGCCACATGATTAAATTAAAAAATACCTAATAATACAGAAATGTCATGAAAATACCAAGAGGTCCCTCACGTGTCTCCCTATGCACGCGATATTTCCTGAGCCCCAGGGAACAAGAAGTTCACGCACGCACCGGAAGCCCGCGAGCCAAGGGGTGGAGGGTGGAGGGTGTACCATGTATAAATAGTGTTAAAAAAATATTGCAAACATGATAATCGTCAAGAAAAAAAATGTTTCATTATATGATTATAAATTAAAGGGTATAATTCTGACACGCGTTCATAAATTACTAAACCTAAATATATCAATGGGATTTTCGGGAAATATTTTAAATATGTTCTAATGACATCTACGAGACATTTGAAAAAAAAGGATTTGTCTCTTGGGATATTTTTTGCAAAGATGAGAAATAATTATTTGGAAATTACGCTTTGCTACTAGGAGAGCGGAAAAGTCCCTGAATAAAAACGGGATGATGTTACCCTCCCATTAGCGATCGATAGTCCCGTCTTTCGGGGTCTTTTCCATTGTCGTGACAGCAGATTTCCGTGGGTTCCCTCAGGACTCCACGAGGTGACTGACCCCTGACCCCGACTCCCGAAGGAGCCCTTCCTAGAGTACCATCCCGGTGAGAGGATAAAAAAAGAAGAATATCCATAAAAGAAAGTTTCTCAAAGGGAGTCCCCCATTCCCGAGATTCCCGTTTCATCCCTGGGGACGACAGGGCGCTTATCACGGAAGGGTGGGATCGCTTCCGCCTGATAAGACCGCCCCCGCGCAAGGGGAGACCACGGTGACAATCGATGGGGGAGGAAAAAATCGGGAAAAAAGATCATTCGAGGGAAGGAAGGATTTCATTGATGAGGAGTGAACGAAGAGGTCCTTGCGGGACTATACGATAAGGAGGAATTAAGTCCTTGCTCCAAATTACCTCCTTATCACATGTACAATAAGTGGGAGGATGAGTTGCATCCGCATAAATGCATCCTTGCAGCAAGGAAGAGTTTAAATCCCCTCGTGAGGTCCTGGAAGGACGCGTGACGTCCTTGAAAATTATGTTCCCCCTTAAAAGGATCCTTTATTAGTGGCAACCCTCCTGTGGATCTTCTACCACCTATTTATTTGGGATTAATCCTCCTCCACCCTCTGCATAAAATTCGATAATTATCCTGTTTAATTATTTTCTCCGTTATCCTTTTTATTTATTCTGGCAGGCGACGTACGGTTTATTCGATGGGATCCTTGCCCGAGCCCGCTGGGAGCCGAAGTGCGAATCCAGCGGGATGACTCTTCCCCTTCCTCCTTCTCCTGGGTGCGTCCTAAGGACGAATCCTGCCACCACGAGGCGCGAGAAGGGCGATCCGCGCACCAGGCCTCGCCGAACCTCACTGAAGCTCGAGCTCGAATTGCGCGAGAAGCTCGACTTGTCGATACGCAGGCTTGATGGTGGGGGAAGCGAAGAGTGGGGGGTGCCGGAGAGTGGGGGAAGCCTCCCCTCCCCTACGGACCTGGCAAGCTTCCCCTGCCGGGCGGCGCCAAGAAAAGAGCCACCAAAACGGTCCTACGATAGATCCTCGAATCGATCCATCGATCCATCGATCAAGTTGCTCTTAAACCAGACATAGACTACACGCATGCGGAAAAAAAATCGAAGAAATCGAAATGAGAGAAAATGAAGCCACTCTCCCAACGAATGCATCAATAACGATGACGGACGTAGAAAAAATTAATTTTAGGGCAAATTATGAGAAAAAAATCCAGAAGCATGTGTTAACGATGACCTATCGCCCTGATCGATTGATTGGGACACTCTTGAATGAAATATCGAGGCGGGAAAAAATTCAAAGGCCTTGATAAGAAGGAAGATGTCCTCGGTCTAAGGACAGGGCATTACCCCGCGAGAAGACCGAGCTGTCCATACGTTTTCCGCGGGTTTTCGGCCGCATCTCTCTTCCTAGGAACGGGAAAAGCGGAAAACGAGCCGCGAACCTCGCCAAGAATAGTCCAGCAACAAGTTGTTGTTGACAAGCGCTCGGCAGGCGGTCACGCGAGCTTTTCTTAGTCCTGGGCTTTATTCCCGGTCTTCCCCAAGGAAGAAAGGGAGGGCAAGGTCTATTTTTATTCCCCAGGAGGTCCAGCGTACACGGCTTCGAGTTAAACCGGGAAATAAATGAAATCTGGACCGGAGATGAGAATTTCCTTGATCATCCTCGATCGATCCACTTCGTCCATTTCTTCGGGATCCGTTCTCGAGGTCTCCCTTCCATGGACCATCTCACCCGCAGTTTCCTCGCCGTTTATCTTCTTCCTCCTCCACCCAGCACCGTTTCTAAAAATCTAACAGACGTCTCGAGGACACTACGCCGCGAAGAGCCATGCCAAATTCCTCGAGGCGTTGGGAATCCATTCCGATGACCCAATCATCAGACGTGGCTGATAGCACGGACAGATCGCTCATCCTCGAGAAATGACCTTAATGTTAGCACGAACAAATTGTTGAACAATAAATGATCAAGGAAATCGGCGTTCTCCATTTTCCTCCATCTCGGGAGGTCTTGCGACCTGAAGCTACCTGGGGTCGTTCTTCATGAGGCTCCTCGAGGTCGGCCCACTTCAGGGTGCAGCGATCGGTTCAGAGGAGTCAATCTTTGAAAATGGTCCCCGATGGTGCTCATAATTGACCTCAAGACCCCATGAGCGTACGTAACTCGTACTGCTGTCAGAATCCTGGAAACACTCGGCCCTCCACTTCCTGCGGAAGGACCCCTTGGTACGCCAAGGTCCTGAGACCGCTGGCCTTCTTCGTGGTCACCTCGATGCTGGGTGAGGTTCCAGGAGACCCGTAATCTTCCAAAACGCCTAATAACTTGTAGAAAATCCTGTGATAACCAACTAAGTCATCCCCAGCCATGTCGGTGTCCCACCTCTGCGACAAGTACTCCGCCAGCAACTCCTTCAAGATCATCAAGGCCGACCTGAGCAACCTGAGGGCACACCTTAACACTCTCTCTGTAAGGATATCATGACTAAACAATTAATTTTTCTTAAGCATATAACATTGTTTCATGTTTCATGTCGTAGATGGAGGTCAGGAACGTGATGGAGACCAGGGCGGAGCTGAGGATCAAGCTGAAGGAGGTCGCTTGCGTGGCTCCAAAGATCTCCGAGGCGATCTTCAGGCTCAGGAACGAGGTCTCCGAGGGTAATGAGGATTCCCTAGGTAGATGATCTTGAAACTTTTATGGAAATTCGATTTTTACCATAGAGATGGGCTTGCACACGAAGACGTTGCTGAAGGCCCTGTCTCCGGAGACCGTCAGGGACCTGGTGAAAAGTGAACTGGAGACCTACGACGCCGACAAGACTGGCAGGACGGACTACGCCCTCGAGTCTTCTGGTCTGTAATTATTATTAAAAATACTATTCGCACAATTAGGAGAAATTAAGGGGACGTGAAAGTGGCATCCGCGAGGTCGACCATTCATGAGACCTTCCTCCAAATTGGGGGCACCAAATCATTTGACAGTTCAGCACGTCATTATGAAAGCCCTAAGGGAGAACGTGAGATTTCATATTTCAGAAAAAAAATTTATTTAACCAAGATTACATATTTTTGGGGGGAAAAGTGAAATTTCACTAGCATCGCGTTCTTCCTTCCTGCTGAAGTTTCAAATGACTCGATGCATCCGCAGTTTGGGGAATAGTTATGAAAATATTTTCAGATTATATACACATATGTTTAATGCCCCTTTCATATCACCTTAATTACTTCTTTCAAGGAGGGACTATCTTATCAACGAGAAACACCGAGACGTACCTGGCAGGGGCTCCCGTGTTGACGCTCTTCGGCATCCCGATCGTCGAACAGAAGAACAATCCAAGAGCTATCATCCAGGTCCATCTATGACTGACCTTACATAATATAAAAAGTGGATGTCTAATCGTTTTAAATTGTTAACAGACTGGAGTCCTGCCTGGGGAGTGCTGGGCCTTCAAGGGAAACTCTGGCTCGGTCGTTATCAAACTCCTGGGACTAGTTTACATATCTGGTGTCAGTTTGGAGCACATTTCAGCCTCCATTTCCCCCACGGGGGACACCTCCACTGCTCCTAGGGACTTTTGCGTCTGGGTAAACTTCAATGTTAAGAGGAAAAAAAAATTAACCCTGGCTACTAAGAGCGACTAAAGGCGCCCGACGTTTGGTCGAGTATTGCCTGCACGGTCAGAGGAATTTCGCCCGTATGTCGAAATGGCTCCGCGTTCAAAGGGTTAAAAAAAGGAATAAAAATTCAGATCTCTTCAAGATCTTTTCTTGACAGGGATTGGAGGACGTCAACGACAGTGAGGGGTTCCTCTTAGGACATTTCACGTATGACAACCAGGGACCTCCCGTGCAGTACTTCGAGGTCGAGGTAAATTCTCAAATCTGGCATAAATAAAAAATCTCGTTTTTCTCGAAATTTCATTTTTTAAGAAAAAAAATGTCTCATCTTGAAAAATGAAATTTCACGAGCATCGCGTTCTTCCTTAGTGCCTCCATAGTCTCGTGATGAAGTTCCAAATGTACCCACTTGTGTATTAAAAATGACATTACCCCGAAAAAGGGAATATGTGAATTTAAATTAACCGCGGTCGATTAAACATCCCACCGCGTTTATCATTATCTTAAGTGATAACGGCGAGTCTCTTCCCCTTCCAGAACAAGCCCAGGAAGGCTTACGAGATCGTGGAGTTGACGGTTCACTCGAACAGCGGAAACCCGGAGTTCACCTGCATATACAGAATCCGAGTCCATGGGACCCCATATCAGAAGGAGAAGTGACAAGAGGTAGATAAAAAGCCATCCAACGCCGCGATTAACTGTAATGGTCACTTGAATTAATTTATTCTCTCCGCAGCTTAAACAATAATTCCCTTTGTACGGTTCTTACAGGCTAGCGACGATCCTGGTCTAAATTCCTAGGGCTCTTCAGGGTGTCCCCGGGAGGATCCTCCCCCCGGAGTAGTCTAAGACAGACCAGTGACTAGCGACGACAGGGGAGAAAAAGAGACCGAGAGAGAGAAAGAGAGAAAGGGAGATCACCTCGAAGAGGGGACGAAGAAAGGTCCTCTTCAGGACCCTCTTCAGGGTCTCTTCTTCGAGCGGATCACCGATCAGGGGGTATAAAGATAGAAAGGGTGGACGAGAAAAGTCATCCGTCAGTTTCCGCCGATACGCGGATAATTCGGGGGGGGTCAGTCGTTTGACGCGTTATCAGCGGTCGCGATATCAGCGGTCGCGATATCAGCGGTCGCGATATCAACGATCGCCTATCGATACACCAGCAATCGCGAATACAGCGATCTTCTTACCAGCGAGGGCCTTATCAGCGACCGCCTTATCAGCGACCGCGGAATCAGCTGATCGCGTCTGGAGACGTCGGGTTACTGGGTCCCGCGAGCTGCTCGAATCCCCGACCTGGACCGAGATGAAGGAAGATCCCGAAATGGGAAACGTGGGAAAGAAAAGAAAAATCCTCCTCCAAGGGGTGCGCGATAAGAGGTCGATGATAGATCGATAAGGGCTCGCGGCTCGGTCCGTCGAGGTTCGGCGAAGGCAACGTCGAGGTCTCCTCGCAAAAGCCCGAACCCGGGGGTGAGGGAGGGGAGTCTAGGCTCGTTATCTCCTAATCATCACCTAGTATCAAAATAAACCACACTGAGTGCAGAGTCGCGGTCTTATGTACAACGAGAAATAGAAAGAGAGCTTCCCGAATCGCGCGATGCCCTCCTTATCGGCTCTTCTGCCTCGCCGATTCGCTCCTTCCCCCTGCTTCCTCTCCTCACCTTCCGGAAATCGCCTTTACTATTAAAGATATACATGTTATATATATATATGTATCACAGATGTTATACAACGAAGAACTCCACGTGTTGCGTTAACGTTATCTTCGGATTGGCTTCTGTGCGGAAGAGACAGAGGGGGGACAAGATATAAGCGGGGAAATCTTTCCCGCCATTGTTTGAAAGGGAGGCATGGCTCCACTGGCGCCCTCTACGCCCTTTACACCTCTGCGAAAATTGGAACTACTTTTAAAGGGACGAAGCCCTCGTGGTATCGGTAAAACAGGGTACACGTGCGTGTCGCGTTGTTATCTCAGTTATCCACGTGTAAGGACTTCTTTTGGTACTCGTGGTCCTCTTTCCCAACCTTAGTTCACCCTGATACTAAAAAACGAACAGGTGATAACTTCATTCTGTCTGTTTGAAATCTCCGTACGCGGTTTTTTTTTCCGATAGAGAACATTTCGCCCCTTTCGAAGCAGTTCCTCCCTTTGGAGAATCTCGCGAAACGTCTCCCCGCTTATCACTGGTATGGTTAACTGATTAGGATCCGAGAAATCTCGAACCTCGATGCGAGATATCGACCCCTACGGCGAATAATTCCTGACCCAGGGGGGCGGATACGCGGAAGAGGGCGGAAATTCGGAAATGATAACGAGGGCGGAAATTCGGAAATGATAACGAGGGCGGAAATTCGGAAATGATAACGAGGGCGAACCGACAAGCTCCCCTAAGATACGTCTAAGGTGTCTAAATCTCGAGTCAACGTCGTTTAACACGGTCGATTAGCTTAGCCTCTATCGGGCGCGGATTTACGCGGCCCTCCTATGCCCTAACTGATAATCACTGATAACGCTACTGATCATTCTCCTTTCCGGAGCGAGGCGATTAAGATTGTCGTGCGGCGTAGTCGTTAAATGGCGGATCCTCCGTTTTGCCGATTCTCTATTTCGAATTCCTCCCTTTCTCGCCGACCTTGAAGAGGAGTCCCCCGAGTCTGATAAGGAGACTGATAGTCCCACGCTATCCAGGGTCTCTCGGGATTTGACCCGGAGCACAATGGTCCGAAATCCATTATCAGGGCGACAAAAATTCGACATGCTCTTTGATTTTACATACGGAAAATTTCTGTACATGTCCTAACATTTTCTCACGCGGAATTATTAATTATGTTTGCAAATTGATCCACCACGAGTTTTTCAAGCGATTTCAAGAAAACATGAATCTGACAGTTCAACGAGCAAAGATTCACCTGACTGAATATACTGAATAAATAAATATAAAAATAAAATATTCGGTAATAATTGTGGCAATGTAAAATAATTATATATATATATAAACTTTAAATTTATTAAGCACAGATTTTTGTCGCGCTGAAAATTGGCAATGGACCACTGTGTCGCGCAATTCCTCGCAATTGGCTGCAATTCCTAAAGTTCCATTCCCTGACCCCTGGGGAATCATCAGGAACCGAAAGATAAGAGGTCCGGAGACCCGACCCCGGGATTCGTTGAGAGGCAGGACTCGAAGACCCTGAAGAGGGTCGGGTCCCGCCGAAGAGGGCGTCTAAGTATATTGTCATGCACACTACGGTCTTCAGGGTCGGTCCAAGAGACGCCGGGTCGGACGGGAAGATCTACGAGTGGCTTGGGTCTTCCAGGTCTTCGAAAACGTCTTCGAGAACGTCTTCAAGAAAGTCTATCGGCCGCCGCCACTGTGAGTCCCCTCAGCATCCCGAAGAGCCTCGACCTGAGGAGCCTCCACCTCGCTGACCCTCCTGGGGGTCCTCCTGCTCCCGTTCCCGCTGCTCTGAGAGTCCGTATCATCAGCATAGACCTTGATTTCACTCCCAGTGAGGCTCCCCCAGGTCGAGTCGGCAGCCTTGGCGAAGATGTGCGCGTATCCGGCACTCTGGAGGGCGGCGAATCCGTCCCCAGGAGCGAACGCCCCCGAGCCCTTCAGCCTCGAGGGCCTCCGCTCATTGATGACGGACTGCACGTCCAGGTCGTCGTTCCCAGGAACCTCGAGTGACCTCTCCTTCCCAGGACCCCCGACCTGGCGGCCCCTCTCCAAGGACTCGCTGCTCTTCTTCATCCTCTGGGGACCATAGGTCTCGCACCCTGGGAACAGGTAGTTCCTGCTCGTCCTAGGACTCTGCTGCCCGTGGAAATCAGGGTCTACGAGACCGAAGGATGGCTTCCTCTGGACCTCCGGAGTCCTGCATACCCTCGGCCAGGAACCGTCCTCCAGGCACTCCGAGGTGGCGGGGCTTGCCGGAGGTTGAAGGTACTTGACGCTCCCGGAAAGCGTCGAGTCCCTCCTGGAGATGATCCTCGGCACGCTGAGGTTGCTCTCGGGCTTGATCACCTCGGCGACCTCGAAGTGCATGGGCATCGAGGTCATCGGCAAAAGCGAGCTGCGCTGATGGCTGTGGAAGGTCTGCCGACGTTTGGCCTTGAACTTGGTGGGCTTGGGCTTGACCGAGGTCAGGGTACCGCCACGACCACTACCGCTGGACAGGGAGACGTCCGTTGAACGGGGTGTCCCACCTCCTGTGGACCCCTGGGGACTCCTCGGGTACTCCGGGGCTTCCAGGTCCTCTCCTCGATCCTCTCCTGCTGGAGGGTTGTACGTGAAGTTCGCAGGCAAGGACCTGACCTTCGACAATCCCGGCCTCGATCTTCTCACGTGGTCCTCCATCTCGTTGTCGACTTCGTCCTCGTCGTCCTCGACGTCGTCTCCACCGTCCCGACCAGCTCCGGCTTCCTCTTCGAGGAGCTCTTCCTGTTCTGCCGCTAACTCCCTCTCGAGCTGCGTTTCCATGTCCAGCTCGTCCTCCATCTTCGGAAATAGGAGTGATAAGGCTATTCGAAGAGGCTTTGTCGAGGGAATAAGAGATACCCCTACCTGTTTGTGGCTCTCTTCGAGGTGCTTCATCAGCACCGCCACCACGACGTTCACCAGCACGAACTGGGCCATCAGCACGAAGATGACGAAGAAGATCGGGGCGATGAAGGTGCTCACGCAGCAGTTCTTCACGCAGTCCTCCGCACTGTCGCACTCGTCTCTCAGGGTGTCCTTCATGATGCCGTTCCAGTTGTCACCGGTGGCCACCCTGAAAAGCGTCAGGAAGGCCATCCCGAAATTGCTGAAGTGCGCGTGCTCCCCGAGGCCCTGGCAGGGCATCTCGTCGCTGCACTCTGGGGAAAAAAGTATATCAACCCTCGGTCACGAGGCCATCCTCTCTCATCAACCTCTTCCACCTCTCACCTAGACGTCCAAATAGCTCGACGCCCAGTGCAGCGAAGATGAAGAAGAGCAGGAAGAACAGCAGACCCAGGTTTCCGACCTGGGGCAAGGCCTGCATCACCGTGTCCAATAGAGCCCGGATCCCCTTCGCCATTTTCAACAGCTTCAACACTGAAACCGATTTTTAGGGATTCTCATCGTTGTCAACGATCAGGAAGTGAAGAAGTCCATCCAAGGTAGACCCTGGAGTTACCTCTGGCGATCCGCAGGACGCGCATCACTCGGATTATCGTGGGGTTTATGGGGATGATCTTGGACTCCACCTCTTCAAGGACTATGCCGACTATGGAGAGGATCACGATCCCCACGTCCAGTTGGTTCCATCTGAAAGTCCATGGTCCATGATATGAATGAACAGACTGAGTTGAAGAGTCACTTCAACTTCGAGGGTGCCTTACTTGTCCTTCAGGTACAGCTGGAGACCCAGGGCCAGCAGCTTCATGAACGACTCCAAGATGAAGACGGCGGTGAAGAAGTAGTTGAATATCTTCAGGGCGTAGGTCAGGGCCTTCGGCATCATATAGAATTCCATCGCCATCGTGACGACGTTCAGCCCGATCACTGCTGCTATCGCCAGGTCGAAGTACTTCGAGGTGACGACGTTATGGACGAAGAGCCGGGACTTCGAGTAGTTGGTGTAGTAAGGAGGCTCGTGCATCCCTGAAATCCCCCCAGGCGTTGATGAAGAAGAGAAAAGAGAAGACCCTTCAAGGATGATACGAAGGATTCTCACGTCGTCTCTTCTTCTCCATCTGAAGAGCCCTCTTCGCGGCTCTTCTGACCCGCTCCTCCTTCTCCTGCTCCTCCCTACACCTGTGGAAGTTCTCCACGACGACCCCGACGAACATGTTGAGGACGAAGAACCCGACCAGCAAGATGAAGGCGATGAAGTACAAGAGGCGCCACTCGGAGTAGTTCTCGATCGGCTGAAAATAGGGAAAAAATCCCAATTTAATGATTCCCTAGGGGATGAGTCCCGGAGTACCCGAAGAAGACCCTGAAGAGGGTCGTAGAAGTGACCCCAGGACGATGAGTAGACATCGCCTCACCTGCTGGTCCACACCCACAGCATCCAGCCCCGTGTACATGATGTTGACCCATCCGTCTCTCGAGGACAAGACGAAGAGCGACATCAACGCCTTGCCGAGGTCGTCGAAGTTGTACTTCCGGTTGAGCCAGACGTTGCGCTTGTCGGCCAAGCAGTCGGTCTTGTTGCGGACGTTCTTAATGTCGGGCCCCTCGCAATAGTAGAAGGCACCCTTGAAGAGTTGCACCCCGAGGATCCCGAAGATGATGAAGAAGGTGCAGCAGATGAGGACGATGTTCCCGATGGGCCGCAACGAGGAGAGCAACGTTTGGACGACGAGCTTCAGTCCGGGTGCCCGGTTGATCACCCGAAGTGGCCTCAAGGACCGTAACAGACGGAAAACCTGGAAATTTCGAGGCACTTCAAGGTGGAGGAAGAGTCTCTTCGTTCCCTGGTGCTCCAGGAAGATGATTCCTGGACGTTCGACCTACTCGCAAGATCCCAAAAATCCTGGGGCTGCTCGCGGATATCAGCGACATCGAGAGGTCGATTATCGAGATGATGACCAGTAGTCCGTCCATTATGTTCCATCCGGAAGTGAAGTACGCGTCGGATCCGTACAGCATCCCCGAAGCGACGACCTGAAGAGGAGGATTTATTCTAAAAGCGATCCTTTGATTCCGCGCCTCCCCATGTCACTCTTTTCACGGTCCTCCAGGAGTTCACCTTGACGAACATCTCCACCGCGAAGACGCAGGTGAAGAGGTAGTTGGCGGTCAGCAGGAAGACCCTCTCCTTGCTGTCCGGAGGGATGTTGGGCCTCTCCATGGCCAGGGTGATGCAGTTCAGCCCGATGAAGAGCAGCACCACGTTGTCGAACCACTTCTGGTCCACCAGCCACCGACAGAGGGTCCGAAACCTTGAAGAGCCGGGGTGTAAAAAACTTCCTGGTGGGCCCTCCACCCTTCTTCAAGACCTACTTCGAGTACTCCTACCTGTTGTGCGGTGGGAAGAGGTACAGGGAGTAATCGTCCCTCTCCTTGAGGCAGCCCTTGGGCTCGAAGAACATGAAGATCTTCTTCATCTTCTCGACGCTGCTGGCACTTCCGTTTCCATTTGACGAAGGAGTCTGTTGACCCGGCTGGGAGTCAACCTCTTCGGGGACGGCTTTCACTCTTGGCAAGGGCCCAGTCTCTAGAGACAGGTTATTAATCGTCCTAGGAGTGGAGGTGGGTGGAAGATCGTCTAGGGGGACCTTCTGAATCTGCATACTGTCGTACCCGTGAAGTGAATTCTGCCGGGACAGGTCTCCGATCCACCTCATCTGCGGATCAACGCCACATAAAACACCCTGAGGAGATTAATTACTAAAAATAAGCCACATTAATTACTAAAAAAAAATGCGATATTCCTGACTGAGCTGGACACTTGCATTGGAGGTCGCGTAATGAGCCACCGATGAGCTGCGACTCTTGATGGAATTATTAGGACTGAGGCTGCAATTGTTGCTCATCGCTCGATTGTTCGGGGTACTCCTCTGGGTGTCGTTCCTTATCGAACCATGAAGATAACCCCCGTTGTAGCTCGCGTACTCGCTACAGATCCTGAAGAATAAGCCAAGGTTCATAATTAAAAAAAAAAAAAAAATCCCCAGGATGGGAAAAAGTTCATGGAAACTTTTCCACGTTCTTGAGGACTCCCTGAAGACGGGGACGCGACACTCACGCGGACCCTGTACTTCGTCCATTGTTTAAAATAATCGCTCTTCCGGGCTCGTCTTCGTAATGCGACCTCTTCCTTCCTAGAGACGGTCTGGACAGGCGCCAGGAATATCCCCTCTGGATTCTCGGCGGACTAAAAACAGAAAATCCATTGAAACCTCTCTCTCCCTCCCTCGGGCCTTTTCATCCTCCTCTTCAACCTTGAATTAGGGTCCCTAGATGCCGAAGAGTTGACCACGGCGACCAGACTGATGCGCCTCGTCAGCTGATTCGCCACCAGGTTGTTGCTCGTGTATTTGTTGTCAGAGGGCTTCAACAAGCCCGAAGGGATGCTGGTCTGGCTCTTCAGGTGTCGAAAAAATAAACCAATGTCCGGTAATTAAAATCCAATCTCTCATCAAGTGTTATCCACTCGAAACGTAATCTGGCTTAACTGATAGTCCCTCCGAAATAAAGGTAGCATGCTATCAGCTGATTATAAATCGTTTAAATGTTAAGTGCCCACCCCTGATCTGTCAATAGACTCTATCGACAAGGCCGGATGGGTGACCCTGTAGTTGATCTCCCTGTACCCGGTGTCCAGGGTCGTGTTAGGCGAGTCCTGAGGAGTAGCCGCGGTGTGAGTGATGATCGGAGGCTGGGTGCCCATCATCTTGCTCTCCTTCTGGATGTTGCACTTAGGCTCCTCCAAGGTGCGCCTCCAGCTGTTCTGCTTGTCCCTGCAGGTGTTGTCCTTGTACTTCCTGGTGTCATCCACGCTGTGCCAGGAGTTCTTCCGGTCCTTTGAGGAAGAATGAAGGGGTGGAAACATTTCCTTTTAAAAATCAAGATAAGGCCTATCACCTGAGTATAAGTGTCGCTATCAGAGACCGAGTGGGACCCAGAGAACCTTGAAGAGCCATCGTCACTTCCCAATCCTGCTTCCTTCGAAGCCAATCTAGCCTGCTCTCTTTGCTCCCGTTCCCTCCTTTCATTCCTCTGTAAAAATGTACAATTAGGGATAACAACATATATATATATAAAAATCCACAATTGGAGATGGAATTATATTGGGTATTGCACTAAATGGCATACTCCACCTGTCATTTGCGCATAATAGTTGCAAAAAAATCGGAGTAATACTTAAACTCCTTTCTCAGGGTAAAGGATGACGACGAAGAGGGTATAAAGGGAATTAACAGAGAAGGTTGCGCCCACCTCGGAGGAGAACCCTTCGACCAGGATGGCGACCAACAGGTTGAAGAGGACGTAGTTGCCGAAAGTCATCAGGGCGACGAAGTAGAGGGCGGCCCAGTGAGAGGTCTTCTGCATCCCGTTGAAGAGCACCACGTTCCAGTCCTCCTGGGTGAGGATCTACGAGAGAAAGGACGGTCAATATCGCGGAATACCTCGCCGAGGGGATCTTCGCGGTGATAACGAGTCACTGGACGCGAGCTAGTACATACGGGGGATATTTCCAAAGTACTTTGGAGGGTGTGCGGGGAGAAGCGGGCCTAGGGGAACATTCTTACCTGGAACACGGTGACAGTGGCCCAGAGGATGTCGTTGAAATGTTTCCGATCGCACCGACACATTGGATGTCGAGAGACAACCTCGGCACAAGTGCAGGCCCGACTCCGATCCGCCCACATGCAAAACTTACCACCGAACAGGTACATCCCTAGGATGCTGCAAACCAGAGAATCCCTGCTCCTAAAGTACCTCGAAAAACCCTGACATAAGGCAGGGTCACGCGCGAATCCGCGACCCCTTAAACAACCTCTTCTGTCGCGAAGAAATGTTCATAAAAATATTAATAAATCCACCGAATGGTTTTCATCGCTGAAGGAAATTTCAATTACCACGAAGAAATATTGATAAAAATATTGACACCGAATTATCTGATACCTGAACACGTGATTATGGAGGCCCTAAGGAAGAACATAAATTTTAATTTTTCGAAAAAAAATGCCTTTTTTGGAAATTTCGCGAGCATCGCGTTCTTCCTTAGGACCTACATGACCACGTGTACCTAGTTTGGAGAGAAGTTTAATCAATATTTTTACGTTTTGATATATAGAATGATCACCTTAATTCACGATATCGGAATCCCCAAATTGTAGGTCATTACTTTATTCCTGACATTTCGCACTTATTTCCGTGTAAATGTTAAAAGACATCCTAAGGGGTCGTGGATTCGATCGCGCGGCCGATTTAAGCGATCTCTAATAGGTAAATATAGCGATGACGATGTCGCTCGGGAAAGCTGCACTTCGGTTTAAGTCACATTCTGCAAAATTGCCGGCGAGTATACACACGGTGTGGTACGTGTAACGAGTTGTAGGCGTGACAAGTGACAAGCTCAAAGTAGTCCGACAAGACTGTGTCAAAAGACAGGCTCGTTTGCACCGACAGTCCCGAACTTTCATGATAAAATTCGACAAGTCGCTCCACCGCAAAAGCATAATTGCAATATTTAAGGAGAATATTTACAACAATATGCAAATGACTCATCGGGACTTGGCCTCGAGATTGGACAAGTGTCAATTGACAAAACGGGCGCGGATTGCAGAATGTTACGGTTATCGTCAAGGTACACCTGGGTATGTATATTTAATATATAAATGTGTATATATATATATACTAATGTACATTTATATGGTATATTAATCGGGGGAGAAACAGCTGTGTAAACACTGGTCTATAGACATTGTCAAAATGGGGATCTTCGCCGACCTCGGGTAACGAGATGTGGACTAACACGGATGGTGAACTTTGAAAGGCGTGATATAAATTGATATGCACTAACGACTCCTATTTCTCTCTTCTTCTTCTTTTTTTTTTCTTTTCTTCCTTTTTTTATGGTTCCTCTAATTAACGCCGGGCACGTCCTCCCTATACGCCGTTAAATGAAAACTCCCAAATGAGGTCCATGAACCCTGCTCCGACAATTGTCACTACCGGTAATTACGAAAATCACGACACGCGTGTTCGTGCACCCTGAGAAAGGAACATTTCTCTCGGAACGTTTAAACAGTACCGAGGAAATATTTTGCAAAATTCAACGAGCAATTATATAATACTCGGTGCACCATGTACACGCATTTTAATTTCCGAGGATTAAGGAGGTCTGAAAGAAGTTCCAGGGAAACTCGTCCTCTTACGTTTTCTTCTTCTGCGCAATTTAAATCGATGTAGAGTGAATTTTAATTCCCATTGAAATGCACAATTGAACCGTGTACAGAGAGAACGTACTCGACATCGCCCGAGCATTTTTTACAAGTCGATTTTCCAGAAGTCGTGTAAAGGAGACACCCTTAAGGATCTGGAATGACGAGTCCTTTAACGAGAACCGACGTCGCGATTCTTTGCCCTGAATCGGAGAATCTCCCGTTCTGATAACACGTGACAGCTCGTATCACTTCTGATAAGGCTAATGAACAAGTGCGAGGGTCGAGATCAAAGGGCCCAGGAAAAAGGACCTCGACGTCTTGATGGTTTGGGTTTATGGTGATCATTTTAACGGTGGAGATTTTAGGTTCTGGCCTCTCTAATCTACCTCGGCCCCGAATCTGTCTCTCGAGAGATTAAGGCGACATGATAAGGCGGCACCATCAAAGTGAACGTTTCTAAGGCATTCCTCCAAACAGGGTGTACCGAATTCCTCCAAACTTGCCAATCCGACTACAGCGGCTATAAAAAAGGTCTTGGCACCCATGGAATTTCAAAGTTAAAAAAATTTCTTTATACTTACTTAAACAATTTTTTTATAAAAATCAAAATTTCATCCACGTCGGAACCTTCCTTAGAGGCTTCGCGGTCACGTCCTAAATTTTGAAAGGATTCGATACAGCCAACTCGGAAAAAAGTGTGATAAACTAATGATATATCTCCGATGCCACTATCACATCCCCTTAAAAGCGTGTGTCGATTCGTTAAGGCGAACGCGAGGAAGAGAAGAAGCGCATGCAAAGCCGACACGAATGCGAGGAAGGTGTCTCTCCACGAGACCTCGAGGAGAGGTCTGAAAAGTGTGAAAACCTCGAGCTAACTCGGAAGGAAAAACCGAGGAAAAAGAAATAAAGTCAGAAGAAAGACAACGAGAACATTCACGTGCTAATAAGCGACCTAGGTTAATGGGCAACGACAAACAGCGAAACCTGGGAAAAAATGCACAGAGAAGCTCCCAGAGAAGACGAACGTCGATTAGGCGAGGAGGAAAACAAAATGGCGGAGATCTCGCAGTCTCAGAATTGAGGTTAAGGCGACGTGAAAGTGCGTCAAGTCTCGTTTATGATACTTTCCTCCGAAGTGGGAGTACCGAATCGCTTCAAACTTGACAATATGAATATAGAGACCGCAAGGAAAGTCCCTACGCCCATGAAATTTCAATTTTTCGGAAATTTCTTTATAGGTGTCTAAATAATTTTTTTACAAAGAATGAAATTTCTTGGCTGTCAGGACCTTTGTTATGGTCTTCGCGTTCACGTTGTAAAGTTTGATGGGATTCGGTACACCCAGTTCGGAAAAAAGGTCCCATGGACGATTGACTTCTCAGGTGGAACTTTCGCACCCCCTTAAGGGGAGAGAAAAAATGGGGGAGATCTCGGAACACCAGGAGGGAGACAGTAGGAAAAGCACATCGAGATTCATGCCGAAATGTCGAGAATTTCGGGGATTTTTTGGGAATTTTTTGGGAATTTTTCGGAAAATTCACGGGTTAAGGAGTAACGGGTACGAGCGAAGCAAAGGCACGAACAAGCTCCATGCCAGAAAAACTCATACGTTACCTTGGGAGCACTCAATCGACTAACAACAAGGCGCCCTTAATCAGCGAGGGCCCATTTCAGGGCTTATTGTCGAAACAACAGGAGCGAGGTACAGGGGGCAGGGGGTTAACTTTGCCGAAAGCTCGTTACAACTTATGGTAATATTGTTGTATCTAGACCTGTACCTGAAACACCGTCACTATTGCCCAGAGCAACGAGTCAAAGTTTTTTCTATCGCACTCGACGTCAGAGCTGCCTTTCATCGTTTCACAGAATTTGCAACCGAACAGGTTCATCCCGAGAATACTACAACACAACGAAACGCACCATATGACTTGGTCGGAAGATCCAATTCCTTGGAAACGGAGATAATTCTCGTTATCTAGGAACACTCCTCGCACAGCCCGCCGAACCGTCGAGGACCTCCTCGCGTCACCTCCGTAAAAGGTGAAGTGAAAGACCTCAAGAGAAACTTGATCGACGTCGGTAAAACAGATTTTCCTAAACACCCACATTGGTTTTCATGTCGACAGAAGTATCGAATTATATTGGGTATATTTCAAAATCCTCGTGCAATTGTTTGTTGAGCCTTGGGAAATTTTTTTTTCCAAATTTCAAATTTTCAAAGTGTCAGGGTAATTCCTAGGTGGTCATCTGTCGCAGTTTCGGACGGTTCGGTTGAACACTCTTAAAAAAAAGAAAAAAGTGTCTTATTCGGACCGACTGATTTGAGACGGGGGTTTCACTTCACCTTAACTCGATAACGTGTGTATTTGGCGCGAAACTCTACTCCGAGTTCTCCCGAAAACCGTCGGCCCCGAGTAGACGACTCGAGTTCTTTCCTCCAAGAACCGTCCACTCGGCCTTCTCCCGAAATTGATGCAACGCATTCAAACGTACCATGCGACCAGTGTAGACTTTGTCAAGAGACTTGCCTGCAAACTTGACCTCCCGCGTGGCATAAGTAGCCGGAAGCTCGAAAAACGCACTTGTCGCGGAACACAACCGCGTCTCTATACGTGAACTATGTACCCTACCCCATGAAAAATCGAAAAAAAATCGATAAAAATTCGGAAAAATTCAGAAAAAATTCGGAAAAATTCACAAGGGACTCTGAGACCCTTCCCGAGCGATCTGCAGTTCCCTTCGACGGGTATAACCTCTCTTTCCGGGGGAATGAAAAAAATTTTAATTAAAAGGCGGTAAAATTTGCAGGCTCTCCGATCATCGACGATCAATCATGTAACATTCGCGCGCTGACAAGGGCGTTCCATAGCAAATAGACGATAGAGGGTAGGCTGGGGAGTTCCAAGTATATAGTTGGCAGTAGTAGCCATCAGATAGGCTCGTCCACTAGACATGTCCAGCAATAAGAAGCACCATGCACACGTACACCACGTATATATTCAAGATATATATATATATGTGTAATATATATATTGATATTCATATATGCCTAGGAAGTGAATGTCCGCCCTAAGGTGTCCAAAGCCACAAAGGAGCAAAAGTCACCAGGGCGTACGTGTATATATATAACCGGACGTGCCAACAACACTGTCATTACCGTCACACCACCTTATGTCAATCCATGTCAATCTTTCCATACTCATTAAACGCACTGAGCATCGCACGAGCGTCACACCAATGACAATTACAATGAGTACAGTAGATCCTACAGAGGCTGCCCTGTCGAGCGAGGAAATCCTTGAAAACGCCGCTTTCTTCCCCCGAAAAAAAAAGGAAAAAAAATCCTAATCATCAGAAATAATTTTCTAAGTAATTATTAAAGCCTTCCCGACCGACAACAATGGGTGGAATAAAAAAATGGCGGTTTAGAGTGGATATTAGAATTTAATCGGACTCGCTCGACAGGGGTTAACAGACCTGCCGCGCGAAGTAGCCGAAGAGTAGTTCGCACTGTGGATGCTGAAGTCGAGATCGATAAGACATTAAACGCGGCTTTCGATTAATCTGGAATTTATTCGCGGGGCGAATGGCACCCTGAGGAACACCTAGAGGTTCGTCCTGGAGGAGACCACTCGCCATCGCGAGGACCGTTTATGCGCTCGATGAGAGAGAGAGAGTTGTCCTAGACAAATGGGCTCGGTTTCATGATCCAACCTATCGCTCCCCTATCCTCGGATCCCCCCATAAATGCGACCGATAACCAGGATGATAAACTCGGAGGACCCCTCCTTGGTGATCGCGAATGGTATCCCGAGGCTCCTTAACACTAAGGGTACCCTATACGCGTATCACTTGGGTCGGCTTACCTGAAGATAAAGATGAAAAGGATTAAAAGGGAAAAGAATACGGCAACGTTATCCATCGTCCGGAGCATGACGAAGAGCTGCCGTCGGAGGTTCGGCATGAACCGCACCAATTTCAGGATCCTGAGAAGCCTGAAGGTCCTGAGGACACTCAGACCGGAGCTGCCTCCTCGCTCTTCGAGGAAGGCCTGGCACAGTTCCACCACGCTGAAGAAAAGACTTACATGTGGGAACATCCTCTCCCTAGGTCCAGGAGAAGAGATATCCTCACCTCAGTACCACGACAACGCCGTCGAAGACGTTGAAGCCGTTGCTGATGTACCCGAAGGGCCCCTCGGCGATGATCTTCAGCAACATCTCTATAGCGAAGACCGCGGAGAAGACGATGTTGCTGATCTCCACGATCACGGTTAGCTCGTCAGGCTTGAAGGGAGTATCAAATTGGTCCTGATTAAAAGACACCGGAGCAAGGACTCCATCGTCAGGACACGAAGAGGGCTACCTGGTTGTGGTACTCGATGCCCATGCTGAGCGTGTTTATCAGGATGGCCAGCAGGATCCCCTGCTGGAAGTACTTGTGCTCGACTAGTTTCTTTATCCACCTGCGCACGCACCTGATGGCGCATACGCAACAACTTCCGGAAGCGTTCAACAGCTTCCTGGCCTCCGATCGCTGCCATTTGTCGTCTTCGGGCCATTGCTCGTTCTGGGCGTCGCAGCAGGAACAGGTCTCAGGGTCGTTCATCCACTGACCCTGGTCTTCCATGGTGACGTGTCGATCGGTGATACCTACGCGAGAGGATATGTCAAGTCTAAGACCCATCAGGAAGCTCTTCGGGTACCTTTTGTCAAGGAGTTCAGGAACGAGTCGAGGGCCAGCTGACCAGTTGGCAAGGCAGCACTAAGTGCGCCACTCAGTGCCAAAAGCTCTTGACATGTCATGGCCTCGGTGGTACCCAGGTCGGTGTGCAGCTGAAATACGAGGAGGTGTTAGGAATCGTTATCACCCTCCTCTTCGTGATTGTCCGCCGTGTAAGGTGTCCTCGGGCTCACCTGCACATTCGGCTGCGCCGTGGACCAGACGTTTCCATCCCCGGTTTGGGTCATCTTCTCGCTGGAGCAGACGTTCCTCTCCCCGGGCACCGTCGTGCCCGGCAGGGTGTTCACGCTGCTACCATGAAGAAGCACCACGTCGCTGAACATGACGCTGCTCCTCCTCCGGTTGTGGGCGCAAGGTGGACTCAGCAAGGCACTGTTCGTCTGAAGAAAAAAAATTCCCCAGGTCCTCAGGAAGGTCCTCCACTTGTCTCGAGGACCGGCGATGGTGGGAAACTAGGGGATGGCCGTGGAAAAAATTGTATGAAGCACCTCGGCCGCGTTGACGATGTTGCTGTCGCTGCCGTTCGAGACGGAAGGAATACGCTGAAGGCTCGGACGGCACTGATTGGATGAGACCTCGGTCTCGGACACTTCCGGGCTGGCCCTGGGTGCAAGACTTCCGGTACCGGTGACGATGGCGTTCAAGGACCCTCCGATGGGTCCCGAGTCCCCGGGATCGACTTGTTCCCCGCACTCCAGGGCAGCTAGAAGTCGAGGACACCTTTCACGGTGGACTCGCCTCTCTAAGGGTAAGAAGGAAATATCTCTTCCTTAGCCTTATTCTTCGTCTTCAACATACGGTAGAAGACCTACAGTGATCCTGGGTCACATTCGTCCTGACACAACATCCTCGTCAAGAGAGATAAACGGTACCGTCCGCGTCTTACTCTTCGTCGGCAAGTTCCGTCCTTACAATTGGCTTAATTATCGGGACATTACCATGAGTCCCGTTCGTCCTAAGACCCCCAGCTGTCTGCTGGGTCTGGGACTGCTCCTTCAGGAGCTTCTGCTCCCTCTTCTGCTGCCTGCTGTACAGATAGAGCCGGTACTTCTTCATCAGCCTGCGCTTCCCACGCCTCCACAGGTGGGCGATGTACCTTCAAGAGAAAAGTACACAGAGTCCACCCTCCAGTCCTGGATTTACTTTCCCTCCTCTAATCATACTTGACTATCTCGGCGTAACAGGTCGTCGGCTCCGAGGTGTTCGTTGAAGAGGCCAGGGTGCTGGTAGAATGGAAGCGCGCCCTCTCCTGGCGCATCCGGTCCATCTCCCTCTTCTTCGTCTCCGAGAATTGAGTAGCGATCACGACCAGGCAGAGATTGATCATGAAGAAGGACCCGATCTGAAAGACCAGGATTTAAGATCCCTCCCCAAGGTCCACACGCAAAACCTTCTACGGCTAAAATACGTCTAACATCCCTAGCACTTAAACAACTAGGGGACGTCTTTCAGCTCTAAAAGTGAAGTACATGTACAGACAGTAGACCCTTACCACAATAAGCAGGACGAAGTAGATCCAGTCCCAAAAGGAGTGAGCATCCTGGACGTAGTACATAATGTCCGTCCAGCCCTCCAAGCTGATCACCTGTGCATCACAAAAGACCCTCAAGACCGGGTATCATTCTAATAAAGGATCCTTATAAAATAGTTCCTGGCTCACCAGGAATATGGCGACCCAGGCCAGACCTATGTTATCAAAGGATATGGTCCCCTGGAAAGGATTGTTCCCCTGGCCCTTGCACTCCGTGTAATAGTAGTTCCAGTTAACGCAGGTGGCATTGTTGATGAAGGTGGCGTTATTATTCGGCAGGGCGGTGCTGTTGCAGACGAGGTTCCCTAAAATCCCCCAACATGTCTAGGGTGTTCCCATCCTGGTTGCCGATAAGGGTCCCTATACTTGCCTAACTTCAGAGGAGGGAGATCGCTGCAGGAGTGCATGCCACTATCGTCAGGCCTCGAGCAGATATAGTCCTGGCCCTGATAGTCGAAGTACTTCTCCAGGTCGCTAGAAAGACAAGAAGAGCGCACAAAAAAGGGGGACGTCGAGGAAGGACGAGACCGGGGCTCCTCGCGAGACATCTCACGTACGGATGCATCTCCATGCGTGTCTTATATGCTTATCAGAGCGTGTCTTATATGCTTATCAGAGCGTGTCTCATATGCCGACTTATATACCGATTCGAGCAAGTCCCGACTTTCATACAGGTTGGTGTGTCGTGTGAGTGCTCGCAGGCAAGTCCAACTCCGAAATGCACGCGGCCCTTCCCTTCCTCTCCCTGTCGAGGTCCTTATCAGAGCCCTCGAGACCTTATCTAGACACCGGAAACGAGTCGCGAGTGCTGGTGCACGTCCTAGACACGTCCTAAGCGTGCCCTCGAGGTGCAGGCTCATTCCCATGAGCTCGAGGGTGCCCTTAAACGGGGACCTTCGGCTCCACCTTCCGAACGAGGTCCCCGAGGACCTCTCCTCCACCTTTTCAGCCGAACCAAAAATCACGGCGAAGAGGAAGATAGTGTGTCACATCGACGCATGCACCGCAAGAGAGATTCCCCTAGACGATTGGCAAGGTGCCAGGACGACTCCCTCGACTTATGTATATGCTGAACGGTCAATGGATGGATCTATGTACAACGGGATCCCGGAAATTGGGATAGGTCAAGAGACCTCGGGATGTGACATCTCGAAGCCAACACCCTGATCTGATCTCGAAGCCAACATACCAGGAAGAGAAGGACTTTTTTCCCATCCCTTAAACAGCTGAGCGGAGAGATATTATATAATAATATATAAGATATATTATATAAAAATAATATTAAAAAAAAATAATAAAAATCTCTATTCTCTCTCTTTCAGTCTCTTTACCTCCAAAGTCGGATCAGCGTTTATGGTTCGTTCAAGGGGAGGATAAAAAGGACATGTCAATGGACGATGTGAGGCGACACGGCACACAGGTACGACGGGCATGCTCTCTAGGAAAGACGTATGTATATATAGAGGTATATACATATATATGTACACACAGGACAGAGGCACGCACTAGAGGTATACAGACGACAGAGTTTCGCAGAGCACAGGATGATGTACAGGTGTGTGTGTGTATGTACACGGAGATATATATATAGATATGTATGCACAGAGTGGCCGTGCGCTTGCGCACTGCCCTCTCTACTGGAGGCTTACTAAATTCGTGTTCGAACCGAGTACTCGTCCGAGAGTAACCTGCAACAGCGAAACAAGACCCTGTCACTGGCCCTTTGGGCTGGCACATTGTTCTACGGATCCTAAACAGAAATCATCCTCCGGCCCCGATCTCTACACCTTAATTAAAATCGAATCCCGTCCCTTGATCCAATTCTTCAAACCGCCCTCCTTTACGCAGTCGCAGGGGGTCCTCGGAAGTCGTTTCCACAGAGAGAGAGAGAGATAAGAGAGATATACAGAAGCCGACAGAGCAGGGTATGGAGATTTCTACGGAGACACCTTCTACACGAAGCTAGAGAACTCCAGTCTACTTGCCAGGCGAGAGAAGAAACGCGAATCGAATTTACAGAACGCGATAGCTCGTCTCTAAGTGATAACGTGCCACGGAGAAAGTGGCTGCACTTGCTAGCCCTTTGACTACTAGGAGCCCGACGTTTGGTCCAGTATTGCCCGCACGGTCAGGCGAATTTCGCCCGTATGTCGAAATCCCTCCGTGTTCAAAGGGTTAATTAATCCTTGCGACACATTTCGGGCAATCTGATACACTGATTTACATCAGATGTAGAGCTGTAGATTGGGTGGAATTAACTGCGGGATTTTCCAATCGCTACGATCCATCGCAACGAGTGTGGCCACCTTAAGGTGATGTGGAAGTGCGACAGGGAGGTCTCGTTAACGATACTATCCTCCGAGCTGGGTGTATCGAATCGTTTAAAACTCCACATGAAATGGAAATTCATGAAATAAAAATTTTATAAAAAATCTCGAAGATGTTTATAAGGAAATTTTGGTAAAAATTGAAATTTATGGGTAGCTTCTAAATTCGCGATGCAGTCTGTATAAAAGTTGCATAAACGAGGCTCTTGGGGGGACTTTCACACCCCCTTAAGGAGGTCCTTTCCTCCGTTTCGGGATTTTCGTCCTGGTATCCAGGGTGACGTCAGTCCAGGGTTCGTCGGCTCGGCATTAACGATGGCCGGCAATCGGGCGAGAAAAGCGGGATGCAGGTCTCTCCAGTAGGTGTAAAAAAGCCGGAAAGGTGTAATCAGGTGTTACAAGCACGGGAGGGGCCCTGAGGGATCGGCTCGATAAATCGATAGCTTATCACGGGGCTGGCGTCACTTACTCGGGGTACTTGACGTTCGGGAGGGCCTTCAGGAAGCACCGCTGTCGGAGGATCCCTTCCCACAGCTGGACCCCGACGATGCCGAAGATGAAGAAGACGAAGAAGCAGAGGAGCAGGACGTTCCCCAGCATCGGCAAAGTGTCCAGCAGCAGCATCACCAGGATCCTCATGCCTTAAAACGAGATACCCCCCTTATAAAAGATGCCCGTCCTCTTCCATCGCCGCCACTCACTTGGGATCCTATTGATAGCCCTGAGAGGTCTCAGCACCCTGATGGTCCTGATAGCCGACAGATTCATGTTCTCCACGTTCAGGCAGTACTCTAGAGCCCTGCAACCCCGAGGGAAACTCACTCTCCGATCCCATTTTCCGGGGACCAAATTTGATAAGGCCTTTTTTAAGGCGGTGCGAAATTGCCCTGAGACTTTCCCTCAGACCGGTGCACCGAGTCGTGTGAAACTTTTTCAACGTGGACGTGGTAACGTGAAGTTCCATATTTTATAAAGAAAATATGTTAAGAATGTTCATATAGAATTTTTCTTTTTTTTTTCATCGACATTTCATGGGCGGAAGGACCTTCCTTGTAGCCTCCGCACCCACGTGGTGAAGCTCGGAGACGATTCGGTGCCCCCAGGTCGGAGAAAAGATTGGTTCCTCGAAGGAGACCTCTTTAGGGCCGCCTTAACGGGCAAGAAAAAGTAGCATCGTACCCGGCGACGACGATGAAGAAGTCCAGCCTGTTCCACGAGTCGGCCAGGTAGGTCCCCTTCCCGTAGATGCCCATGGCGACCATCTTAATGGTCATCTCTAGCGAGAAGAAGGCGAAGATGATGTCGTCGAACATCTGGAATAGGTGGAGGCGTCGATTAAGGTCCTTTTTTATTTAAGGATGTCGCGGGTTCCGGGCCGATCCAAGATGGCGGCTTTTCCCGAAGACGAGGGACCCTTCTCGGGCGAGAGAGCAGCATCTCGCTGGCCAGAAATACCTTTTATCATAAACCGTGACTGATTTATGTCGGCATCGATAACATCTCGCCGTTAAGTTCGGGACCCTTTCATCTTCGACCTCGAAGAGGCGCCGGATTTTCGAGGTCGGCCCGGATTCGCTCTTAAAGGTACCTGGAGTATTTTGCACCGATTCGTCACGCACTGGTCGTCGACACATGGCTGGTACATCCCGAGGGTTATGCAGTTCAGGAGGATCACCATCATGCTTATCCTCTCGAACCACGTGTCATCTGGGTTAAGGAACATTTACGAGCCGGCGTTGACACCCTGAAGAGTGAGCTTCCCCGAGTACCTCCCCGACCTCGGTTTAGATTCACCTCGTTTCAATCAATTCCGAGAGCTTTCGAGTCCCGGTAGAATTCCCACCGGCATTTAATGTCACTCTCTATGTTATCAATAATCTTGTCAAATTATCGTTTATATACTTATCATTTAATAATACTATCGTGTGATCATTTCTAGCAAAGTTGTAGCCTTTTCAGCATTTTCGAGCGATCTCGTCTTTTGGCAGGGTTCCTATCGGTATTTTATTTATTTGTTCTTTTTATCATTTTATCACCGCAGCAGCGAACAATTTTTTAGCAAGTCGAGCTGTCAAATCTGACAAGTCGGTATTTTCTTTTCATCATTTTATCATAGCAGTCGCAAACAATTTTTGGCAAGTCGAGCTGTCAAATCTAACAAGTCGGTATTTTCTTTCATCATTTTGTCATAGCAGCAGCAAACAATTTTTTAGCAAGTCTAGCTGTCAAATCTGACAAGTCGGTATTTTCTTTCATCATTTTGTCATAGCAGCAGCGAACAATTTTTTAGCAAGTCGAGCTGTCAAATCTGACAAGTCGGAGTAGCTAGTCCGACTCCACGTGTTCCCCCAAACAACTCTCGTCTCCCCTCGTTTTCCCTCATTTCCGTCGGTCCCCCTTCGCCTCGTTTCCGGAATTTCGTTTTCCCCTGCGACTCCCGGTACGAGGGTGTTATCGCGTGGCCGAACTATCACCGGCTGCGAGTAAAATCGATTCGTTGTTGCCAAGTGACCGAGTCCTAAACACACCTCGTGGCCTACACCCGTCTCTAGCTTTCGAGCCCAATTACCATTTATATCAATTTTTTACTCGATATAAAAAGGGTACTTCATCACGACCTCCCTTATCAAATGAAGCCTAACCAATATCTGAAAAGGGTCTAAAAACTGAAAAGATTTAAACCTTAAAAATGTCTTAATATCCAATTTTTGTCGTCACCTCTAAACCAATGCACCTTATCAGAACCTCTCTGATAAAGAATTCCCCTAGATCCGACGAATCGTTCCACGGCCTTATAAAAAGTCTCCACCCTACCAAAAAATATAATCAATGAGCCGTCTAACTAATGTAATTCTTTCGTGACCTCTAAAACGCTCCCCCTTATCAGCACCTCCTGATAAAAAAAGAAACGTTCTACCCTCAGCGATCATAAAATCGCTCCCGAATTACACCCACGCCAGGTAACCCGAAGTAATCAAAGGTGAAGGATCATTGTCCTGCCCCTTCTTCAGCATCCTTCGTCTACCTTCGACCTCTCGGGAGAAATCTGAAAGGGAGATCGAGGTCTCGTCGAGACGGCGGAGGCAGCTTCCAAAAGGAAGGCGACGTGGAGTTCTCCCTTCCCGGGTCGATAAATAAGAGCGAGCGACAGAGGGAGAGAGGAAGAGGGAAAGAGAGCGGAATAGCGAGAGGAACCGAGAGAGAGCCAAATGGAACGATGGTAATCGACTGAATTGAAACGCCAACCTCGTCTGGAGGCGACCTCAGGGATTATTTTAGCGCGGCCGCGAAAACGAGAGAACCGCCGACTACGATGAAGATCGTCGAGGGAGAGAGAGAGATAATCGCGGATAATCGAGCGGGCGATTGTCAAGAGTCCTGGAGAGTCCTGGCGAGGTCGGGAGGTAGGAGGTCCTCGAGGACGCGAATGCAAAGCCCGGTGGTCTCCGCGATGTCGGCCTCCGCCGATCAATACCGACAGCCTCCGACGCCAGTTTCCGCATCCTCTCTCGGAAATCCAGAGCGTGAGAGAACTCGGGAGAGGTTTTCGCCAGGAGATCCTTCGACGAAGGACGAAATACGGAAGGATCCCTCGAGGGGCCTCAAATTTCGCGCGTGGCGCGCGAGGTCGATCAGCTGATCGATATCCTGAGATTCCCCGTGTATCTTGGGAGAAATAAAATTTTTCTGGGATTTTTACGTGAAAAGGCTTCCCTTGACAGGAGGTCCTGGCACGAAGGAGGAGAAAAAGGATCGCCAGAGGGGCCTCAAATTTGACGCGCGTCGCGCGAGGCCGATCAGCTGATCGATCAGCTGATCGAGTCCGTGGGCTCCCCCAGGTGTATTAAGAGAAATGTCATTTCCTGGCATTTTTTCCTGAAAACGGAAATGACAAGAAGTCCTGGAACGAGGATGTAAAAATAAAATCAGATCACCAAAGGTCCTTAAAAAAAAAAATTCATATCGATCAGCTGATCACTCCCCCCGGGGTAGGTCCCGTCTCGAGTGCTCTGGGATAAAAACCATGTTCCCGAGAGGGTTTCCCTAAAAAGATGAAAAAAGCTCGCAAGCACTCGACGGGCGCAACACCTCCAGAGGCGTTATGCCACTCGGAGGTAAAGAGTGGCCCTCCAGAAAATTACCATATTATTACGCGGCCCGGCGAGCGGGAGTAAAATCAAGCAGAAGAGGAATCAGAGGGCGGAAATTCGCTTCCCTTTCGGCGGCCCTCCAGATTGCCTGCAGAAACAATTCCGCCAGGTCGTCGATTGGACCCCCCCTGGCGTTTTTCAATTTCCTACCTCCTCTCCGAGGAATCCCGGAAGCTCCGCAATCGGTGCCGAATAATTGACTCCGGTAATTGGGCACGGCGGAGACGCGAAACGAGTCGGCGAAATTCGCTGGAGGTCGAAAATAGAGATAAAGGAGGAGCAAGAGAGGCGGAGTGGAATATAGAGAGAAACCGGACCCCGAATCGACACGTGTTCGCCTCGTTAAGCCCCTCTTCTCTGTGTATGCCTGATTCCTCGGTGCATCTGCAGTCCACTTCCGATCGACTTTGCATGCCCATTTCCGGACTGCCCAGGGTCAATTGGCGATCCCCGGCCTCCTGGAAAGAGGATAATCGACCTCGCCTATCGACCTTTCTCTCCCTCCCACGGAGGTTCTCGCGTATGTAAAAGACACGTCGCGATGCGTGGGAATGATGCAGATTACGAAAAGTAATACGAGAACGATGACGAAAAGAGAAAATGGAGGAGACTCCCGAAAATCCAATCATGATGAAGAATCTGACGAGGAAGTAAAATTTACGAAAAATCTCGCGAGGAAGAAAAAACGACGAAGAATCTGGCGAGGAAGAAAAATTTACGAAAAATCTTCCGAGGAAGTCAAAATCACGAAGAATCTCGCGAGGAAGAAAAAATGACCAAGAATCTCGCGAGGAAGAAAAAATGACCAAGAATCTCGCGAGGAAGAAAAAATGACCAAGAATCTCGCGAGGAAGAAAAAATGACGAAGAATCTCGCGAGGAAGAAAAAATGACGAAGAATCTCGCGAGGAAGAAAAAATGACGAAGAATCTCGCGAGGAAGAAAAAATGACGAAGAATCCCGCGAAGTAATAAAAATGACGAAGAATCTTGCGAAGTAATAAAAATAACAAAGAATCTTCCGAGGAACTAGAGACGATAAAGAATTTTCCGAGGAAGAGAATCTCATGCGAAGAATCATCACCAGCGACCACCTAAATTCCCAAATCCCGAGTCCACATTCAACAGTCATTAACACCTGATTTCCTGCCTAACAAACCCCCCAAATATCGATGTCCCCTCACCATCGCGAAACTGATCAATGACCAACCCTCCCAAACCTCCAATCTCCGACTTCACCCCCAACAATCATTAACTACCGTACCTAACAAACTCCCCCAGATATCGATATCCCCAGATCATTATCACAAAGCCCACCGATGACCTACAAGTACCACTAAAGAACCATTAACACCGACCTCCCTACCCAATAAACCTCCCGAAATATCGACATCCCCTAATCATCGGTACAGCTTATCAATCACCAACCCCACAAGTTTCAGCAAACAATCATCACTGTCGACCTCCTAAATTCGCAATCATTAACAGGAACTTCCCAGCCTACCAAACCCCATGAAATATCGATAACCCTTATCATTACCCGATAGCCTATCAATCACCAACCCCACAAGTTTCAATAAGCAATCATCACAGTCGACTTCCGAAATTCGCAATCCTTGACTTTTCGCCTGACAATCATTAACAGGAACTTCCCGACCTATCAAACCCCGCGAAATATCGATAACCCCTAATCATTACCCGATAGCCTATCAATGACCAACCCCACAAGTTTCAATAAGCAATCATCACTGTCGACTTCCGAAATTCGCAATCATTAACAGGAACTTCCCCACCTATCAAACCCCGCGAAATATCGATACCCTGTAATCCTAATCATACAGCGAATCGATCACCAGACCTTGCAACCCCTGGTGCAAGATCGTCACCAGAGAACTATCGACCGCAGAGCCCACGGACACGTAGAGGTGCATCCATTCGCCATTCCCGACCACGTGTGCGCGGGGGCCGGTTCCCTCGTCCACCTCGTCCACCTCGTCCACCCTCGCGTAGCCCCCGACCTCGGTATCGACCCCGGGCCCCGGGTGCGCCTTAGGAGGTCAGAGTCAGAAAAAGGATATGGATTGGTGATAAGAGCGAGACACCAGTTGCGCGGCCGAGTGGTCTGGTCGAGGTACCTCAGGGCGACGGGGACGAATCCCGGATAGGGCAAGCCGTCCCCGTCGTCCTCCTCGTCGTCGTCGTCGTCGTCGTCGTCGGGCTCGCCGGCGGCGTCGTCCTCGTCCTCGTCGTCCTCGAGGTCGCTGAGCTCGGCGACGTCGCTGTCGGAGCCCTGCTCCCCGAGGCCGTTGACGGCGCTGCCGGTGGCCGAGCGGTACCGGTACCCACCCTGGCCACCCTGGGGGTAGTGCAGCGACATGCCTCGCGGCTGATCCCGAGAGTCGCCCCGAGAGTCCCCTCTAGGACTCAGGCCGGGCCCGGAGGCGCGGGCCTAGGCGCCCCCTCGGACTCTCTCGACTCGACGCGGCCTCTCCACGACGGGCGCAGCCCCGGCATGCTCCCGGGCGACGGCGGCTCCCTCGACTGGCCAGGCATCGACGCCGGGATCCCGCCGAGGAGCGCCGCCAAGCCCGCGCCTGCGCGGCAAGGGGCGGCCTCGACCCCGACCCAGTCGCGGGCGCCCGATCCTGGTACCTCGAAGAGGTGGTTGAAGAGGTGAGAGGGGTTCCTGGGGGTTTTGTAGGTACTCTCCCAGGAAGGTGGGAGGGTGGAATGGATCGGCGAGGATCCAGCCGATCCTGCGACCCTCCCATCCTGGATCCTAATACCCCGAAGAGGGGTTTAAGCTTGCTAGGAAGTGAAGGCAGGACGCAGGACACCTTTGAAGCGATCTAGCTAGGACCTCCATGTAACATGCTCAACGAGGCTGAAAACTACATCGACCACACGTTGCACTCGTCATCCACCACGTGGACCAGCGAGGCGCGACCTCGAGCTTAAGGATACGTCGCGTTAAAGCGCGCGGTACTCGTCACGAGGACCGGAGAAAAATCCAGCACGTACTGACGTCTATTTTTGGGGCGCGTGCCTCTCGAGATCGCGAGGCTCCGCGTGCGGTTTGTCCGCACCGGAAAGCCATTTCCCGAGCCCAAATTGAAGCCGGATGCGCCGCCGAGAGGGCCCAAAAAGAAAAAGAGAAAGAAATCACCCGGGTACCGCGTCGCTACCTTGAGGCGATCAGCTGATCGGCGCGACGTCCTGACACGAGTGACAGTTCCAAGCCTGATCTAAAAATCCCTCTTGAACCCTCGTCCAAATCAAGACATAAACTTGAATACTGATAATAGATAGATTGGATAATTATAAAATAATAATAAAATCACATTGTCTCTGTGACGTCACATCCAGCGTCTAAGTTAATGAAAATTACAACGCATTAGATTCGATTCCAGTAGAAATGCACTGATACGGCGATAACGCAATGTCACGAGTGTTTCTATAGTTTACAAATTGTAACTTTTTCATTTTAAGTTTTTTTTTTTTTTTTTTTCCTGGGAGATATGTCTAATTAATCCATATTAATCTCCGGAGATTTTCATCAGAAGGGGGTTTACAGAGATCGCAGGAGCCCGGGTCGGCTGGGATCGATCCGATGCAACCTTGATGAAGGCTGCACATTGGTGCACATTGCTGCACATGCACGCTCCCAGCTCCTGAGAGACATACAGCAGTCCCAAGTGCGAGAGCGAGTACCGCGCGCTCCATTAACTAAGAAGGCACGTACGAAAATATCCGCCACGTACGTCGGCACGCTATGTCAAAACAGCGCAAAGAAGTATCCCTGCACTAGGTCTGGGAAATATTCCCCCCGAAGAGGGCAAGGTAGGGCAGCCTTCGTTTCGCATCTACGAGACCTCGACCTCCCAGGGTCGACGGACTCCATTAATCTTGACAATAAATCCCCGAGATGTAAGGTCTAGGTCTAGGCGCGAAGTAAAGAAATCAGTATCGCACAGGACAGGGAAATATTAAATTAATTGCTCCATAATTATCCGCACTCTTCTCCCCGAACTGGGACTGCGAAAAATTGCGGATAATTATGGATGAATAAAAATCGATGAAAAAGATATGGTAGCCCCTCTTCATCTGATCTTCCTCTAAGGTCTCACTTCCGACCTTATCAATCGAATTTATCCTACCATTGATTAATAAGTTTCGCTCTCGAGGAAGATTAATACGTACACGAAAAAAAGAGAGTGCACTTCCGAGTGATATAAATGTCTACGACCTTCTATCGACTATCGACGAGGAATCTATCTATATTTCGCTCTTTCTTGAGATTCTACTCAAGCTCTTTATTCTCTCGATTGATCAACATTTACAAAAACCGACCGAGACCGGAACTCGCACCCTGATGTATCATACAAAATCTCGTCAATGCGACGTAAATAGACACCGTCGATAGACACGACTGTACACTCCCTTGTTCACCGAGCGATCGGGTTAACAACCGCGATCGAGATAACGATTTTAATTGTTCTTCGCATCCAGCAGGGCTGATAACCGCGCAGGCTCCGTGACAGGCAAGGAACATGTCCGGTGTCTACAGACATAAGCGGTAGCGCGGCCATTAAGAGGCGCCATGTTTGTCAGAACTTCATTCCTCGACAGAAGTTCTATGCTAGCTTCATCCACCAGCAACAAGGTCCTTCCAGGCAGAAGTCTTCCCCGGACGACGCGAAGCAGTGCTTCGGTGTCTTCGGCATCCTTCTTCCCAGCTACGAAGATCTGCGGAGTCGGATAAACAATTTAATTAGTCAGCTGATTCTGACGAAGAAATGGGAAATGACAAGTCTCCACACTTAAGGGGACGCGAAAGTGGCCTCTGAGAGGTCGATCGTTCATGAGATTCCATTTTCATCAGATATTTCTAAAATGTTTATAAAGAAATTTAAGCAAGAAAAAATGAAGTTTCACGAGTGTCCGGACCTTCCTTACAGCCTCCACGTTCACGTTGCAAAGTTTCAAACGATTCGGTACACCCAGGTCGGAGAAGTTTCGTAAACTGGAGGCTCTTCGCCGTCGCTTTCACACCCCCTTAATACAGATGTGGAAAAGATATATATCGGGCACCTGCGCCACTGCCTCGTGGTGAGTTATCAGCGCGCAGACCATCTCCGGCACGCTGGTGGGCATCTTCGCCAGGGTCTCCCCGAAGTGGAGCAAAAGTCTCGCAGCTTTATCGCTGAATTCGGCCCGATTGAAGTAGGAATGAAGCTTCAGCAAATTCCCACAGGCCACCGAGTTGCTGGACGGCTCTGCCCCGTCGTGATCTGCAATCGTGCGTAACGTAACTCAGGGTGTAAAAATAATTGAGACTCGGCAAGATTAATCGAGGTCGCCCTAAGCTTTCAGTCCTGACGTCCAAGTGCCGGCGATGCCGTGGCCCAACCTAATCTCAAAGACGAGTACGCCTTGACGTATTCGCAGCTAAATGGTTTTCGAAATCTCGCGAGCAGGGGCCATGTGGATCTCCTTAAAACAGCACCGACATTTTCAGGGCTCCGTTCCAGGAAGCTTCAATTCGCCCGATTGTGCGTCTCTAGAGTTCCCATAGAAGTCCAACATGCCCCGTGCGTTTCTACAAGACCATCGAAAACGGCTCTATCAACTAGGGTCTACTGTACAGCTACAATAGTGATATGTACTATTTTTTTTCCCTAAACCATATCTGATGACTTTTCGAGGGAAACTGTGTGTTTCGGTCCAGCAGAAACGCATGCTAAGGAACTGGCTGGAATTAATTTCCTCTTTACCATCCTTCATCCTGAAGATGACCGAAGGATCTCCTCCGGTGGTCGAGAAGTACGCTGCACTTTCCTGGTCCCAGAAGAGTTCGTCCTGGATGTTCTGCAGCTCCTCTGCGAGCTTTAGCCAGTGGGTATCCAAACTCGCCTCGTAAAGGTCCAACAATCCTCTGACAATAAACGCATAGTCCACGTGGAAGCCCTCGATCGGCGTGGACCTGGGGGCGCAGAAACAGTTTAACCGACAGATTTAGAGATTTATTTATCCTAGGGCCTCGGATAAATTCTTACTGCCAAGTCCTTACGTCTGGGTGATCCTGTCGCCCTCGTCGCGATAACAACTGCGAAGAAGGACGCGGTTCTCCCTGTCGAAGAGGTACTTCTCGATAAATCTCGCAGCCATCTCGGCGTACTCCACGTACTTCTTGTTCCCTGTAGACGCTCCTGCGATCGACAGCCCGCTGATCATGAGTCCTGGGAAGGAATGAACCGAGATTAGGACCTAAAGAGGTTCCTGAAGGATCCGTGAAGTTTGTATTGGTATTGACCATTCCAGGCGGTTACTATTTTGGAGTCCAAGTGAGGCCTCGGTCTCTTGGATCTCTCTTCGAAGAGGATCTTCAACCCCTCTTCGATGTATCTCTTGGTGTCCTCCGTGCTCATCTTGAAGTGCTCCGCAGTCTTCTCCAGGCTACCCTCGATCATCAGGACATTCTGTCCGCATAATTCTTTATGAGGATCCTGGTGGATAGATCTATTTTAATTATCTACCACTGTGTGCTATCGATGTAAATTAAAGATTTAATGATGTGGGAGACAAACTTCGGAGCTCCGCACGTTTCCCTCTGGCCGGACCATGAAGTGGAAGCAGAAGATATCAGACAGGGATAAATTCTCAGAGCTTGGGATTCTCTTGTCGAGGAGGCTTTCAACTTCCAGATATGTCCACACGTAAAATGCTCCTTCCCTTTTGGCCTTCGAAGACTGCGATGGCAAGGAGTCTGCATCTTCCGCACTGTAAAATCCTCCTTCCTGAAATAGAATATATGTAACAAAAACGATCGTGAAGATCTAACAATGTATATGGAAAGTAGAAATTTATTCAACCTTGTGACGGAGATCCCTAGTAACGTAGGTAACGATGTCGTCCACGATTTCTGCGAAGAACTCGTCTTTGGTGGCAACGTAAGCCTCTGCGTAAGACCTCAACAATTGCCCTTGATCGTACAACATCTTTTCAAAGTGTGGAATGTGCCATCTGCCATCTAAGGTGTACCTTGCAAATCCCTGGACCAATATTTATATATAATAGTTAATATTTATTAAATAAAATAAGTAATGGCTTTTGATCAAAGCCACTTTTTTTTGTTATGAGTGACGTATCGTTTACCTGACCAACGTGATCGTGGATTCCACCTCTGGCCATTTTTATCAATGTGTTCGTACACATCTTGAGATATTGTTGGGCAGCTTGTCCAGAGGGATTCCTCGCGTACATCAAAAACAGTAGATTTAAATTCACTGGTTGAGGAAATTTTGGAGGATCGGTAAACCCTCCGTACGCATGATCGTACCGCCTTGCTAACTGTCTCGCACAAGTCTCTGCCGAGTCTATCGAAGGTATCGATTCACTCTAGAACCGAAAACAATTCTCTCAACAAATCTTCCACAGAGGATGCTTCCAGAAAAGCACACACCTACCGCTGTTCTGGAAGAAACCACAACCGTTGACTTTAACACTTCGATCATTTTCTTCCCAGTCTTCAGAATGTTATCTCTGTTCTCATTCCACTGAAAAATGGATTGCATGTGATATCTCGAAAAGCTTAAAACAATGCCAGATAATTAACTGGGTAGGCTATTTACTTGTGTAGCGATAGCAAGAAGGACTGTCTTGAAACCTGCCTGACCATGTTTATCGGTAGGTGGAAAATAGGTACCTCCAAATACCGGTGATAAATCCGGAGTCAAGAAAACGCTCATGGGCCAACCACCATGGCCCGAAAGCGCCTGCAATTAATTGAACAACCTATTCTATGGTGAAACAAGAATAAGAGTTAATGATGTAAAGAGGACCTTAGATATTCCTTCAATTTACCACAATAAAGCTCATGTATATATTGTCGATGTCAGGCCTCTCTTCCCTGTCGACTTTGATATTAACGAAGTAACTGTTCATGACTTTAGCAATTTCAGGGTCCTCAAAGGACTCCTTTTCCATTACGTGGCACCAGTGACACGTGGAGTACCCAATGGACAAGAAAATTAGCTTATTCTCAGATCGAGCCTTCTCCAATGCCTCCCGTCCCCACGGATACCACTGAACAGGATTTGTCGCATGCTGCAGTAAGTACGGAGACTTCTCGAGAGCTAATCTATTCTGCTGCTTCCCTGGAGAAGCATGAGGATCACCGTCAGATGACGTCGAAGCCATTCTCAACTCGAGAGAGACGACAGCCGTCGACGAAGAGTCGCTTCTATGCAAAATAAACGAAATCAATATACATGCTATATACCGTGCACAGGTCAAGCCAGTATTAATGTCACAGCATTACCTAACGAACTGACTCTTGACTATCGAAGGAGCTGTTGATTCCGGAGCAGCAAGAAATCCCTTCCTGCGATTGTTCAGAGAATGTTTAGACAGTTCTGCGAAACAGCGAAGAGTGTTCGCAAGGGGCCTTCTCCCCGAGATGACAAGGTTCATAACCCGCGCGGGTTACTAAACAATGTAGGTTAAAACGCAATAATCATACGTAATTCGACTGCAATTGAATGTCACTTAGGACAAGAAATTCAGCTATTGTACATTGTCAGAAGAGCCAAGCAGGTGTCAAAGTAGAAACAGTCGAGAGAACGTCGATCAAATCTATGTACCACTGATTTGAAAAGAAAACCTACGTTTTTAATTTGTGGAAAACAAGATGCGTTTTTCAAACGTGTCCAATTGACCCCTCTTCTACCAGCAAACCACAGCAAACACTCACAAACCTCCTGTATATTTTTCCCTTCCATTCTGATAGGTTAAGGCACGTTCTGCTTTCACTAGAACGACCAATCCGGGCGTCCTTTTGTACAGGAGCTCCTAACCTCACTTTCCTTTCCTTACGGGCCGCTCCGCGATAAGGTTACGTTGTCATTAACAGGTCGGAATATTCGAAACCATGTACGAGGAATATACTGAACAGGTAAATATTATTCCAAACTAATTATTATCAGAACTGTGATATTAATCCGTGGAAAATGTGGCCAAGCAAGTATAAGGGTTCAATGAAGCGTGTACGCGTCTCGCTGTGAAGCATAAGAAACATGGGTATGGTTGTACTTGAGACTCTAATAGGTAAATAACGAGTTATTAACCACCTTTTTCAGTATGAATATGATGAATATGGCGCGGCGGAAACCCACTCGGAACAGTACGACAGGGCGAATTACAGACCGGTGCCGGAGGTGGTCAAGAAGTTTCTCATCTTCTTTCGAAACTGCATTAACGAAGGCATGATCTTTGAGATTCAGAACCTCTACGAGAACTCCTTTCCAAAGATATCGGAGCAGTTCTTCGACAAGCAATCCTGGCCGGATGAGTCTCAGATTGCTCATATCGTCGAAAATGACCAGGTCTTCCTAATCCTGTACAAAGAGCTCTATTATCGTCACATCTACGCTAGAGTACAGGGACCCACCCTGGAGCAGCGCTTTGGTTCATTCTACAATTACTGCGATTTGTTTAACTACATCTTGAAGCCGGAAGAACCGGTTCCTCTGGAGCTGCCGGACCAGTGGCTCTGGGAACTTATTGACGAGTTCGTCTACCAGTTCCAAACCTTCGCTCAGTACCGAGCCAACATTTCTAATAAAACGCCGGAAGAACTGGAACTCCTAAGCAATCACAACAAAATCTGGGATGTTCTCTGTGTATTGAACGTTCTGCACTACTTGGTCGACAAGTCGAAGATCAAAAGTCAGTTGGAAGTCTACGCCAGTGGAGGAGACCCTGACTCAGTGGCTGGAGTTTTTGGCAGACACTCGTTGTACAAAATGTTGGGCTACTTCTCGCTAGTGGGTCTCCTTCGGCTGCACTCCCTGCTCGGAGACTATTATCAAGCGATCAAGGTCTTGGAGAATGTGGAACTCTACAAGAAAAGTGTCTACTCTCACGTCCCAGGATGCCAGATCTCTACTGCGTACTACGTAGGTTTCGCTTACATGATGATGCGTCGCTATGCAGATGCCATAAGGACATTCTCTGGCAGTCTGCTCTACATTCAGCGAACCAAACAGCTTTTCACCACTCGAAGCTACCAAAATGACCAGATCAACAAACAGACCGAACAGATGTACCATTTATTGGCAATCTGTCTCGTCTTACATCCCCAGTGTGTCGACGAGGGCCTCCAGCAAGCACTGCGTGACAAGAACTACCACGAGAAAATGTACAAAATGCAGTACGGCGATCTCACAGAGTTTGAGTCTTGTTTTCTGTTCGCTTGCCCAAAGTTTCTTTCATTGGTGCCACCGAACCCTGACGCGCCCGGTGAAGACCACGTGAGGGAAGCTATCCAACATCAGACGCAAGTGTTCATGGATGAAGTCGTACAACAGAAGATGCTACCTACGATACGGTCCTACCTCAAACTGTACACGACTCTTCCACTAAGCAAATTAACGATGTTCATGTGTAGCAGCACAAGGCCGGATGAAAGCTGGGTTTTGGACGAGGAAGTGAACAGCTTGATTATCCACTTATTGTGTTTCAAGCATAAGATGAAGAACATTGTTTGGACAAAGGGAGCTTCGGGACTAGATGGCAAATTCCAGTCAGGCTCGGAGGTAATTCTGATTCTTTTGAATTAAAAATCTTAACCATTTTTTATGTTAAAAAAAACTCAATGGCAAATATTTTTTACAGCTGGACTTCTATATCGATCATGATATGATCCACATAGCGGACACAAAAGTATCCCACCGTTACGGGGACTTTTTCATTCGCAAGATCCTTAAATTCGAGGAACTGAACCGCAAGCTCCGTCACATTAAGATTTAACTCAGGGAAGTGAGTGTCACCGTCGATGTATCACGATTTTAATAATAAAAAAAAAAGACCAAGAGACTCTGTAGACTTCTCTTCTATACACTATTTTACAGCCATTTTACAATTCTTATCCCAGTTTCAACGTCGTTAAAATTCCGAAATTTATATCCATGCCAATCGTTGAACTTTAAACTCACGTAAAGCACAGTTAATATTTTAAAAATTCAATTCGAGAAGTCGAATAATACTTTTCAAGTCTTTTAATAAAGTGATTGTATTACTACCGATTTATCACGATCCTTCGAGGGGTAGAAAATATTTAAAAAATAGAAATACAAATGATACATGTCTATACATACGTGAGATCAAATAACGACGTTGAGACGATAACATAGTATTAATTTCTAAAATCCATCACCCTGAGGGTTCAACACGAAGAGCCTTGCAAATAGTAGCAGTCAATGCAGGCTTCATCGGTGCATCTATCATCATTATATCCTGAAGATAATGGAAGAATCTATTGCCACGCTTAACCTTTGCTTTGACATTCTCAATTCTACAGATAGTTCGAATGCCAGAGAGGTAATCCAACTGCTGTCGACAATCCAGAGGGCACGGTATCAATTCTGACAGAGCGGAGACACTACTGTTCGTTCGCTGAGTTTTGGACAATTTTAGAGACTCTCGAATGTGAGAATTATCGTCGTTCAATCTGAGGACACTTTCCATCAGAGTGTCTGACATTTCACTACCAACGGCTTCGTGGATGGAGAAACAACTAAAATCCTCAGCAAGGGATAGGCTGGCACCGGGTTCCAATTCCCACGTCGTCTCAGGTGCCTCCTTCCTGTCAACAAGCTGTTGAGCTGTACTTAAGTTCACTAAGTCATCTGCTATCCTTGCTAGATCGTCACACTCGGATGATTCTGATTTTCTACACTTGTTTTTACTTCTATGTGCTCTGCGCTCCCTAGCAGGCTGAAAATTCTCCTCGTTCATCGAAGACCTCTTCTCAACTTGATCGCTGCCTAATTCAGTTCTTTGAACCGACGGTAACTTGTCTAAAACTAACATGCACTGCAATTGCAGCAGAGCTTGTCGTAGGTCCCCTTTGTGCAGAAGACTCTGAATGAAAGAATAAATACTAGTTTAATTCCACATACTTGTCAATTATATCCTCACTTAACGATATAATTTCACACTTTGAACTTACATTGATGCAAGACCTTGGAAGTATGCGACCAACCTCCTCAAGTGAAATCACATCCAACAGAGCTGCTGCTCCAGCACTGTTTGCTGGTTTGCACGATATGTAAATCTGTTGCGGTGCCATTTTCTTCATGTAGCTACACGCATGTCTGCTGGTCATAATTATCGGTCGCTTCGAATTACTTGCCAGCATGTTAGACGCTGATATAAATCCCTCGTCCTCCTGGAACACTATGTCCACATCTTCCATCAGAATCAGAGAATCATTCGTAGACTTCTCCGACTTAACAGGGAATGACAGGTAAGCTCCGAGATCGTTATTAATCCTGTGAGACATGGTAGCTTCTTGCAAGCTCTTCAATATGCCTTTCCCAGTCCGTTTTGACGATGCGTTCACCTCCAACACACTGTAACAATTTAGATCGTAAGAAAATAAATAAAAAAAAATGTAATTTCATTTAATGATTAAACTTTTCGTACTTGTAACCAAGTTCTTCGGACACTGCATACACTATAGCACTTTTCCCGCAGCCATGTGGTCCTATTAAAACTGCTACTCCTCCTGTAGTAGAAGTAACACTCGAAGCATTTGAATCAGTGGAACAAAACTCATCTCCGCTGCTGTAACATTCACCAGAGTTCACTTTCTTTTTCTGCCAATTGCTTAACCAGTTCCTAAGCTGAACAGCGGCTTTCTCATTCCCAATGACTTCTGCCGCATTCTTTGGTTTGTATTTATCAGTCCATATACAATACTGATTTGTCACATTGCCAGGTCCCTTAACATTATTATTTAACATCTTTGACTGAACCATCTTCCAAATTTGCCTTGCACCGGAGTAGCGACTTTCTATTTCACAAAACATTTTCTCTAGTTCCTCGTCACTAGGCCTTGGTGCAAATATTAAAGGTTCAGGTTCGCAAACTTCCTGATCGATATGACCTGCAATTGTCAGATCGATGCATTCCACGATATCTCCCACGCCATTCAACCTGCTATCAGGAACTTCTCTATTTTTGTTGCCAGTTAACCTTTGGTTGCTTGTCTGGTGCTTCCTCCCTTTCCGCGAGTCTGCAGTTTCCGATTTGCTCGAACTCTCCTTACGTTTCTTACGGGAAAAAATATTTTTCCACTGCACTTCGCAAGGTAAGGGAACGGTTGATCGATGTTTTAGCCCAAGCTCCTGTACATCGGATTCATCCGACAAGTCAACATCCAGCAGACTCTTATTTGATCCTCCTGTACCGACTCTCTCGTTAACTTTGTTAGACTCATCTGAAACACGATCCCTTTTTAAACGGTTCACCAAAATATAACCATAAAATACTAGAATAATTAAGAAGAATCAGCGATCAAAGTGTATTGGATCATTGCCATCGACCAAACTATTAGTTTAGGAGACTCCTGCTATTTATCTCATCATGGATATTAAACAAATGTCAAATAGAAAAAAACACATTCCAAAACTGATTACCTAATCTAAGCTCCAAGTGGCATTCCCCCTGCGTCATTATGGCCAAAGTTCGTTGCCTTGGATCCTGCGAAGCCTGCACCAGTGCTTTTTGAAGCACAGTGGTCTCTTTCCTAATAGACTTCTGAACTTTCCTGACGATAGAAAAATCAAGTTGCATTCCACATCCTTTGAGTTAAGATTCTACAGATACCATTATAGTTACCCGCTTATCGTCTCTGTACGACTAAACGTCCACCACTGCGCATCTGAACTACCTTGAACCTCGTCAGTTTCCTCCGCTTCCAGCTCGGAGTGTTTGCGCTTCTTGAGATCGCTACCAACAGCCGATCGAGTCGAACGCCTATACCTTGATTTCTCCTTAACCGCATCAGCCTCCTTGTGCTTACTTTGCAACAAGGCTTGATAAGCATCTTTCTTTTCCAAATTGTCAACACGATTCAGCGGTAAGCTGTCCGTCTTCTCGACAACCTTATTCAAGGAATTACTCGGTGAATTCTTTCCTTCCGTGTTCCTTCGAGCGTTGGATGTCTTGGAACTTCTAGTTTCTTTCCCACTATTCTTACTGACTCGGTCAGGACGACCTGACATGATGACAAGTTAACCTACACAACAGTAAAATTATTTTAGACACTCCTTGTACCACTCTCTGCATCAATCAAATAATAACCATTAAACAACAAGATTATTAAGTGATAATTCAGTGAAATATGGTATCAAACAATCATGTGATGAACTCGACATAACCTAACCAACTCAAAAAACACATTCGTACGAGCGTCTAAGGTCCACAATTTTACAATGATTTTCGAATATCCAGACACATTGTTAATGTACATACAACAAATTCTCAGCATTAGATACGTACGGAAATGTCAAAATCTGACAAGAACTATCCAAGTTACAACTCATTCGGCGCCTGAATACTTTTCCCGCGAAACGAGTTCCTATGACGTTGAATATCATAGAACGTCGCAGCAATGAAGTAGTATGAGAGACATAACCTCTATGCAGGGTTGGGTAATTTCATGATTTCACGCGTCGCGGTCAGGCGTCGCCATATACAGGGGTAACTCATTTCTAGCAGAGATGGGTTGTTAATGTTAACTGTCTTTTTTCCCCCTCTGATTCCAGTGTTTCATTTTAATTTGATACGCTCTAATGGTTGTTTTACAGCATTATCACGTTGTATATAATTTGTACTAACAATAACAGGTAGTACTACATCCGTTTATCGCTGCCTGTGGAAAAATTCTAATTTCTCAAGATATTCAAAAACATAACCTCTCTTCGAGCGTGCGCTTTGTAATCCATTTAAATGTCAAGCAAGACAGTAATGGATTTGGAATAAAACATTAATGATGGAGGAGGACAGTGAGTGCATTTATGAGAACCTTTGTAATAAAAGTAACATAATTAGATTAAGTAATCCGCAATAATAACTGTCAATGTCGGAGTATTAAAAATTAAAGAAAAGAATTAAAAAGCTAGAAAGGGATTTCAGAAATCGTTCCATTCTAGGATTAGTCAAAAAAAAGACACGAGCCAAGCGAGATGGGGACGTTCACATGTTGGCGGAGGTCCTTAAAGACCTCGGGGATCTCTACTTTGAATCAGGTCGATTAAATGAGGCCTTACAAGAATATCAGGAACAACTGGAAGTCTGCGAAATGTTGGAAGACAAACTAAGCTGCGCCGTGGCGCACAGAATGATCGGGGAAGCCTATGCTAGCCTTGGAGAATACGAACAGGCCCTAGCGCACCAAAATCTCCACCTTGGTATGAAACGTCGATCTTTAATGCATGAAACAAAAATGGTTAGAGGATTAATGTTTACTCCATATGGATTAAAATTGATTGGACAGCACAGAGGGAGCACACGAGGTTGAGAATCTCCTCGAGGAGCAGCGTGCCTATGCTACGCTGGGACGGACATACTTTTGTCTGGCCGAAGCTCTGCCAGAGAATTCGCCAAAGCGAGACAAAGCTCTTGCCGATGCCAAGAAGGCCTACAGCAAGAGCATACGCCTTTGTAATAAGTAAAGTACCACCCAAAACGAGTTTAAAGCAAAATTCTGCATTATCATTAGCTAATTCTTGAATTTCCGATAAGCCTCTCGTTTCTTACAGACTGGACAATACAAATATTAAGCTGGAGGAGATGATGACAATGCGAGCTCGCCTGCTCTTGAATCTGGGCCTTGTCCTCGAGGCTCAGGGCGAGCCACAAGAAGGTGTGGACCTCATCGAGAAGTCTGCAGAACTCTGCACGAAGCACAAACTCACCGAAGATCTGCATCGCACTCACATTGCCCTGGGTGCTCTTCACGAGAGGCAAGGAAATTTTAACTTGGCCCTGGAACATCTCGATAAGGCTTCGCAAGTCATCAGTTTGTCGATGAAGACCGAAGCCCTCATGGCCAAGGCTGAATTGTTATCAAGGATTGGAGACTGGTCTTTGGCACGAAAAGTCTTAGTTAATCTCTACTCGATGAAGGGGATCCCTCGGGACACTCAACGACAGGTTGAAAAATTGCTAAGAATCGGTAAGATGAAATCGATTAATTTTCTAATAAATAGTAGTATTTATAAAGTCTGGATATTTCAGTGGTGACAGTTCAGAGCACCGAGGAGGATGTAACGATGGAGACTGATCCAAAAACCAGGCAGAAGCTTTGTGAAAAATTAGGTGATATAAGTGTAGCTATTAAAAGTTACGAAAGGGCAATCGAGTACTATCAAGAGATGCTTAATTGTGCTGAGGAGACGAAAGAGGAGATAAGTGCTGCTCTAGTAAGTCTTGCGCAGACTATGCAAGATGCTGGACGAATCGATGAAGCTTTGCCCTTCGCTCGCAGAGAATTAGAGCTTTGTTCTGATTCACGGGAGGCTTGTAGGTTAGAAACCCCCAGAACTCATTGATCAATTGACCATTCTCTCTATGTAAAGTTCTGATAGTAAAATACACCTTTTCAGATCCGCTCTCTTTCTTGCCAATCTTTTGACAAGGAGCTCCAGCTTAGTTGACTCAGAAATCAGAAGCACCTTTGACCTGGCCTCGTCAAAGGCACAGGAGTGCTCCGATTCGAGCCTAGAGGCTTCGGTGCTGCGAGACCTTATAATCTATCTGGAGAAAATCGGCCAGTTGGACGAGGCGGAAAGAGTTAAGGAGAAACTGGACCGGCTGCCCATAACTGTTAACGAATCGGAGAGTGACTCGGAGCAGGAAAGTCCTGATATCGGAGCTGACATCTGCCTCGAGGATCTCCCCGATGTCCAGGAGAGTTCTACATCTACCAAGTAAGATAAAGTGGAAGGACATCGATAGTTTTGAGATTAGCTTAAGTAAATACAATCAGCTGTCATTTTAATAGGCGAAGGAACAAGTCGAAGGGCTCGAGTACTAGAACAGGCTTCGTAGTGAAGCGCAATAACAAGGGAGAGTCTCAGCTTCACGTTGCCTGTATCCAAGGGAACATGAAAACAGTTGAGAGACTTCTCGCTGCAGGTCATCCGACTAATACAAGGGACTATTGCGGTTGGACTCCACTGCACGAAGCTGTGAATCATGGATTTACGGAAGTTGCAAAATTACTACTGCAAGCTGGTGCTGACGTGAATGATCCAGGTGGACCGATGTGTGGTGGAGTGACACCGTTGCACGATGCTGCGGCCTGTGGAAATTTTTCCTCGATGAACCTATTGATTCAGCATGGTGCCGATGTAAAGCAGACAGCAGAGGATGGAGAGACAGCACTCGATTATCTGGAGGCCTGGAGAAAGCGAGTCGACGAATTGTCACCCAGTGAACAGCTGGACTACAACCATGTACACCAAAAACTGTCATCGATGCTGCCTGCAAATCTTCAAAGGAGTGGAAAGTCACCGGTTGTGTCTAGGGACTCGGACAGGGCTGAGAGTGACAGTGATAGTGATATTAAGACCCCGAGGAAGAGAATCTCCGCAGGAGAGGATTATAAGAGGACCATTGAAAGTTTAAAGAATCGAGCAAGTGTTATGTCAGCTTCTGTTAAGCGGTCCTCTGCTCAGAAGGTGACAGCTCCACTGCTCGACTGTAATCAAGTTACCGCAGATGAGTGGCTGGAGGATGACTTTGACATTCCTGAAGTAATCAACGAGTCTCCTGGTAGTGCAAAGAGAAAATCGCAAAGTGAGATTAAGGACCACGACAAGCAATCTAAGCGGAGGAGAATCAATTCTAGTGAGAGTGTTGACCACATCATTGGAGATTTGGAGATAGTTGACAGTGATAATGACATGCTGGAGACAACTGACAGCGCAGAGAGTTTTAGAAAGTCTAGAAGAAGACCGAAGCAGATTTCTCTACTCACTGCTGGGTTTACAAGAGACTCATCAACTCGCACTCCCTCACCTCAACTCGAAGAGGCTGCACCGGTGCATCTTCTGCGTTTGGAAGTTAGATTAGAGGAGAGGCTCCTCAAACTTACGATGACAGGTTCGGAGAGAGAACCTGTGACTGTAGCAAAAGTCATAAATGAGGTTCAAAACACTTTTGAAAAAGACACTGGCTGTAAAACGACATTAAGACTGATAAATGAACGCGTTTTGGAGCCTGCAACTGTTTTGAAGGGTTCACAGTCTGGCACTGAAACGCTGCAATTATCTGCTGAAGTAATCGACATGACTGTTCCACCAATCAACGAAAGGTACGAGATGATCTGCAGAGCCAATGGCATTGGTAAGTTATTAATTGTTAATAGCTTTGCAGTTTTTTTTAACAAAAATAATTCTCGGATGCTTCACTTTCAGGAATACGTGACCAGTTAATCGATTGCTTAAAGGAGTGCGAAAGATCAACGATCTTTAGACTAAGACATTGTGCGCTGCACGATAGAGAGTTGTCGACTCTGCTGACTTGCCTTGAATATCAGAGCCAAGTTCAAGTCCTAGACATGTCAAGAGCTGTACTGTTCCGCCATGGAAAACTAATATCTCGGATCGTGAGCAAGTGGTCTTCGTTACGGGAGCTGCATCTATATTGCTGTGACCTTGATCATGATGCTCTTATGCAGTTCACGAGGCTACCTATGCAGCTCGAAGTTCTAGACCTGAGTTACAATCCTCTGGGCCCGGGGAGCAGTGCAAAACTTTACGAGTTGATTTCTCCTTTGAGCCGGCTCAAAGAGCTCAACTTGTGCCACTGTGAAATCGATGATTTTTCTTTTGACCTGTCGATTGAGAGTCTAGTGTCAGTGAACGTGTCATGGAACTCCATGAGCGAGGCTGGAGTGTCTCGATTTTTGCAACGAAATCTACATTACCTCAATTTATCAGGTGTCGAGGTTTCAAACGGTCTTTCAGTGGCTCAAGCATTGTTTCGCAATGTCAGAATTATCCCGGAGAGTTTGCAGTGCCTCGAAATGGGGTTTTGCAACATTTTAGACTCTGATGTCGCTGAAGTCTTGTCACGATATCCTAATCTCAATCGGTTGGTGCTTACTGGGAACACAGGGTTAACTGTAAACTCAGTGCGCGCTGTTTTAAATTATAAACATACACTTCGTTATGTGGATCTTGGTGGCTGTACTGAAGTGAACGAACTGCCTGATCAAAATCTCCTTGGAGAAGAGCCAGTGTTGTTAACGATGACAGTCAGTATTGCTCCGAGAGTTCTCGACTCATGGAAAGCATTGTGGCGAGGCTTGAAGTGTGTTCATACGATGATTAATAATGTAGTTATATTTAATCCTGACACGCAGACTCAAAGACGTGAAAATTTTCAATCCGATCTAGGCAAGAGTTCGGGATTTTCTCAACGATGGCTTTGAAATCTGAATCTCTAACTTTGCTTAAAGGCTCGTCAATCGATCGTTACATTCTACTTGAAAGAAAGTTATTCCTTTTTCCTTAAACTAGAGAGTGCTCCTTATTTCAATTGAAACGTATACAGTCGATTACCCACTTTACAGTGTACCGTGTTAACCATAATTGAATTCTCCTCAGGACTGCTGGCAAGGTACTCGTTAAGGCTGCGAGTCATCGATGACAGTAGAGACTTTAATTGTTCTTCTTTGTCATCGAGTGTCCATAGGAAACTGATGTGATGCGAAGCATCCTAGAATAGAATCCAAGTATTGAATCGAAACTCGTTCCTGTATAGTGTATAGTCCTGACAAGTGACAGTATAAGTTCCACAATGCTTTCATATCTAAACATCACTCGATAACATGTACTTTTTTTAAACAGTTATTTTGTAAATAAATATAAAGACAATCAATAATTATAAGGTTTTCCAAAAGCTAATCACTGAAAAATCAGTGAAAATCAAGAGGTCATGACTTTATTTCCTAAGATGTTTCTTATAGTGTGGTAAACATAATTGAAAAGTAATATATATTTCTTAGTATATATATATATATTAAATTATGCAGATTACCTCGTAAAATGGTGGCAACTCGTACTCTGTCAATATCTTGTTTAAAGCTTCCGTAAACTCTTTCAGTATCCCGTCGTTGTTACGGCATGAGACACCAAGGAACGTTCTGGTTCTGTCTTCGTTGCAGTAGACCTTCACCTCATTAAGCTCCAGGATGAAGCGACTGGTCATTTGGCACAGCTCCTTTATACTGGCCATGATGGATTCGATCCAGTGAAACTTTAGAATCAGAGTACGCGTCAGACTGATGTGGAGTTGCTCGAATAACGTATTACCTGTCATCGGCAAGCTACTTTCCAATGATTTCATCCAATTCCTCATCGAGTCGCTGGGCACATCTGCACATCGGGAACATTTAACAGTAATTACCAAAGAATGTACTATAATAATTTATGCAACGTACAGTCTACGTAAACCAGAGTGGCCCAGTTTCCTCTCTCGTGCTTGAAACTTCTGGATCGACCGTCATGATCTGCAGGATCATCGACGATCTCTGGGTGATGCTCGACACCTTGCCACGATGAGATACTCTCAGGTAAAGGTAAACTACGATTAATTGGCGAAAATTAAATAATTTCCTTTACATGAATCAAGTTTTAAAGGACATAACCTCACGTCAACTGAGATAAATATTCACGACTTAATCTCAAAACTACAGATTATTTTCCAACCTACTAAGTATTCTTCGATTCTTCAGAATCTTCATTCTCATCCTCGGAGTCTGATAAATAACTACTTATTAATGATAAACCGGCCATAATGTATGATTGATAGGTTATACAGGTTATACAAAATTCTAATTCAGTAGTTTTCTTCTCTACCGATTGGTAGGTCGCAGTTCTTAGTGGTCCATAGACTTGAGAACAGAATAGAGGGCCTAGCGGTATTTTCAGAACATCTGTCAGTATTTCTCGACGGTAATACAGAATGGTAAATGGTTCGCGTCTGAAATTAACTTTCCGCGTGTCGTTGGATTTACTTGAGTACGGTATCAATTATTACAAGAAATGGCTAAATTGAACTCGTATTACACTTTGTGTCCTTTAATCGATCAACAAAGTCTGCTTGGCGTGGAAAAAGATTCCAGTTGCGGCTGTGCGGTTGTAACTCTAGGCAGGAATATTGTTATTCGATATAAGGTTAGGTTTCCCTTGCTCCTTTGTTACGCATAACTATTTCTGAGTATTTCTTGCCATTACTGAAATATTCTAGGTATGATAAGTTAAAAGTTAACCATGTTGTCGTTACAGTTGCAGGATTTAAAGCAAGTCAGCAGTTGGTCGAGTAAGGAACGGCTGACAACTCAGGTTATCTATGACAGGACGACGAGCCGTTATGTGGCAGTCTTCAATGAAATTCAAATCAGAGTGTGGTCGGAGGAGGAGAACGATCTTGATAAAGTTAAAAGACACAAGTTTAAATACCCCTTGCATACGATTGTTAATCTAGATGGGGAGTCGCCAGTTTTGGTCAGACAAAACGGAACCTGTGCTTCTCTTGCTTGGGCTTTGAAGAATCGGAAGACGTGGGACGAAGGGGAGAACCTTCTAAAGCCTGGAGAGAAGATAGTCGATTGCAATTTAGTACATGCAGGTGGAAAGACGTACCTTTGTATGCTGACAAGGTTGGACAGTGGCAATAATTACTTAGTCGTCCCTTTGGAAGACGATACCTATAGAGAGGAACGGCAGAACGTGAAAAGACTGGACCTAAGAAAAACTTCGGAAGATTTGGTTGGTCACGTCGTAACTCAGAATCAGAATAATGCTTACTTGTTAACATTATGTGAGTTATTTTTAGTCAGATAGGTCATAATCATTTGGGAATTCCAGTTGTCAAAGTGTATTAATATGGAATTAATTTTCAGGGTCCACTGGCAGGCTGTATAGTTATTGTATAACAGGAAATACAACCGAATCTGTCCCTGGGTCCACAATTGGCATGATAACGACTTTAAGCACAAAGCATCCAGTGGTGATGACAGCGTTGAATGAGTGTACAATAGCAGCATATGGGGCGGATGCATTAGAGGAAGGAGCCGTCCTGATCATTTATAATGTTCGCTTCAAGCTGACACAGGCAACACAGAAATTGAAACTCTACACAAGAGATGCGAAGCTGTGGAGGGTGGAAGATAAATTATTGCTTGCAGCTAATCGCCATTTGGCAGTGGCTCCATATTATCTTGCTCCGCAGAGGATCGAGGCATTGCTAGGATCTTCTCGTGCAGGAGTAAACGAAGAAGATGGGAACGAAGAGGAAAAAGATGTCATAGTGATACACGAAGCGATAAACGCTAATTGGGGAAATCATTCTGAAACGAGTTCTCCGCCAAAGTTCTCTGCTAAAGGAGTTATGCCAAAGAAGATTGCAAAACAAATATCCTCCTATGTAAAGGAAGGTCTAAGCGATGCAGCGATACAGGAGATCTTGATTCCTCAGCTCGTTGAGGCAAAGGACTTTGCTACGATAGCGTGGTGTTTAGACAAGTTTAAGGACATGCCAGAAAAACTCGTAGCAACTCTTCTCTCCTGTTGCCTGAGAACACCGGAGAGAAGTTTCCAGCCAGTGCAAAATGGAACTGCACACAAATCCACTGGATCTTACTCACCGTCGAGAAACGAGTTCCTTGATAAGATTCTAAGTGCCGACCACTCCGAGGTCTCGTTATTATCGCATCTTAAGAGTGAATTGACGTTCACAGAGACGTTACGATTGCTTGAGTACCTGGTGAGTAAAATTGACAGCAAAGAGCTGGATAACTGCTTGTCAAGTCCTAACGATGACAGGCTGCTCGAGTGGACTGCGCACCTTTTGGACTCGCATTACCAACATTATATCCTTTCGCAAGACCCGGAGGTCTTGAAGATTCTGAGCAAGCTTGAGACTTCACTGGAAAATCATGTAAATAACGATCTTACTTTATTTTCCTACATTTTAATCAAAATATTTTTTTTATCAATGAAACAATGTTTGAAGAAGTTAATCGAAGTAACCTCTGTATGCTTCTCTATAGTTTCAGTTATTAAAAGAGCTTGAAAATCTCAGGCCAATGTTGCAGAGGATAGTCAATGGTAAACCTCTGAAGCCTTCCAGAAGAGATTTCAACAAATTCTACTCTATAGAAGAAGTGAAGCTGTATTGAGTCATGAATTAACGAAGGAAAGGATTCAATGTCTGGAGGTTAGGTACCTAACGTTCAATTCTGACAGACTCGCATCTCGTGCGAGGCTAATCTTTGCTTCCATTGCAATCGAAGCATAGACTTTTGAAACTATAGCACTAAAAATCTGTAAACATATATATATATTTCTTTATGTATTTTATATGATAAAAGTATAAAAGGGAAGTCGATCACTTCTCATTTAATGCTCGCCTTTTAACTCCCTTTTCGGTATTCGAATCAAGCACAGTGCAATGAGATGGGTTGAATTATCATTGTCCTCTTCAAATACTTTATAACCTGTAGAGTTAAAACATTGTTTAAACAAGTTAAAGATATATAAAGATATCCAAATATAATATATATAGGTACACCTACATCCATCATCGGAATCGTCAGGATTCTTAAGTCTGCATTGGGCGACGATGCAATCATCTTCTAGGAACAGCTGGCTGCAGAATACTTGGAAGAGCTGGGGAGAACCTTCGATGTGCCTTAGAGTAGACCCCATGCGATAACCAAGACTTCCTTCATCGGCAACTACAGTGGCTAACTCGGTGTACTCCTTTATCGAGAAGTTGACCAGCTGACGAACAAGGTCATTCAACACGTGGATCACAAGTCGACTGGGATCTTCCTCGATGATACACCTGTTGCGATAATATTATATGTCGTGTGTCAGTGACAAATGTGAAAATCAGTGAAAGGTGAGATCACCTGGCTTCGGCGAAGACTGCATAGCCTTTGCTCTTTGTACAATTTTCCTTCGAGCAGACTCCTTTAGTGTACAGTGAGTTGCAGTCGAGGCAGAGAGCCTGGAGTTCGCATCTCTCAAGAGCAGAATGCTTCAAATCGATCCAGACCAAATTTCCAGGAACCACTGATGACTTAGAGGGAATTAACTGAGGCCTGGCATACTTTAAGTATCGGGCCTTCAGATCAGTGACATCCTTTACATCGGACACCAGAATCGTGGACAGCTTAGTAGTCTCAAATTCATGGGGAGACTTTTTCACCGCTGTCACATATTTGGCAATGACTCTGGCTCCAAGTACCAAGCAAGAGAGATAAAGACTGGATTCCAAGTTTTCCAGATGAAGATTTATCGTGTCCAGGGTCTGAGTATCGAGCAGTGTCAAAATTATTGTGCAGTTCTCTACGAAAATTCAGTGAAAGAAGATTTGAATTAAAGAGTACCGTGATTTGCATACTTTTAAAAATTACCACAATTAGTGAAGGACAGTTTATGGACTGAGAAAAGACTTACCATACACTCCGTAGCCAGTTGGTGGAGTGGTAATTACTTCGTCTCGCCTTTTGTGCCTCCTGTCGATGATGATGCCCTCGATGTTCCAGAGCTGATCCCTCTGACATTTTAAAACACTCGATACACTGTGAATTCTAACTTTATCCGGTGGTGGGCCTAAATTATAATCCAGTAGAACTATCTTCGACCTCTGTGGTAGAGTCCAAGCATTTCCACTGTTTCCACGCGGGATAATCTAATTAAACTAATTGTTTTGTACATAATCTGACTTAATTCAAGATAAAATCGTACGACTTCAAGGTCTCTCCTTGATTTGTCCTTATTTCGAGAACTATCCAGTCTGCAATGAATGCATAACAACGTAGGAACCCTTCGGTGCATCGCAGTATATGCTTCTCTCCGAAGACCAATTTCCTGAGGTCCAAATCCTGTTTGTCATCAGAAATCATGTCTTCTCTGGGCCCGATTAAGCAAACGTAGAGAAAGAACTCGGGCCCCTTTGATTGAAAGTCATACGCAACTGCGCTCTTAAAAGAAAGAATGGTACTGAAAATAAGTAAGTCCTTTCTAATCTTATTTCACTCACCGATGAGTAAAAGGAGCGGTTTAAATTTCAGTCACCTTATGCAGAACTACGCAGAATTGTCTTGAGTACAAGGGAAGAGTTACACGAGGGATGAGATCGTAGCATTTTACAGGTTCAAGCATCTGCATCGGCAGGTCTTCGAAGACGTTCCTGTAGAACCAGACCGAAGAACATTTCTTAAGCAAGGGTACTACGTTGCCAACTTTGACAGCCACGGCACAGGTTACAGGATTCCCCATTGATAGGTGAAACTTCTCCGCTACGTAGACATAATCACTGAGGAAGACACAACTATCGAGGAGAGTAAAAAGCTTGACGGGACTGTCACCATCCTCAAGAACACATAACCTAACAGAGCCTGTGCAGTCTTCAAGTCTCAGCTCCCCAGAGCTTTCGTTAATCCTAAGGTTGCCGACCAAGTAGGTTTCCTTTGGTTTTCTGTAACTGATCAGGAACTCCCAGAACGTCCATAACCTAGAACCAGGGTGGCTGTTCTCCGGCACGAAGCTGCACACCTGCTCAATGGTGGCTAACCGATACATGGGCAACACAGACTGGAAGGCAGGGCAGAAATGCTCCTTCGAAAGAAACTCATAGGACAGGAATCTAATACATTGTCTGCGGGTTTTTGATTTATAGGCTTCTCGAAGGAAGACTGCGAGCACTTGTCTGGGATCCACTGGACCTCCGGATGGGAACTTCGTCCCCAACACTGGCAGCTGCTTGCTCATCCATAAGACGTCCTTGAAGCCTAGTTGAAGATTTTGCACGAGTTTTTGTAAGCTTTCATTGGAAGAATTCTTTCTATCGATGGATTTTCCCATTTTGTGGAAGGTAACGCAAGTCTTGGCACAGGCCACCACGTGGTTCCCACATCGGTGTCCATTCTCTACGGAGATGACATCTCCTGGCTCTGGTTTGGACATTTTTGCATGATCCAGCAGATATAGAAGACACACCCTTTCGCCATTCTCCAGAACGTAGATGCAGAAATCTGGACATTCCTCCACCACGCGACCCTGGATATCAAGTTCCGAGATGAGACAGTTAAAAAAGAAATACCTGAATTTTTTTTAATCTGATCGTGCTTACAGAAACGCTGACGTAGTTGGAGAAGTCAGGGTCAGGGCGAACGTGGGGAAGCTCCTGATAAGTCGAGTCAACGGTGGGTAGAAAGAACTCTTGAGATCTTTCGGTCTGAAAAGGGACCGATGATTATGTGGAAGCTATCGGTGGTGAAGTTTCTGAAACATTGGTGGTCAGCTCACTCCGAAGGCCTTTGAACATCGTTTCAGCTCGCTTATTCTGTAGGCGTGTCCGATTTGCAGTTCTGTCTGCCATTTTAAATACTGTGGAGCAGTCAGGATTATGTTGGCTTCACCCTCTTCGATGGATGCAAGTTGGAGTAACACCGTTAAGTTTTTGAGACTACAGGGGAAAGATAGTTTGTGGGAGACATCTCGATGGAAGAACTGAGAATAAGTGTTCTCACATTGAGTGAAAGCTCTTCAGAGATTGAAGACTCACTAAAGAACTTCGCTTTTGAATGCAAGCTCTCCCGTGAGACAAACAAATTTCTCCGAAGCATTAGTCATGGCTCGATGTGAGTATGAATTACACAAGTTGGAAATAAATTTAAGAATTTCAAGCTACATTACTGTGACAATTGTTGACAATGACAAATATGACAGACCGTACATCCAGAAGAATTTAAATCGATACTCACATGTTTTGAAGACCGTTCACTTGTTCTTAATCATTTTCCGCCACTGAATTAACACTAATATTATTCTTCGAAAAATAATGCACTTAGGGTTAAACAATTTTTATTGAAATATTTACACAATTACTCGTGAATTGCAATGAAGAGCAGATCACCGTTACGTTCTTTAGAACAAAACGAGAGTCCTGCATGATTCCGACTTTTTTTTTCCTTTAAATAGATCTCAATGTAGTCACTCTCGTTTACTAGCGGTGGAATGTTAGACTCTAGAATCTAACAGAGTTGATCAGCATATGGCACTGTGCTGAGATCACCGATCGCTGCCAATGACACCTTTCCGCTAAGCTTCCCAACAACCTGCATCCAGAAACGATACTCAGTTCCACTGTAAACCTCACTTTCAATAAAATGAAAATTATTTCCCTTACACTTTTGACATCTGAGGAAGTGATTTTATCGATCTCTGCAGCAATCGAAGCAACAGAGCTTACTCGTCCCTTTAACAGAGCCTGCTGTCCAAGACATTCCAATTGTGTGTTGCCGTTCTCACTTGCAGCCAAAACAGCAGCTTTCAGGTCGTTCTTGCCACGCGTGATGTCAGATTCCGACAGCTTGGGAGAGCGCAGCCAACTGTACGCAGCCTTTGTCAGCTGTAAACAAATAGTTCATTATAGGTGAACCTAATCTCCTTGCGGTACTTTAAAGAAATATCTAATATCTTAATTATAAATTAATTATAAATCTTTTGTTAGGAATGAAAGCACGGTATAAGTACGTACTGGTCCAGCAATATTGCCAGGGGCTGAAAGGATGAAGCCAAAGAGTCCAGAATCACTGTAGGTAGCATTGAAGGCAGTGACAGCGAAGGGATCCTGTCCTGCAGCAGCGGCAACAGCTTTGTGCAGCGGAGCTATACTGGATCCCCATTTAACCCGTGGCCCAGTGCCAGCTGCTCTCTGTAGGATGGCAAAGGCCAGGGCATCTTTCTCATTGTTCAAACTTGCTCCTTCGACTGCGACAGCCACACTGGCCAGTGGAGAGTTGCGCTCTTTCCTGAGTTCACCACCGTAATACTTGGATGCTTCGTTGCAGGTATCGCCAGAGCTGATTTCCAGCCCTTGCGCGAAGCACTGCAAGTCCGATAGTGCCACTCCAGTGCCTACCACGGCACATCTCGATCCAGAGAACCATGTATTCACGAAGTGTTGTAGCTGAAATTGTTTATATTACATACAATAAGAGAACCAATTATAGAGTATTTAAATTAGTGATTTAATTCTAGACGAAATTAATGGGAATAACATTACCGTTTCATTACTGATCTTTCCGACCTGTCGCTTTGGGCAATACAGAGAATATCCTAGACCTGTGCGAAATGCAGCCTTGTGCAGGAGCTCTACAAGTCGAGCTGTGTCAGGAATTAATGAGAGTTCGTATCGCAGCCTTGGAAACTGGTCTGATACTTCCCAAGGCTTGAAGACTTGCTTGGTAGCAGCATCTTCCAAGAAGCTCAATGCAGCATCGCTGTACCAAAACACATTTTTGAGTTAATGGACAATATAGATTATCAAATGATATAAGTTCCTTGGACGTACACGTGATCCCGAGTGACCTGCAAGGTATAAGCGATGCTCTCACGATCGGATACAGCTGTTAAGTTGCCACCAAGCTGTTGAATGTTTCTAGTGATACCGAAGTTGGATGATCGTTTCGAAGACAAGCCTGCAGCTACCCGGAGGAGGTGAGCGGTTCCTTGGGTATCGTAGGTCTCGTTCCTTGAGCCAGCTCTGTCGTTACATTGTACGTTATAAATTGCCACTAGTTAATACAACGAATTCATGACATATTTTAGACTATGCTTCATCTCTTGCCGTACTTGAAGAGGATGGAAATCTGGGTGACTGGACTATTGTTCTCGATCGCTGCGATGATAATTTTGTTGCTCAATACCTGACTCTCCGGACCTTTCGCTGCGGAGCACTGAGCAGCAGCAGCTACAGCTGCATAGTGGCGGACCTGAAATAATTAAACACGTTGCTTTTAGTGTTATCTGTAATCTCTTGAAATTGTCGTGAATTCAGAATTAAATTAACTGGAGAAGAATCTCCTTTACATAACACCCTGTCTCTGTAGTGGTTGACCTATGATGGGGTGCACCTTACAAGAGACGGCATTAGAAGACCCAAAAGAACCTGGGACGGAGTCAGAAAAGAAGAAACATTCGAAACTTACCGAGGAATTGCGCAAAATAGGCGCCCGCACAACCGAGCAAGCCATTTTTCTCCCGTTTCTCCGTCAAAGGAATCGGCTGGCCGAGATTCTCGAGAAGACGTCCAACAAGAATCGACCGACAGATGGCGCACGCGTTGACTCCTTCGAACATGGCGCCTATTTGAATCCCTTCTCGAATATCGGAAAAAATTCCTCCTTCAGTCTATTCCTTAAATACCATATGAAATAAGTGCCTCAATTTTATTAATTAAGTACAAATTCAAATATTCCTCAGTTGTCCTAGAAACATGTGTGTAATTCATTGTTTCAATAAAATACGGGCGCTGTTTCGATTCGATAACTATCGAATCTGCAGATCTGACAGTTTTGATAAATCCACGGATTTAATGCGCGTACCAAATCGGTGTAAACTAAGCCCAAGTGGTTGCTAAATGTGCAGGGCGAAGGTGGCTCTCTACTACTTTTTAGTTCGTGGTCAATTCAATTGTACTCGCGCAACATGGTGGCCGCCAAGGTAAACTCGCGGACTCCCTAAGGATTTCCAAAGGTTGTGTAGAGTCGCGGCTGATTCCCGTGTCCGATTCTACTCCTTGGTCGCCCTCCATCGTGTGTAGTGCGCGCCTAACCTCAAAGTCGATGACCACGGCACCCTAGGGCACCTGGTGGAGCCCGTCGCACGTGTCGCACCGCCCGGAGCCGCGAGTACCTGGACGATGTCGCTCGTTGCGACGAGGCCGCGCCGCGGCGGCAGCAGCACCGAGGACGAGGAGAAGAATCCCCAGGACGAGGATTGGAAAATGCCCATCGCGTTTTGCAAACCCAGACACACTGCCACCATCGAGGGCGTTAACTGTATCACCCAGACCTGGCGCATGAAGGAACGGGTGAGGTTCCTCCTTGAGAATTTTCACCTTCAGTCGTTTTCCTTCACCTTGGAGGTTAACTCCTTGCGTTGACCTTCTCTGCCTTGTGTTTCAGGGCGTCCCTTGGTTCTCCGAGGCTAGCTCGTAGACTGTCAAAATGTATTACATTGCGATCGTTGTTTAAAGTCGACTTCTGGCAATGAAGCTTTCGTGTCAAAGTGAATAGGATCTGTAACGTAGGTGGTTTAGATTGTATGTAAATAAGGTTTGAGGCATCTCGCAGTTCGGAATGACCGTCAGGTTTTGGAAATCAAACTGTATAGATTGACATTGTAAGTGTGGTTAAGATGCTGTATTTTTATCTTAAGGGGTTATAGAATGGGAGCGATCGCTTTAAAATATCTGTCAGTGTCTTCCGTTGTTTAGATTATAGTAACTATATTTTAGTCAGACCTGTTGTAGCATTCTTTGTACTTAGTCGTGTATTAATCTTAGTTAAGTCATTATTTTAGGAGCAATAATTTATGGATACGTTTTGGGTTATTTTTCATAGATGAAAACCGTCAGCGTGGCGCTGGTCCTGTGTCTGAATGTCGGCGTCGACCCACCGGACATAGTCAAGACTCAGCCTTGCGCACGACTTGAATGTTGGATCGGTAATTTCGTTTATTCCTATAGCTAAAAGAATCATGTTAACAGTATTATTTAATATGATATGCATCGATGTCAACCATTGTATCTAGATTAATGCAGTTCTACGAATTGTTTAAATTCTGAGAAAGGACATTTTGTTTATCGTAGACCCTTTGTCTGTGAGTCCACAAAAGGCTCTCGAGATGATCGGCTCAAACTTACAGAAGCAATACGAAAGGTGGCAACCTCGAGCAAGGTATAAGCAAAGTCTGGACCCTACGGTAGAGGAGGTCAAGAAACTGTGTACCTCTCTTCGTCGTAACGCTAAGGAGGAAAGAGTGCTCTTCCATTACAACGGGCATGGTGTTCCAAAGCCAACGAGTAATGGAGAAATTTGGGTGTTCAATAGGGTTCGTTGATACATTTTTCATATATGTTGTACCCTAGAAACTATTATTAATATTTTTACTGCATTTACAGACTTATACACAATATATTCCCCTGTCGGTGTACGACCTACAGACGTGGATGGGCGCACCCTCCATCTATGTGTACGATTGTTCCAATGCAGGAATCATCGTAGAGTCTTTCCACCAGTTTGCTGATCAGCACGAGAAGGAATACGAGGTCTTTACTAGAAAACGGTCGGACTGTCTTCGATGGCAAGAAGTAAACCGTCTAAATTTCACCTGTAGATGGAGAAGCAAGCGGTTCAACAGAACCGAGCAACTGGTGTAGCTGGAGCAACTGCACCGTCGTATAAGAATTGCATCCAGCTCGCAGCCTGTGCTGCGAACCAGATTTTACCGATGAATCCGGACCTACCAGCTGATATTTTTACATCGTGCCTCACTACTCCAATTAAAATAGCTCTACGTTGGTACGTACACTCTATTGATAAATAATTAAACACGGAAATCTTAAATACTATTGGTGTCTGATATAAATTTATTTTTTTCAGGTTTGTAATGCAGAACACGTCTAAATTAGTACCCAATGTGTCTCTGGATATTATCGATAAGTAAGACAGTTCATGTCTTTTTGTTGCAAGATGTTTCCAAGGAAATTTGTTTATTTGGTTTTGATATTGTTAAACCGATGAGTCGGCTATTTGATTTATCGTTGAATGTCGTCAGAGCTTTTGGTATTCGCGAGTGAATTATTTGCTTGGAATCACTTGAAATTGTTGAGACGATAATAAATAGAAATTGCCGATGGGAAATGGTTAATACATTTAGGCTTGTTACTTATTTTTAGAATCCCTGGTCAGTTGAGCGATCGGAGGACGATGCTGGGAGAGCTTAACTGGATCTTCACGGCCATCACCGACACAATAGCATGGAACACCTTACCGAGAGGTACATTTAAATTCTCCAGGTATTTGTTAGAGCCTGCATTTTAGTGGAACCTTTTAAAACTGTATAATTATACTTTTTCAGATTTGTTCCAGAGCCTATTTAGACAAGATCTACTAGTTGCTAGCCTGTTTAGGAATTTCCTATTGGCGGAGAGGATCCTTCGCTCCTACGATTGCACTCCAATTTCATCCCCGAAGCTGCCACCTACTTATCAGGCAAGTATCGGTGACATTATTTAGATACTCCATAACAGTTCAATAACTTAGATTAGATAGAATATTTTATACTATAATTATTAACCTTTAGTATTATTATTAAATTATTAACATCATAACTTTTCAGCACCCCATGTGGCAAGCTTGGGATCTTGCGTTGGATCTCTGTCTCGCTCAGCTTCCTGTAATTATGAAGTCCGAGGACCAGTTCGTACATTCGCCATTCTTCGAGGAACAATTAACGGCTTTTCAAGTCTGGTTAACTCTTGGCTCGAAATCCCGCAATCCTCCGGAACAACTGCCAATTGTTTTGCAAGTGCTACTCAGTCAGGTGCATAGGCTACGGGCCCTCGAGCTCCTCGGTCGGTTTCTCGATCTTGGCCCATGGGCTGTCAATCTTGCATTAAGTGTCGGCATATTTCCCTACGTGCTGAAGCTCTTGCAGAGCAATGCCAGGGAGTTGAGGCCTCTTCTCGTGTTCATCTGGGCGAAAATCCTCGCCGTAGACAGTGTAAGTCGAGTGTTAAGTGTTCGGTGAAGTAGTGTCTAGTGAATTCTTGTACGACCACTCCAAACAAGGTATAGCCTAACTTTATAGAAATTTCTTGTTCGGGGTTACAGACATGCCAGGCAGATCTGGTACGAGACGGTGGTTACAAATACTTCTTATCGGTGCTCCAGGATGGCTCCATGCCGGTAGGACATTGAATATTAATTGTGCATCTTAAGTGTCATGAAAGTCGATAAAGAATGACAATTGTCTCCGATTTAAGAGCGAGCACAGAACGCTGGCAGCTTTCGTCCTGGCTAGTATCGTAAACGACTATCCCCAGGGGCAAGAAGCTGCATTGCAAGGCAGTCTAGTCTCAATTTGTCTCGAGCAGCTGGGAGACTCGAATCCTTTGCTTCGTCAGTGGCTTTGTCTGTGCCTCGGAAGGCTTTGGCACAATTACGATACGGCAAGGTGGTGCGGAGTTCGTGACATAGCTCATGAGAAACTGTATACCTTGCTGCAAGACCCCGTTCCTGAGGTAATTAACGTTTAATTAAGCCTATGATGGAATATTTATCTTCCTGCATCACATGGATTACATTTTAGTACTCATCGGTGGTCTAAAAAAATCGTTTTCAAATTTCGCAGGTTCGTGCTGCCAGCGTCTACGCCTTGGGAACTTTCATCAACAGCGTGACTAAACGCAGTGAACACGCCAACAATATCGACCAGATCATCGCGATGACGATCCTGAACACGGTCACTTATGACATGTGTCCTTTGGTCAGAAAGGTATGCAAATCCGTGGAACATGGTCGCAAAAATTGAAGCTTGGGTAACGCGGAAAAACGTGAAAATTTGTTTTTAAGGAACTGGTAGTCGCTCTCCAGTGGATGGTCCTGCACTTCGAGAACTCCTTCGTCACCTTGGCCCTTGCCGAAGAGAACAGTCGCAAGGACCTCGTCGTCGAGACCCTATCTCCTTTCAGTGGGATGCGAAGGATCGGCTCCAGGGATAGATTGAAGATGCTCCTGCCAAACAATACCTACACTGTAGACACTACTGACGGTTTTGGACCCGATCGCATTAAACGTGTTTCCTCATCATCATCCATCAGCAGTCTGGGTGAGGGTTAATCATTTATTAATATTTCCCGAGTGTCCTAAAATTACGAAAAATACTAATCATTGTTAATATTGCCACGCTGCCTCTGGTTATGCCGCAGGGAATAACTGGGAGTTCGTGAGGAAACCTTGCGAGTCACTTGGTAATGAACGCTCGGAATATGTGTGCAATAAATTAACGCTATTTTTATTATTCATATTAGTATTACTGTTATCATTGATATTAGTGCTCGGTGCTTTGGATTTTTGCCCTCGGTTTACATTGTCTCCCCGTTTGTTTTTATTTTGCTGCCAGGGATTTTTAGGTTAAGGTTTAAGGCTCGGAGGAGGTGTCGGGAATCGGTGTTACTGGTTTTCTGGCTAGCGATGAGTTATTAGAGGATATTAGTGATTAATAATTGCTGTTTTGACGCAGGATACAGTTCTCTGGGAAATCTACCCAGTTTGTCGTATGGCAGTGTCTATATGAAACTTTGGCACGGACTGTGTGGACTCGACACTGATCCTCATCCTGCGGTGGCTGCGATTTGTCAAAAAGTCACCAATCATATACGCAGTCAGGTGATTAAGAAATAATTAAGAGTGTTGACGATATGTCAATCTAATTGGGGGTTTAGATTTATAGAATTGTTTAAATTTATTCTGGATCGCAGGTGAAGGAGTCTTCGGCTCCGAAGGAGGTGATAGAAACCAAGATATCCTCCTCGTTTTCTCTCCCACCTTCGCCATCTAATAGGACGAATTTCCTAAGGTATTTATATTTAATCTCTCAGTTGCTTTGGATAATTCTTAATGAATTCTAAATGAATTATTTTCATTCGTAGCAGTGGGAAAGGAGAGTCGCCACCGAGTGTCAACTCGGATCTTATGCGCTCTTCAAGGATTCCCTCGCATCCCAATCGCTCGAGGAAACCGATTCCTAACACGGTAAAATTCCGCATTGATATTGAATTTTAATTTAATGACAATGCTAAGGAAAAGTCTGATATAAAATATTTGTTTTTAAGATATCGGAAGAGGCGGACGAGACTCCTGGCGTGAAGAATCCTTTAACGACTTCTCAATTTGTGGAATGGAGCTGTGCACAGTTTGCGCAACCAGTTAGTTTAGAATCCGAGACCGAATCCACGAACGACGTAGAAAGCAGAGCACATTATGAACGCGAATGGAGGTAACCTGGATTAATGCAACACCTTAATGAATATTATAATACAATTGGACTTATATTAAAATTGTTTCACTTTCCAGGTATCTGAGAAATAAAAGGCAACGAAGGGACGCCAAGGAGGAACAGCTAAAGGCCGTTCATAGTAGAATAGAGTCTCAGGTGTTCCATGCTCGGAGTCCACAACCTCCTGAGGTCTTGGTATTCCATCCCTTCGAAACACATCTGGCTGTGGCTTCGAAGGACTCCTTCGGGTTGGTTCTTCGATAAGTGAATTCTGGTCCTGAAATAATAATTATATGTTTATATGTTTGTTCTTACAATTTTTGTAGGATCTGGGACTGGGAGACTGGCACCAAATTGACTTATTGCACCAGCCGAGGCAGCAAAACCTCTCGAGTGACCGCCTTGGAGTTTATTAATTCTCATGACGTTGCACTGTTAATGGCAGGCTCCGATGATGGCTCCGTCAGGATTTGGAAGAACTATTGCAGCCTGATGGGCAGGGACCCTACGTTGCTCACTGCATGGCAGGCATTGGCCGATGTCCAGCCTGCCTCGAAGAGCGCTCCTGGTGATTAGAATATTCTTTGAAAAGCGAAGAGCAAACTAGACGGATTATGTATATTTGTGGATTGAACCGGTAGACCTTAAATTCATTCAGGTTATTTCTTTTAGCTTCTGCTGGACTCGTCACCAGCTGGGAACAGAGATCTCTTACTTTGGCGGTCACTGGAGATGTGCGAGTGGTGAGGCTTTGGGATGCTGAGACGGAGCTGAAGAAAACTGACATTCCAACTGGGTCTGACTGCTGCGCTACTTGCTTGGACACCGATGATACTGGTACGAAGACTTGCTAGAGAATCTTGCTGCAGAATCTTGCATCTTCAGAAGCTGTCGATAATTATTCACGTCTCTTTGTAAAGGGGCCATGATGGCGCTGGGCTGTAGCGATGGGTCCGTCAGACTGTTCGACCGAAGATTGACTCCTGTGGAGGCTCGCGTCATGACGTGGAGGGAACACAATGCCTGGGTACTCAGGGTATTCCTCAGGAAAAATTCTGGACTACCCCCGAGACTCGTGTCCGGCTCTACCACGGGCGACATAAAGATCTTCGACCTTAGGAAGAACTCTTCGGTCAGCACTGTGCAGACCACGCATGGCATCACTGCTCTCGCGGTCCATGAGGCTGCGGATATATTTGCATGGTAAACTTATTTTAAATGATTGTCCCTGAATCCCCGAAAACCTTGGAAGAGTCACTTCCTTCCGTCTGCGGCGAAATGTCGATCTATGAATAGTTTGAACATTATGAATATTATAAATATCAGGAATATCATGGATATTAATTAGACGTCCTGTTTCAGTGGCTCCTCCCATCAGTGCATTACCGTCTACAATACCGGCGGGCAGCAGCTGAACGCTATTAAATTCCACGAGGGCTTCATGGGGACTCGCATAGGATCTGTCAGCTGTCTGAACTTCCATCCCCATCGCGTCGTCCTGGGAGCCGGATGCCTCGACAGTTCGATATCGGCCTATGCTTCCGAGCCGCGTAGATGACTGTTACGGATGGACCTCCTGTAGGGATACGTTTTCGGAGAACGTAGGACCTCCTCGGCCCTCGTCCAGACGAGCTCCGAGGAGGACGCGTGAAGACCCTACGGAAATTCGGGCCTCGATACGTTCTCCAGAAAGATAAAAGGAATTCCACCGAGCTCGCCAGGACTCTTCGGGGCCATCAGCTGATCGATGGCACTTTACTTCTCAATCTCCATTTATACGTGAAAGAAACGGCTCTCGAGTAGTATTAATACTCTCGAGTATTAGTAGATCGGTGTCCTGGAAATGTCCTGGCGAGTGGAGGGGCGAGAAATTCTAATCGCGAGTCGCGATGATCGGCTGATCGGTGATAATGATCCGTTTTTAATCCTTTTCATTGGTTTCTACTTCCTCGAATCGGGAATTTTTCTCACGAGTATCGCGACGATCAGCTGATCGCTCATCCTGGACGACGGCGACACTCCGGATGCTTTGACTCGGAGATGGACCGCATTAATTATGCTAGCCGATTTAGGCTTTAATTCCTCGCGTGGATTGTTGGCCGGAATTACCGGTTGCAAATCCATCGACCGGGCTCTCGATCTCTTCCGTGATTCTGTTACGAATAAAATCAATTACAGCGATTAGAGGGCAATTAGAGCACTATCGCAAGGGGCCCGATTGTCATTTCTTCATTGTAGATTTTAGGGCTCGCTTTCGAATCGCTGCCTGATCGATCTCACTTATCAATCGAAGCGATTAGTGTCGCTAATTGCACCGCGGTTTGCGCAATTATAGTTGACTTAGAGAATTGCGGGTTAATTAATGCTGGCCCATCTCTGTGCTTAAGGTTTTTATGTAGTTATGCCAGAAGCACAGCTTTTGTCGAAGTAGACTCTTCTCGAGGGCTTCGCAATTGTTGACCGATCTCGCGAGATATTTCGGGATTTTACGTTCAAGCCGCCTCTCGTGTAATTTTCTCGCCGGCGATTTATGCGGTACGATTAATTGTACATACGTGTACACCCTCGTTATTAAACGAAACACCGCTCGAGAAGGCACGCGCTCGTAGCTGGAAATATCTGAGGCTCGCTTTGCAGAAAATGGCCATTACCTTCTTTTTTTTTTCTCTCTCGGTTTTTCCTCTTTCTTTCTTTTTATTTAACGTCTTCCGGAGAATTCCTCGCGTAGATATTTAATACACGGTTGTAAGGAAGGCCGACAATTAGGTATCCTTTTTGTTTTTCGACGAGAAAGCTGCGTTGAGCTTAAAAGCTTGTGGACACGATCTCGAGGCGAAGTCGTTGCATGACTTTTGATAGAGCGTACATACAAATATATATATATATATCGATATATATTTTTTTTAAATAGGATAACACACGTGTATATGCATAGTAGGGCGCGATGAAAAGAGATTGCTCGTTTTTAGCCTCCGATGTAAGTGAAAAAGTTGCTTCCGAAGGGGAAAGTATATCCCCTTCGTAGCATGGAGTCCTTCGATGAGCTTGTGGGATTTGTTAATGGAAATTTGGTTTTAACATTTGTTAAATAAGTGGAAATTACTGACGTGGAGAGAGAGAGAGTAACTTTGTTTGTCAGTCTTTTCCTTAAATTTGTATTTATGCGTATTTTATGAGATGGGGAAGAATCGATTTTCTTTTGCCTCGTAGTAGGACGCGCGGCGACCTTGTGATAATTGTGAACTGTACATTTAATTAACGTGTCTTTGGTTTAAGTAATGAGATTATTGTCGAGGGGTTAATTTTGAGCAAATCGCGATTAGTCGGACGAGAGGAGGGGCAGGGGTAAAAAGTGCGTAGGTCTTTTGTGAATATTGGTCACTTGTCCCGATGCAGCTACCAAAATGGCGGATAATCACGCAACGAGCGCCTGTAAACTGTCCTCTTAGGTATTTGTTTTTTTCCCTTTGCTCGGATAACGTAGACGGGTACCTAACTAGAGGAACCGAGAAATTAAATCCGCTTCTTGTGTACATACATACTTCCAAGTGGAATTGTTACAACAATAAAGTCGAAGGGAATCGCACGCACTCGGATTTGGAGGTTTCGAATCGATCTTCGAAGAGTTACTCTTAAAGTCACTGGTAGTGGTTCACTCGATGGCTTAGTCTCGTAATTGTGGTGAATAAAGTCTAGTCTTATGTAGGATATGCATGCGTTAGTCATTTTATACATTTCGCGGGGTTCGCCTGCTTATCGAATTTGAATTTACCGCTCTCTTGAGCGCCGTTCAAAATTCAAATCTCCCGCGAGTGTAGAAACGGCGCGCTTCTTGAATTTTTTTCAAGGCACACGTCATACACGACGACGCCGTTAAAAACAATGTGATCTTCAGAGTACTTAGTAATTAATTGCCGCACTTCGATCATGCCATTATTCCTGGATAAAACATTGTAACGGTCGTCTTAACGGCGCCACTTTTGAATCCTCGGCGCTTTCGCACTTTCCCGCATTTTTCGCGAGGGCGCCACCGGCTTTCTTTACATTTTCGAAATACCGATACTTCTTAAGACGACGGTATGTCGCTTAATTAAACCGTGTAACGTAAGCTAGTGCAAGAAATCGTTACGAAAATTAGCCGAAAATCAGTGAGTAGGAAATTCAACGTCCTAGGTTAGCTGAGAAGTGCGAGCGAGACTCGTCACTTCTCACTTTCGCCCCTGGTGAGAAGATTCACCTCAAAGTAAGTACCGCCGACTTCGAAAGATGAAATGCTGCCTTTAACTTAATCTTTTGCAGCTTGCGTTTCCTTCACGCTTCGGCTTGTCCCGTAAATATATGAAGAGAGAGAGAGCTCGGAATCCGGCTACGCCTATTTCGAACCTTCGCCGTTTATTGGAAAATTTACTGGCCGACTTCTGGCTGGCGTCGGTTGACTTCCTTTTCTTCCTCCACGTTCGCAAGGTGAATCTTTCTTTTTTTTCCTGCTTTCCCTTCTTTTTTTCTACCCTCTCTTATTTAACCTCCCTTTCAGGGGCCCGGAGGATGAATGAAGCGAACGAGCGGCCGTGAAACTATTATTAAAGCCGAATATTTGGGGCCGAGAATAAGACGTTACGGAGGCTGCGAAAGAATCCCGAAATTTCCGTATTTTCGCAGAACGCTGGAGCTGAAAATTTCCAAGAGCAGTTATTTTATACGCTTCTTTTTTTATTGCGCACTTTCGTACCTAAGTTAGTCTAATTTCACCTGCGTTGGGTGCGTTTACTCAATGCGTTTATTTTCACTCGGCACGTGGGCGATGAAGTCAGACGATTCATCCCGAGTTATCGCGAGAAATTGACTCCTGTTAGGCAATGCGTTAACTCGCGATAACTCGGTCTGGTATGAATGAATTAATCGTACGAGACTTTACTACGTCTACGTAATTCGGATGCGAGAAAATCAAGTGTAAAGTCGAGCATGTAGGTCGTCGAGATTCTTTGAAGGCGGGACGTTTCATCAGAAGCTTCCTGATTCACCGTTTTAACCCGTTGAAAGCGGTCCAAGGAATTGGGATTTAAATATCCGCCGGGTTAAATAATTATTCGATAGACTTTCAACCGATTTTTAACGAGGACAAGCGCATGACTTTAATCATCAGTAATCATGTACAATCATGTACACATGTAGTTTTCGCAAGGAATTGACTCACAATTACGTCCGTGCGTGAAGTAACACGGAAGAACTCATTGCCAGGGCGTTAAAGAGGAAAATTAGCATGAGTAAGATTTTATTTATAATGTGTACTGTGCTTTCTAATCGTGATTTATATTTTATTTATTATGAGAGATGCGCCTGCTTTTGACAAGGCTATTTTTAATTAATTTAATTGCTAAGTGGTTATTTTTAGACGGCTCTCTTGGGGGCAAGGGCATTTATCCTTTCGTTCACTTATCCTTTCAGATATCAGTCTCGCTGGGGCATCCTTTGTTCCTTCCTCGAGGCCCGGGAAGAACTTCTCTCCCAGCCTCCAGTATTCAATTATCTCTGACGGATCTCGAGGAACGCCCATCTCTCGAGGTGCCTTTACTACCTGACTTTCCGACACTCTCCTGCAAAAAGGGAGGCCGACGGATTTTAACGCCCTGGCAGTTTTTGGAAGGACGAGTTTTGGGACACCTGTTCCCTCGGGACTTCCTCCAGGTAAGGGTCCACTTAACACCTTTGCATTATTCACGTTATTCAGGGAAGTACCCCGAAGCGGATTTATTTCGCCATGGTAATGAGATTATTGGTGTCTTCCCTCCTTTCCAGAATTCTGAAATAAAGGACATATCAATCCGGGAAACCCAGGATAAAAATCACTGGAAGCTTTTCATCATTTAAGGCGAGATATAGCGACTTTACGAATGAAGTTAATTCCAAAATTCAAGGTAAGATTAAGAGATTTTACGAGTAGAGTTAATTGAGAATTTCTGGAAGGGCGGATGATTAAGTAATATATTCTCATTGTTAATTACAGCGCGCGTATAGCGAAAGTGCGTTTACGTACGTGTGTCTGTGCATCGATTCACACTTATAAGGCGTTTGTACTCGCGGGTTTTTCAGGTGAGAGGCAGCGGACCAATCAGGAGCGAGATCCGCGGCGGCGGACCAATCAGAGTGCAGGACGCGCGCCAGTGCCGCCGCGCAGTGGCGGCCGCGCGAACTGGCGGCCATGCTCTTCCCGGGCGCCGCTCAGCGGCAAGTCAGTAGCGCGCGAGCCGCGTACGAGGATAGTTGTATCGTAGGACTGTGCTTCGCTGGACGGGCCAATCGGTGGCCTACATTAATTCGGCCGTTCCCCTGGACTGGACTGTACCTGGCGAGATGGACCGATCCACTAGGAGCATCCTTACAAGGATAGTCGTTGACTTCCTCTGCGTCTTCATTGGTGAGTCCAATTCCCTCGATAACCTCTCGATCGATCGTTTTCCTGAACCCTGCCGAGCTTATCGGCTCGCTGTTGGTCGTGGGTGGCGGGCAGGTAATAGACGGGAGCGCTGGCAGGTTATCGCGACACCTGCCCCTGAATACGGAACGCCGGAACGCGGAGTGTCAGCTGATCGTACCTGTCAAACTGACAGATGGGCTGCCCACGTGTCGCTGCGTAATTACGTCGCGGGAAATCGTGTCGAGGCGACGCACTTTTTTTTTTTCTAGGATTAATACCTAAGTTTACGGGGTTATTCTCGTATCCTAAATCATGTATAATTGTAAGAAAGAATTATTTCGTTGTTTAGAAAATGAATTAAAGAGTTGTTGACGTTGACTTGAATTAAGAGGATATTTAAATGGGGATGGAAATAAAATTATTTATTTCTTTTATCTTTTTAGCCTGACGGCGAATCGTTCCGCAGGGGTTCTTGTATTGTTTTTTTTTGGTTTAGTCGAGCAATGGTTAGCAAGTAATATGTAGCTGACGGATATGGTATGAGAAGGCTGGCAGGTAATCATGGCACCTGACACCTTACCGAGCCAGGTTAAGAAGGCGTGACAGGTCCCTATCAGCTGATCGCCTCGACTGTCAAACTGACAGTAGCAGGTTGCCTCTGTTAAGAATCCTCTAGGACTGTAATTTCGTGTCGGTATCTCCTTTTTCAAAGGGTTTCCTTCCTTTTCTCCTCTTTTCATTTCCTCGTTATCCCTTCACTCCGGTCGACACGTGGCAATTACGTATAATCATTTTTATCACGGCATGCTTTTATCTCCACTGAGGGTTCCCATTGCCATTTTCTTCCATTTTCAGATCCAAATTTCTTTGGTATAATTTAATAATTTATTTCAGATGGAGAGTGAATTATTCGCTCGGTATTAAATATAGGGATATAATTTTGGGGGGAATTTGCACGATCGATATGTCACGGGGGAAAGAGCAGAAGAGAGAGCTAGTCATTCAGGAAAGTCGGAACACATTCAATGATGATTTCACCTGGGTCATTTCGAAATCGCTAAGGCATTGCTGGATCGCTCTTGCCGAGTGAATTCCTGCAAAGTAAATCAGCAATCCGGACAGCTTAACGGCACCCGGAGGCCCGGACACGGCGAAGCCTGTCGTCGGTGGTTTCTTTAAGTGTAATGGTCCTTTATAACGGCCATTATTGTGTTTACAATGTAATTTATCGCCTCGATGATCCGTACCGAGGTCACCCCCTGCGGGGTCGAGGAAAACCTTTAAATGCCCTTTCTTACTACGGTGATAGCGGGCACGCGACACCGCCCAGCGAGATAGCCTTAATCAAGGACTCCTAGATCCTTCACTACCCTCGATATCGAAAAACGGTTCCGACGAAAGTTCTTCCCTGCAATGCGAGGGACAACTTTCGTTTAAGCCATTTTTCCATACCACGGGTTGTTTCCGAGAAAACCTCGATTTTCCGCGAGAGGGTCTCTACCCCCAACCCCTTCGCACTGCATCTCGATTCCCAGCGATTTCCGCCTTCTGCAGGGTGAGGATTAAAAAATGCCTCAGACAAAACTCCTTCCCGATATCACAGGGAAGAAGTTTTATTTCAGGCATTTCTCGATATCTCGTCGATTTTCGGAGTTGCAAAAATAAATTGAAAAATAGGGGAGTGGGTGACGCTCGAGCTGGTTGTCGGGTAATTTCTCATTGTTCACGGTGAAAAGTGGACATGGCGGGGTCGTTATATTTTTCATACGTCGTTTTACTGTCGCGCAAACATCGTTTGAGGGTACTCTATGTGTAATCTAACATTCGGAACATCTGCACGGTAGATATTGTATATCGTAAACACGGAGGACGATCGATGACGAGGGGCCGCGGAAGTATAGCTCCTCGTATGTTGACCAAACTTTTGTCTGTGTACTCGGTCATACGTTATTAATCGAGCCGTACGTATATCTAGGCCTTGGCTGTATAGATCTACTCCTCTGTATACATTGTCTTGTATGTGGTACATCGTCTTATGTCGACCATGTACAGACCTGATTGCGTATCGACGACCTCGCGGAAATAAATCGTGCATCACCGAGAGGAGTGTATCTCCTCGGCGTACTTTAACCCGTTGTCAATTTTAACTAACTTGTCTTAATGTTAGAAAAATCCACGAAAAAGTTTCCGCTTTCCTCGGGGACAAGGACGATAGGCCATTGATACTTATTGGAGGGACGTTGACATTTTTATCGATTTTTTTTCGCTGTTTTTTTTTTTCGGGGGCATTATTAAGACACGTAGAAATTCCTATTGTCTAGGCGTAACGGGTTAGTCAGTGATATTAATTGCCGCAATTTCTTCTCCTGGAAGTATATGACTCCCGGTACGTAACGCTCGGTTAGATTTTTTACCTCCTTTTTTTTTTCTTTTTTACCGGCGATGACTAACGCTCTCCTTCTCTCTCTCTGATAGCCGCAAACCGCAGAAAGTGGCCGCACGTAATAGATAACGGGTAATTTTTTTCTTTTTTTTTTTCATTCTTCTCAACGTTACAAAAGGAGAAAAATCTATGAAGTGAAATTAATTTCACGGGGGCAATTTAATATCAATTTTTCATCGCCGTTAGGGAGGGATGGAGGGTTCATCGATTAAGTGGGAATAAATTGGGAATAAAATTAATTTCAAGGAGGGATTTAATTTTTATTTCTTTTTTATCATGGAGTTACGCCGGTTTCTGGGTATTTCGAGCTCAATGTAAATGTTAACAGATCGGCCCCTAGAGATTGATAGGACCCTTGGAAGGTTCTTAACTTTACGTCCCATCGCCTCGTGCAATTACGTCGTTCCGGGTGATAAAGCTTACGCACTTCCGGTGCAATTCGAATCCTTGAGAGCATCGCCAATGCTTAGCTTTTGCCGGGACCTTGAAATAATGATTTCCAAGTCCCCTACACCCCTGATATCCTATCTTCTTTTAATTTCAATCCAATTAATGTGTATCCAAACTCCAGGAATAATTGTCAAGTCCTCGCCTAGTCCCTTTCGATTATTATTACCGTATACATTCATGCCATTTAAAATAAATCCAATTAATTTCCTGCAATTCCCCAGATTCAGGTAGTTGCATTCTCGGTCGGAATCTTGAGAAAAATTGTTGCGGTACTCTTTAATAATTATTCCCTTAGTCAATTAGTTTCGTAGAAGAAAAAAAAAATTTTTTTTCCCGAATCGTTGGACGATTCCTTCGATCTCCCTTTTTTTATTTTTTTTTTTTTAGTGTAACTTTTGTTCCGGAAATTATTCAGTTAACTCGCCACGGGTCTCTGGCTCATTGCGGCGGTACTTATTGAGACGGGGAATAACAAAGAGAGGAGAAGATAATAGGAAGAAAGGGAAGGTAACCTCGGAGTTGCGACTTGCAGCCTTGGAAGCGACGAATCTCGTGATAAGGGACGAGGAGGGCCAATTTCGGCGGCGCCGACATAGAAAGGATAATTCGGCTGTCGGTCCGCATAAATTGCCTCCTCGTCGCCGGACAATAATTCACGTCCACGTCCACCGACGGTTCTAAAACCCCGAAGTGTCGGTGACGATACGTGCGACAATTGCGCGGACATTACCGAGCAACGAGAGGTTGCCGCTCGTTACTTCACGCCTCTCCTCGCAACAATGAACGCTCTTTTCAGCCTTAATTCATGTCATTTGTACGGTTAATATCGTTAACAATGTTCTTTGCGGGGATTTCATCCGGAGTGACAAGAATAGAGAGCTTAGAAATCCCCTAGAAAAGATTAACGCGTGTTCTCGTGACACCCCTTGGCTACTAAGAGCGCCCAAGGCGTCCGACGTTTGGTCCAAAATTGCCTGCACGGTCAGGCGAATTTCGCCCTTACGTCGAAATGACTCCGTGTGTCAAGGGGTTAAGGTGAAGTGAGAAAAACGTCGAGGAACTTGATCGACGTCGGTAGAAAAAATTCCCCTAAGTACCTACGTTGGTTTTTATATATCGAGAGCTGGATCTAATTATATCGGGTATTGCAGTAAATGTACTCCAATTGTCGTTTTCCTGTAATAATTGTAAAGAAAGCCAAAAAAAAATCCAGAAATCCTCTGGATTGGACTTTTTTATCTCCCTTTTCCTGATTATCTCTCGTTTGCTCATCTTCTCGCCTTAAAAAGGCCGTAATTCGCTCACGGGGGATTCTTCGGCCGTCTTTGAGTTAACGTCCTCGCATAAATTCCCCTCGGCATAATTCCCGGCAATTTACAAGTAGCCGAGCACGGAGCACAGTGAGAGTACTATGTAGATACGTGAACCATAAACGAGTCAACACAGAAGGCGCGAAAACTCTGATAAAACTGCCCACGTGGCCGCTTATCAGTGTCACTCCACATCCTACGTATCTACCTGTGCAACTTAAGGAAAAAGAAAAAAATGTACATATACAAAGCACGTGTAGGAGGAAGGGAACGCGTGTATACATTTTTTATTTCTTAGTTTATCCGTTAATGAATTGAAAAAAAAAAATGCAACGCAAATTTAGGAAGAGTGAGGCACGTGTACTATATTTTTGTTATTACTTGAAAATTGTTATCTTGGAAATCAGGTAGTTTTTCTTCCTTGTGATGTTGAATAACATTTAAGTGATCGAAACAATTGATCTCGGATTTATAGGGAACTGTTAATTTGATGGCTATTTTTTTTTTTTAATTTTTATTACCAGCGAGATTTTTTTTAGAGTGCATTCCCGATGGTAATGCACGGGTAAAGTGTCTCAGGGTAGGGTGAGTACTATGTTAATACACCCTATGTGCGAGAAAGTGCAGATAATGTGCACCACGTGGCCTCTCAATTACCAACACTTACGACGTGTACCGAGTGTGGACTTTAGATGCTCTTCTCTTCTTTCTTTTTTTTTTTCCTTCTTTTATTCTCCCTCCTTCGTTGCATGCATCGTAATCTATGTACTCGTGTAATTGCAGAGCCGATCGCGGCGAAAGTGTGCCCTCGCATTTGCTTAACAACTCGTGACATAATTAATGATTTATGACAGATTAAAAATACCCTAGGAAGCGTGACGTGTAATTCAGTCGGAGAATTTCTGCCGTATTAGAAGTGATTCTTTTTGAGGCCGGTAATTGCGCTATTATTAAAATTGCGATCATTCATCCGACGACGATGACCGTGCTCCTTTAACATGTCAATTGACCGATCCCATCCCCGCTATTTGATTATTGCATATTGGTTCAGCTCTGTTTAATCCTGACATTAGCATAATTATGTTAACAATCCCTTATGGGAAACCCATCCTTTGCTCTAATTACTTATCAGGGTCCGCCGATTTATTATAGGCGCGCTTTAGATTATAATTGTTGTTAATAATTTTAACGAAGTCACGCGTAATGCTTATCGCCGGTGATATCATTGCCGACTATTTGAAGGCCGACTTGGCGTGGAAACGTTTTTATCCTTTTTTTTTTTCTCTTTTTTATCTCGCGTCCTTCCTCGGGGAAGGAGATTTAAGGATCTTGAAAAATGGTGAGAAAGAGACATAAAGTCAAAATGTCGACGCTCGAAGGTGTTGTCGGTCGTTAAGTGATTAAGGATAAGGACACCTTGCTCATATCAAGAATATGTGCCAAGGATAAGGTTGAAACTCGTTCCATTGTTGGCATTCGTCATACATTTCCGGGCAAGAACGGAATACAGTGCCGATCAGCTGATCGCTCCGGAAGGACTGCGGGAAGAAAAGAAACATTAAAAAAAAAAAACTAAACGCGGTAATTTTGACAGGTGGAAAAATTATGGTACACGCATTACATCTTCGGGAAGGAATATAAAATTGCGCCGATCAGCTGATCGTTTCGGAAGGGGTAGAAAAAAATTAAAATATCATACGCGATTATTTGAACATACGCAAAGGTGTGACAAAATTATGGATAAAGAGCGAATTAAGGGAGCGGGTGACTTGGGTTTGGTCTTGGCGATTGATTTTTGGCAATGCCTCGATTTGACAGTGCCTTGACAATGAGTGTCAATTTTTGACAGCCTGTCAAGGAAGGAAGGCCTTGGCCATTGTCATGTCGGTCGAGTCGGCGGGAAAAAGAGCCTCGTCGGCATAAATAAAGGGTTTACTCCGTCATGGACGATGTGCACTCGAAAGCCTCACCTATCCATCATTGTTACAGGCCATTGTTGCCTTAACAGGAACCCCGTGGGGTTGGCTTAACCAGCGAACGGGTTTCGCGCGTGCATGGAACGCGAATTACCATACCAATGGGAATCGGTAGTTCCGTGGTGGTTCTTCATAGACCGAGAGAGATTCCCAGCTTCTGGAATTGTTGTGCTGTTAAAGTTTCCTTGGAAATATCCTTTATAGGCATTCAGGACCTCTGGATTTATATAAATTCCCGGTGTAAAGATGGGGCATAATCCTGTTGTGTCCATGGAATTTTATTATTTATTTAATGATTTTATTGGTCCGAGAAATTTCCTACTCGTGACATTGCTGGACTGGTAGAAAGTTTCCTTGGAAATATCCTTATAGGCATTCAGGACCTCTGGATTTATATAAATTTCCGGCGTAAAGATGGGGCATAATCCTGTTGTGTCCGTGGAATTTAATTATTTATTTAATGATATTATTGGTCCGAGGAATTTCCTACTCGTGACATTGTTGGGCTGGTAGAAAGTTTCCTTGGAAATATCCTTATAGGCATTCAGGACCTCTGGATTTATATAAATTCCCGGCGTAAAGATGGGGCATGATCCTGTTGTGTCCGTGGAATTTTATTATTTATTTAATGATATTATTGGTCCGAGAAATTTCCTACTCGTGACATTGTTGGGCTGGTAGAAAGTTTCCTTGGAAATATCCTTATAGGCATTCAGGACCTCTTATTCATGTTTCTGGAACGAGAGAAATATTCCTAAATTAATTTCAATGAAATATTTTGTTGCCCTAGAAACTAAGTTTAATTCAACGAATTCATTAATCGAACTTCGCGTTAAATCGATTCCTATCGAGCGGAGAATAATTCGCATTCATGAAATCCCGGAAGTCGATCGTATCTTGAAATATGATTCACCTGGAAATTGTTTGGCGAAGATTTACCATTTTAACGACCACGTGGGATTGCAGTCATTTTATCGCTCCTCGACAGAGAATGTCTATTTACCCGCAAGATCCCTCTTGGCATTGTTTCAATTATTCGCCAGCGACATGTACGACAATGTATAATGTCGGCGTATGACTCGTGTTGCCCCAATAACGTTATCTAAGTCTATTAATACCCTAACCATCCAACACTTAGCAACAATTGCCACCCCTCTGACAATTTCGAAAATGAAATTCAACATTGCAATTGGACGTACAACAATTGCCCCGCCATTTTTTCCCTCACCGAAGAACTCTCGAAATTAGAGCGGACTTTATTCCCGAGTTGTTTAACAATGATCCGAGATAGTTGTGCGACAATTTGCGGTATTTTCCTCGTCTGTTGCACTTTATAATGGCTCTTCACGGGAGAAAATCCCGTAATTGCCGTAATAACAATAGACAGGATGGGCTTGTGTAGCGGAAATTGGCCGACACTTGTCAATGCATCTCGATGTACCGACTCTCACGAGAAAAAGTACGGGAAAAAAAATAATACATGCGAAGAAGGGATAAAACAGGCAATTGTTATTTTTGAAAAATACTAAATGGACCAAGCGACTCGGTGTTGTCATAAAAAAAATTATGAAATGGATAGAGAAGCATTATTTTTCAATGTCGGAAGGATTTCTCGACATTTTTTTTTCGGGGATTACTCTCGACACAGAGGTGTATTTACAGAGGAAACATCTCGCCTGTCGCCGCGTTCAATTTGTTGGGGAAAAAGGGGAACATAGGGGGAGAAAGGATGGGAGTGAAAAATGGGTAAAAAATGTTAAACAATAAAAATGCAACTGCACTCGGTGCACTCGAGACGCGCACCTCGAGTCGCGAGGTATGTATACTCGGGGTACTTCGAATTGTGTACTTTTACCTCCGGTACTCTTATTTGTCGAGCACTTGACACTCCGTTGTCAAGAGATAAATCCTGGGAAAGGAGTAAACCCGAGGGAGTGACTAATCGCGGAGTACGCTTATCTATCGCGAAGTGTTAAGAGCGATAAAATGATTGTTGAGTAACCCAGTTAACACCTGATTAAGGAGTGATTATTCTCACGGAGATGCCACCTCGTGTCTAAACACTTCAGGGACGATGATGCGTTTTTTTTTTTTTTATGAATTCTTAATCATTTACGGCCAGTTTTGTTGGATTTAATTCCTCTGGTTGATCGGGCTCGGAGGCGAGTTTTGACATTTTTGGCAAGACTTGGCATAATTTAACATTTGTTAAGAAAAAATAATGAGTTGACGCGGATCGGGCGGGGGAGGGAGATTCGACTCGTTATGGACTTTGATGGGAGCTAAGTGGAAAATAATGTCGCCGGTAGTTACTCAATAATCGATGCGCAACGCCGACCTAGTCAATGTAGGTTCCGCAAAAAGCTACGGGAAGACACTTGACCGCAAACAATTACCTCTTGTCATTTATTCATTAACGTCGTGCGACACTACTCCGCAAACTCCCATCGACACGATGAGAAGTCCCTCTCTCTCTCTCTAATCGTTTCCCGTCCTCGGGGTAGTTATTAAAAATAAAAATAATAACCCTCACTGGTGTACTTCCCGTTGATCTAATCACTCGATGCAATTATTACGCAGTTTAACGCAACACAGCTTTCCCGGAAAGTGACGATGGCCTCGACGTCATTGTGCGTGGGAAAATATTTATTTCCTTTCCGACATGGGAAAATAATCACTGGGATTCATTATCGATATGCTGCAAGATCTACATTAATATCCAACGAAGAGGGGACTTGATAATTTGTTAATATCATTTTTTTTTATTTATTTATTTTTTTTTCTCTCTTGGACGCATCTGGCGAGTGATGTTTTCATTTAATTTTCCACGCTTTTGCCAGGTTCGCGTGTTTATTTATTTAACTAGCGATATTCCGGATCTCGCGTCGGGGGCCGAAAGCAAACTCGGTAATTCGAAATTGGAGCACCCCGAGAGGTGATTTTGCTCCTCGTTACCGAGACCTCCACCCTGTGGTTTCCAGCCCTCTAGTACCACTAAACACCGAGTGGTCGTCGGTCACCATTACGAAATTACTGTAATTTTATGGGGCACATGGGAAGGGAAGCCCGAAGCTAGGAGAGACCAGTTTGCATAACTTTCGCATACTAACTCGCGGGTTTTCTTTCTTCTTTTTTTCTCTTTTTTTTTTTTGTGCAATTTGTCTTGCCGATACTTTTTCGCCTTTTCTCGGGCTAGACGGTGCTCCGCAATTATCCTCTAATTCTCGTCGGTTCAGCCTGTAAGGAAATTTCAGAAGCCTTCCATAAATCATTAGAAATTACGCTCCGATCATTGACGCTAAGATTTTGCACCGTTTTTTTTTTGTTTTCGGAATTATTTCATTATTTAATAATTATTTTCTCTTGATTGTTTCAGTCGGCTTGTGCGTCCTCGTCTTCTTCCTCTTCGGCAGGCCTAATCAAAGAGGCTTTTTCTGCAACGACGAGTCACTTTATCACCCCTTCCGATCATCGACGGTCACCAGTACGAATCTTTACGTCACCGGCATGATTCTACCTATATGTCTGGTGAGTCATGTCAACTGATTCGAGGATCGCGTCATTCTTGCACCTGAGCTGACGATCTCGCTGGAAATATTTCCACGTAGCCGGGTATAAACATTCTCCGAATGTAAAATCATTTACAAAAATGACCCCCAACCTCTCAGCACTTATCGAGGCGTTCGACCAGTCATCGACGCCCGATTAGCATATAGCGATTGATAACAGAAACATTAGAGCGGTTTTGCAATTATTTATAAAAATTAATGCCAACATATCTGACGCACTGGATATTGAATTTACCACTTTCGAGGGATATTCGCCTTCTGCAACGAGGATGAGATTGCACCGAGGGCTCGTTGCAGTCGTGGGAATCGATTTACAGGCAGGAGAATGCATTCTTCCACGGCCACGTGCGCGAGTCTCTTTTTACCATTTTTAATGTATTTTTAGTATTTTTACTTGGCACTGCGACCGGTCCATTTGTCCCCTTCGGGTTCCTCTTCGGGTGGCACTTTGGGTTCCTCTTCGGCCCCTCTTTAGTGAATACCATCCCGGATACGTTTCTCGAGAGAAATTCGCCTTCTGCTCAAGCCAAGCCGTCAGTTCTCCACCTCTCAGAAGAGGAAGACACCCTGAAGACATCCCTGACGAGTCTATGTTGGACCTACCGAGAACCTCAGCGATGAGGTTTGACAGATGCGTTCTCGTCCTCTCGCGAGTTCTCTTCTTCTTTTTTTTTTTACTTCCTTTTCTTTTTCTTGGGCCTCTCCGTTTCGGTAGAAAATCCTCCACTACGTTGAGATCCTCGACATCTTAAATTTCCCCATTGCAAAATCACTGAATTTTCCATGAAAAGATAAACAAAGTTAGAAGATTAATTCCTGCGAAATAATGGAAAACTTGGAGCGCCCCGTCGAAACTGGACGTTTTTCCGGTGCCTTCTCCGTGGAATTAAATTACCAAAAAATTATCTCGAATGTTTATGAATGTTGCTTTCCTCGTTAATATTTTTTTCCCATTTTTTGCGATTGATTGTGCCATCGTGGAAATTCATTTTCCGTCTCGTTGCGCCGGGTCGCGCCCCGAGGGAATATCTCGAGGATGAAAAATGGCTGGGAATTATTTCATGATTCCTAATTGTTTATTAATAATGCTCGAGGAATTCTCGCGGTGTTCCGCAGTTGTGGGTTAGGTCTTAAGGGAGAAATAAGAGATGGAGAAAGACGTGGACGTTCCGCGGCTCTTGAGCGACATTACAAAGGAACGTCGAGAGGAAAAGGTAGCTCTCTTCTTGTTTCTGCCCCTTTCCTTCCCCCTTGCACCTTGGTGCACTCGGCGACAACTTGAAGGCCGACTTCGACTTGTCGCCACTTGATCCTTTTTCTTTGGATTCTTATCTTTTTCCTTTTTTTACCCCCTTTAAGGCCACCTCCGAAGCTCCTCTTAACCCTTCCGCGGCCGACCCCGCTTTTAGCGCGCTATATTTGCCTTTATGGTTTATATCTTTCATAGACCTGCTTGGTCCGACACTTTGTACAATGTTTGTAGCTCCGAGTATCTCAAGGGGCACGTGTAGTGCGTTAAAATCCCGGGAGATAAGGAGAAAAAATCCCTTATCGAAACTTCTCGGGACCGGGGCGCCACTTGACGCTTGCGCAATCTACATTCAGGATTCCGCAGTAATTACGCATTGCACAGGGAAATGGTACAAACAAAAGTTCTTCCTTACCTTATTACACACATCTTTTGTATGAAACAGTTTTTTCTGACACGTACTCCCGGGACGGAAATCGCGATCTAAGCATCCCTTATCTCCTCCTCTGACCCTCCTCGAGGATCACTCGCATTTCCTGGCGGTATTTAATTATCAAAAAATTATAATTAATTAATGGGGCGCAGATTTCTTGGTCCTTTGATTTTTGGACAGTTTTTAGTTTCGGATAAACCCATTTACCGAGTCCTTCCCCTACCCGATCCTTTTTCGTAAGGATTATTTTGGAGGCTCGAGGAGGTCCTTGGTCTCTGGAGCTCCGGTGCGCAGCAATCGTCTTTCTATGCGGGGAGAACAGGGAGAAACGAGATTTCTCTCTCGAGCACCTGTAAGGAGATAAAAGATAACGTCGGAACTGGGCACGCCTTGAGCCAAGATACAAAGGAAGGGAGAAAGAGAGAGAAAGGAGGAGGGCATTATTACGGCCGAGGGGCGTCTCGCTCCGTAAATCTTTTTCCGGCCTCCTCGGCAATCCTTTTGCAATCCTTCTGCAATTATAAGGGACACTTTTGCGGATGCATCCCCTTAAGCGGTGCACTCAGTGTCGCATGTCATGGGGGGATGTTATGGGGACATCGAGGTGCGCCATTAATTGCTAAGTGCGATACGCGGTTCCCTCTTTGCTCGGAGATCGATCAGAGTTTAGGAGACATTTCGAAGGATTTATGAAATGAATTTTAATGCCTCTTCGGACAATTAAATTATCTACTGACTTTTAAAATGGCAATGGGCGAATGATAGACAATTTTTAAGTTTCTATTAGAAGAGTTCGATTAGAATTGAAGGGCACATCTTATTAAAAATGAGAATAAGACGCATGAGGACGAGTTATGACTTTCTACGGTGCATATGTGAGTGTACCGAGGAATCGCCCTATTATTAGCCCCTGAGTACCTAGGTCTCTCTACCCTAAAACTATGATCTTGGATTTAATGCACGACATAATGCATCGGTACAATAAATTCCCGTACTCGTTGCCGAGCATGGGTTTGAACAGCTGAGATTGCGGCGCCCTATTTTTTGGGGGGAGAAAATTAATATGACGAATATGGGGATTTTCGGGAGGAATTCGGGATGAAAGGGCTTCTAGATGTGTACGAAGTACCTGTTATGGTTGTTTGAACAGGTGGAGAGATTATGGTCTGACGTGCCCTGGCGCCTAAGCTCCTCGGATTTATGGACTTTCCTAAGGAATTCCCTCGACATTTAAATCTACGAGACCTGCAAATGCATTAACAGTTCCACAACCACAGGGGCCAAAAAAGCGACATTTTTCATATCGGAATAAATTGTTCATAAATTTATAGGAATTTTTTTAACGAGGATATTTAAATTTCGACATTTCCCTTTACCAAGAGGAAGAATAAAAATTCTTTGGAGCTGATGTTAAATTACTTCTCGTTGTCCATGGAGGGATATTTAATATTTCGTTACTCCCACTCTATCGGCAATAATTCTTTGGAGCTGAAATTAATGGCACCATTTTTTTTTTTATGTGATGAAAAAGGGATAAATCAAATGAGAAGATTTGAAAACGGTCCAGGCTCGTTTGCTTGGATAGGTTTGAGCAGCAGGTAAGAGCATTATTCCCTGGAGTCGTCCTGCAGGAATTCGGGATCCTCCTCTCTCTTTCCTCCTTCATTTAAGGGAAGGGAAGGTAAAACCCCCCCAAGGGAAGAAGACAACGAAATCCCGACAAAGCGGGCCCAGAGCTCGTTGCATTCTGGCCGTTAACGGGGCCCTATGTGCGATTCCTATTTATGTATACGTTATATATATACTTATTATATGTATACATAAGCGATCCCTTTATACACGGATTTCTTCAACATGTACGCAGGTTTCGTCGGCAGACCAACGCGCGATCCCTTTCATCTCGATCCTCCTCTTTGTCAGCGCCGATCTAAGATCCTTTTTCGGGATGAAACCTTTCCAGAATCGTTCCCGATGCCGATTAATCTTCCTCCGACATTTCGGGAGACGTTCAGGAATCCCCGAAATGGAGCACAGGGGTCGATGCTCCGAAATGCTCGCCTCTTTGTCGGGATAAAGAGCACCTCGGTGAGCCTTCGGGATGTCGAGGGGATTTAACCCTGTGAGATTTCTTTAAACAATATCATTTTTTTTTTCTTCAGTGCTTGTGAGTAAAGGGGAGTTCGAAAAAGAGGTTCCCTTGCTCTAGATGCGAGGAGAAGGTCCTGAGCCTTTGGGAATTATTTCTTAGACACGGTCCTCGATTGACTGGAGATTAATTTTTTTTTTCTTGAGGTTTGATCGATTTTTTTTTTTTCGTAGATTTATTGTTTTCTGACAATTTATCTTCCTTTGGAGATGCATTGTCGTCGATATGTCGGGTTCATCGAGCTCAAGATGTTCTTCAATCGTTCTGTAGGGAGGACAGTAATTGACGGCATTTAGGCCGACGATCAGCTGATCAGCTGATCAGCTGATCGCCCAACCTTCCGGGATAATTTTCTTATTCTCTAACAGGAGCCGGTCCTCCAGGACGACATTCTTACTTCGAACGTATCAAGAAATGACGACTAATGTCAAATTAATAATACTATATTTTAATAAGAGAAGTTTCATCCCAAACACGATAAATATTGAAATTTTCATCGGAGTCCTTTATCTCGCTTCAGATGATCCTGGGTGAGTACGTCCACACGAGGAAATCCGGCGACCAGTCTTCGAGGATTCTTTTTGGGTATTCCATGCCTTCTTGGGCGTGGAAGGCATATACGAAGGTAATTACCTCGCCTATTTTGCATATTTACTTTTCACAAGCACAGGAAGCCCGCAACTCGATTAACCCATGTCGTTAACTTAATTACACGAGTTGGCCTGATTACGTGACCATCGATTAAGATCGCTAGTGGATCTTGGATGACTACACCGAGAAAGAAAAAGAATTTACATCGAACCAGAGAAATACTTTGTTAATCCGAGGAATAATTAATTTGACTCGATATGAACTGGAATAAATTGGACGCAACGTTTCTTCGGAATTGCGACAATTCATTTGGGAGTTAATCTTTTGAATTAAAATAATATTTCTTTGGTTCAAGGAATTTTTTCTTCTTTTCTCAGAGTATGTTACCGTAAAAGTGACGTGAAGCCGGATCGTTATTGAGCCTCGATTAATTGTCGCAATTAATTTTATTTGCAGATCGGCATCTTCGGTTTCGGAGCTGCAACGACGGTGCTTTTTACTGACATTGCGAAGTACACGATCGGAAGGCTGAGGCCGCATTTTATGACGGTTTGTGTACCCAATGTTGATTGCAATTTGCTTGAGAATCAACATCGATACATCGAGGATTTCACCTGTACCTCGAATTTCTCGACGAAGCTGCTGAAGGAAGTCAGGTGAGCGAAATGACTCTGCCTAGAAATTTATTTCTACCCCGAAATGCGACAGGCGTTAAATCTCACGTCTTAGGAATTTTAATGATGCAGGACTCGTGTGAAGAAAAAAAAAAAAGAATTTCAATTTAATCGGTGCAATGAGACAAAGAGAGAGTGGGTGAATAATTGTCGCACTCACGTGCAAGGAATTCCTCTCAGTCAGAGACTGAGAATTCCCTGAATTTCCGGGATTAGTAACATTAACATCGTTAATGAGCGCTTAGAGGAATTACCCTCGTTACCCTTAATTGCCCTAAGAAATTATTCCGAAATTTCGACCGATGAGTAAGAAAAAAAAATTGACATTTTTTCTGGTCTCAAGCTCGTTAAGTGCACTTTCGGTGAATTATTTGCCACGTCGCTGGATAGATTTACGGCGCGTTTCTATTTCCTTTAATCAACCACGGAGTTTTGTACTAATAAACGTGTAGTCGACTCATGAATGTACTCCTGATTGCTCTGAGTAAATTACGGTTATTACTCCGGGCCTTTGGCCTCTCGTCCTCCTCGAATAAGTAGCTTTTATTACTCTCCTCGAATTGAATTCTGTATACCTTGACACATTGTATAAAATGTTAATCGGAAATTGTATCGTGTCCTTTTTGTTGTTCACTTCATTGTTGGACATTTTTAAGAGGCCATATTTAATCGGCCCAATTATTTCTTGTATAATGTTAAATGTTATCCCGGAATATCCTAATTGATTTAAACTGACAAGACTCGATCTCTCTCGTAATTATCCCTCCTGGTAATCACTGCTTACGTATGCAATTTTGCGATCGCTTCTAAACATCCTTAATCGGATTTAATCGGAATGCAAGGGCTCGTAAGACGAGCTTATCAATAAGCACACTCGATAAAAGGAGCGGAAAAGGAAATTGATTTTTTAGAACGGGGCCTGACTTTATTTAACGCCACCTGCGCGGTATAAAATAAAAAATAAATAAAGATAAATGTTTGCCACCTACTTTCGGTCATACAAATCATATAGATATATTTCAAAGGAGCCTTATCAATTTTTAAATATAATTTTTATATGTTATCAGTATTAGTGCGTGGAGGAGAAAATTAGTTATTCATTGTAGGAATGGTTTGAGGGTTTATGGAATTATTTCCGTTGTTTGTTATCATCTAATTGGGACCACGGAGATTTATTTGTCGGAGTTGGTTAGGGTGAGGCCTCGTGATAAAAAGTCGCGCCGAGTTAAAAAAGCCCGTTTGATATTTTCTACGCAGTCGTGGCCCTCTTGTGCAAGAGAGAGGGACAGTTCTATATATAGGGACATTTAAGGAATCGAGTCGATAAAAGTCCACAGAGAATTCATTCATTCGTTATTCGTAGTAACCGAGTCGGAGAGATCGTGCGTGAGATCGAGTTTGCCTCGGTTCGCCATTTTCTTCAACATTTTGCTTCTCTTTTCCCTTTTCGAATTCTCCTTGGCCAGGAAAAAAAAATCGAATTTTTACCTGAAGAGTAGTTACAGGGCAACGATGACATTCTGACAAATTGTTGCGACGATAAAATTTATAATTAATATTTATACGTCATTTTAGAAATTAATGTCGCTCGTGGCGTAATCCCCAAAACAGCTGACGTCGAATCAGCTGTTCGCTTTAGTGCGACGATGAAATTACGATAAATCGTTGTAGATCATTTTTAATATTAATCTCGAGTACCGAGTGACTTCTGAAAAAGCTCGACATGGAGTCTCGCAGCTTGGCTGCGACGATAAAATTTATAATAAATAGTTTGGCGATATTTTCGAAATTAATGTCGTCATTCCCAGAAGAGCTGACGTCGAATCAGCTGTTCGCGGTTTTACCGGGGCAATAAATTGGCGAACTTTCCCAGACCATTACCCGGTGCATTATCACTTACCGTGCTCGTGAGGAGCATTAATAAATCTTCGTGCATCCCTTAGGCTGAGCATTGACCACGGCAATAATGAATCAGCTGACACGTGCCATTCGTTGCAGGTTATCCTTCCCCTCGGGCCACTCGTCGTTCTCCGCCTACACAATGCTCTACGTTGCGGTAAGTTACCTTCAACATTTTCTACCTAAACTACCATACTTGAGTACCTACTCACCGGCATTATTCACAGGTGTAATCAGCGACTCGACTTGAATGTCGCCAAGCCTCATAATCCCCAAGATATTAATTCCCCTGGTCACCGAAACGTCAGACTTCCTCTTGAAAAAAGAAAAAAACGACCCTACAAACAAATTGCACACTAAATAACAATAGAAAATGTTGTCACACATTTGGAACTGGGAATTAATTTTTCATTCATTTTACAGAGGGGTCGTTGAACCTCCGAATTAATTCTTTTGATTTTCTTTTTCTCCCCTAATCTTCTGGTAGGAATTTAATTATTTACCACGACTTGTAAAGATTGTTGTTAACGCTGTTACACCATGGTGTAATAGGCTTAAAGTTAAGTAGGAATGCGTTGCGTAAGTTCTAGCAGGATTTCTCGTTTCTTTTTTTTTTTTTTTCCTTTTTTCATAAACGATGTATTACGAAACGTGTTTATGACAGACGATAGGATCATTTGCAAATCGTGCGAGGAATTGTTGCTAGGCTGGTATGTAGATAATTATCGAATGATTCGCGGTATCGATACATTGTTTCCTCCACGATCTGCGCGAGGCGACGGGTATATCTTTCTTCATATTCTATTTTTATTTAATAATGTGTGTTCAAGCACGGTGATCGGGATTTATCGCGTCGACAAAACACACAACGATATGTCAATGGCTCGCCGTGTAATGACTAGTTGTCAAGCTCGGTGCACCGAGCCCTGCAATTATTTTTTAAATCACCGCCCGATCTGAAAGTCAAATTTTAAATAACATCTCTGGGCCTCGTTTAAATATTTATCACCGAAGGCCCGGGATTTTAAGCGATGTTTATCATAGTCGATTGAAATGAATCTGGCCGAGACGATTTTATTTTCTCATTTGTTTTTTTTTACGTCGCGTCGATAGTTGCTAATCATACGTCCGTGCGTTTCTAAAAATCAGTGACTGTCAGGCTGTTAATTTATATTATTCTCAAAATTAACTGAGGGTGGGGAATATCTTTCCGTTTAAATAGAAATTAATTCTCGATTTTATCCCCTTAACGATTCTTTATTATTCATTTTTATAGCGAGTTTCGCGTTTTTCTTTTTTTTTCCAGCTGTACCTGCAACTGCGCTTCACGTGGGAAGGTAGCAAATTGTTGAAGCACGTATTGCAAATAATTTGTTTATTGATGGCCTGGTTCACGGCGATGTCACGAGTTACTGATTACAAGCATCATTGGAGTGACGTTTTGGCAGGATCTACTCTGGGAGTAGTCGTCGCAGTATTAATGGTAAGTGTGTCATTGACACTGTCAAAAGACAGGATAACGTTCAGTTTTCCTAAAAAGTCAATAAACAAACCGCGTATAAAATTCAATTTACACTTTTAATTCATACATAACCGATAGGAGAAAATGTCGACAGATGATTTCGTCGTCTGGGAATTTTGTTCACAATTTTTTTTATAATGAAAAAAAGGATTTGGTAAATGGTTTCCATAATCGGTTTTATCAATGAACGGGGCGGATGAAAGTGGAAGTACGCTGATTATGAATCACTCGTTACGGCCTATTTTTTTTTCTTTTCCCTTACTCGGCTAATTAAGCGGTCAGATTAAACATAATTGTCGAAAGGCGGATGGGCTTACTTAGAGCTGGAATTAAAATTGCCGTTTAAGATACGAGCTCCGTAATTCCGTAACCCGAGATGAACTTACCCGAGACCGGAATTACTCGATTTCACCCGAGAGTGACCCTTTCGAGGAAGTTTCATACTCTTACGAGAAACAATGCCCTCCGTACTACCGAATTATTTCCACGAAATTATTCGGCACTTTTAAACATTCGAGAGAATTACACGGAATCATTCGACACGTTAGTACAAGTACAGATTTAGTATCTAAGAATTATTCCGATGGAATTAAATTAATTCTTTACACTTTGTAAAAAAAAAAAAAAAAAAAATCATTAGATAGAAAAATTTTTCACTATCATTTACAATTATTTTGAGCAACACACAGATACCTAGAATTAAGCTATGGAATTATTTTTAACAATTTCGAGTATGACATTTCAGGCCTACTGCGTGGCCGACCTATTCAGAGAGAGGAGCCCCTTATCACCAGGTGATAAGCTGCACTCGGGGGATTACGAAGTCGAAGGTGGGACTCAGGTGAATAATGGCACTGCTAATCGCATCTGTTGACCCAATCAGGTCGCATTGTGCTTGTATTAAGGGCTTGAAGTCGCTCTAGAGCCTAGACACGAGAAAATCAACAATTAGACGTCTAATGACGTGTAAATCGCCAGGAGTAATGACAATTCGACTGGCGTCCTGGGACCAGCCAATTCCCAGGGATGACGATTAAAAGATCCAGGATAAACGATCCAGGTCGATCCTGGCTCGGTTTCCCCAGGAATCTGTATATATATATTTATACATAGAGATACATAGATATACATATACGTCGCGATAACCCGAATCGTCGAAGCTCGGCAAAAATGGGCAACTCGATCCTTGCATTTATATACTCACTTGGGTATTTACGGAGTCGACATTCATTATTAAATAAATAAACAAAAAAACAGAAACATCGACTTAAGCCGATGCGAAAGTCTCGTCAGGATCTTGTTTATGAAATTTTTTCTTCTAAACCGGGTACACCGAATCGTTTGACACTTTATAACGTGACTATAAACATTTGTTTATAGACGTTAGAAAATTTTTTTTATACAAATTGAAATTCCTCGCAGGTGAGGACCTTCCTTCTAGCTTCTATATTAATGTTGCAAAGTTTTAGACGATTCGCTACACCCGGTTCGGAGATATCTTTCATAAACAATCGACGACCCGATGCCACTTTCACATTCCCTTAATTTAAATAAACAATCTTTGCCCGTCGTTGCATCTGGGGATTTTATTCTTGAGAATATTTCCTCCTGGAAAGTCTCAGGAATTCTTTTTTATCTTTCCTGATACCGAGCTTCGGTCAAGTTCTTCCGAGATTGTTTATACGATAGTTATTACTATTTAATTAATATCCACGAGGATGCGAGCGTAATCGTAAGATTAGGCTCCTTGACATTCGCGATTTCGAGGTCGATGTCGAATATCGAGGTCGAAATTATGATATTATATTTTTTACCGCAGGGGATTATCAGTTCCTTGTTAACATTGTTTATTTAGGAGATGATAAGGCGTGCCGATTCGCCGATATCGAGATATAAATTGCACGTAGATTCGATAGAGATATTGTTGCCTGGATTTTACCGACGAGGTGCAAACTACTAATTATATATACATATTATATATATACATATTATACATACTAGGAAGTATTCCCGGCGCGGTTATTAAAAATCCCGCCGCTCGAATTACGCCTTAATTATGCCTGGGCATATTTTAATTTAATTCCGGAAAGTTAATGAGTAAACCTTGAAGGTGCGAAGTAAAACGGGTATTTACACAATCACATGTAAATACGCGTTTTCGGCATATGATAAATTAATAGGGTAATTAGCGCGAGGTGATAGCCTGCGAATCTCATTTGCAGAAATTGCGGGAACTCCGTACAGGTTTAACGAGAATTTGCATATTAAAGGTTCCTCTTTTTAATTAATAACATCCTTGGGAAATAAATTCCCCCGTTCTTTTTTTTTTTTCTTTTTTTCTTTATCGGTACACCGAAACGCACTCTCCTATCAGCGAGCTATTATCGCTATTAAATTCCTACGCTTGGTTAACATTTGTTGTTGTTGTTAATTGAATTATAAAGTGCGAGGTAAGGATAGGGAAAATGTCAAGCACTATCCAGGATTCTTAAATGGATTTTTATAGAGCAATAATGTGGTAACCAGACTCCTATATAAGAGAGGATTGACAATAATTGTTTAAGTTCTGGTTAAACAAGGATTAGTTGATAGTACGTGAAAGTATTTATATTTAACTCGCAGGATTAGGTGCTCCATTTTGTCAGTCGACCTCGGGACATTGTTATTAAATTTTCCGCGCGTGTGAAAATATTAATTAGGCTGATTATCGAGAGTATTGTCAGGATAATGGGGACATTTAATCGAAGGAGAGTCAACCGAAGTCTGAAAGACTTTTTTCTCTCCGTTAACAAATTAATTCCTAGCTGCCAATATTCGTTCCACACTGGGAAGAAAAAAAATAAGTTGATAGTTGACTCGAAGAAATATCCATCGCGAGAAGAAAATCCCGAAAAAATGTCTAAATAAATAAAATTAGTTTAAATCAACAGCGTCAATTTTTTTTACGACGAAATAATTGTTCCTTACGATTATACATGTCTCAGGCGACAATGTATATTTGTTTAAGTCAACTAATCTTTTTTTTTTTCGGAGTACAGAATCTCGTCCTTCTGCATTTAAAGGCACCTTAAAGGTATCTTTTTTAATAGGTCCCGTGTAGAAAAAGCCTTAAAGGTATTTTAAAGGGACCTTAAGTATACCTTAAGGGTGCATCAAGCCTCGTCAGTTTGAAGAGGAGACTCGTTCCCCTTTTTTTAATTTTTTAATTTAAAAAATCGAAGACTCCTCGATCGCTTTCGCGAAATCGCACTCTCCTGATATCGCTGGCCAAAGCCGTATTTATTCCATTTAACAATTAATTAATTATATATTTATTCAAGCGTTGTAAACGCTCCTAGGACGGCGATCTCGGCGAATTATTTGCAAAAAGGAATATAAATATGTCTCTTAATAGGGAGTCGAAAAGGAGCAAGAGAACGCATAGTATTCATTATTATAAAGGTTATTAATAATTTATACATGGCGATTTCCTCCGTGGCGTGAAGGAGAAAAATTAATAAATAAAAAGGAAAAAGCCGGCGCCTCTCTTTCCATTCGTGTGTATTCTCGATTTGTTCATACACTGGGAAGAAAAAAGAAAAAAAGAAACTCTCAGTGAACCGGAGAAATATTTTATCTCTCGTACTATCGGTGAAATAATATTAATATAAGTCGAGACGATGGATATTGTTAAACAGAAATACAAGATCCATTATCGCGTGCCGAAAGGGGGTCGTATTTTATTTCTTTTTTTAATTAAGCTTCATGTCTGTTTAATCGCGATTGTCGCAATTGTCGATCCAGGTGCGAGATTTATGCGAAACGTGTACATCGACATGTCTGCTTTGCACGTGGGGATTATCCAATTGTTGTTAAATAAACGGTAAACGCTTGTATTTTTTGGTTTTTCTTTTCATACCGTTAATTTAACTCCACCTTTTTATTTAGGAATAATTAATATTGCGTCTCGACTGCGTCGTTGGCTGGAATAATTCCTGTGAAAGTCTTCTAAATACGTACTGATATACAACTGCGATCGCATAATTAACTAGGGATATAAATAATTAATTTCCCGGGAGTGCCGGTAAGATCGTTTTCGAGTTATTTATTAGGAATTAAAGAGCGAGTACTCTCGGAGGAATCCCTTAGTCTTTGTAAAATAAATACTCTGTCGTCTGTATATTTTACTGTATCTGCTTCGGTAATTTAATCTTCATGTACACGATTCCACGGATTAAAGAAAAAAAAAAAAAGAAGAAGAAAATGTATCAACCCAATATTAATTTAATATAAAATCCCGCAGGGCCTAGGAATTTAATCGTATCAAATAAGATTAAACATCTTACCGCCTGGATTTATTATTCACCATGAATTATTGTTAAAGTGTCCTGGAAGTAATTGTTTCAATTTTTTTTTTAGTTTATAATGAAAACTTTACCAGAGTTCTGGGGCAAGGGGTGGAGGTACTAATTCTCGTTGCTTGCAATTAACGTGGGACGTTGGGGGCTTGGAATGCAATTATTTTCCGGGAAATCGCTTCTTCGATTTACCTGTAATCATACGTTTGATCATTAATGCTTCGATTTTGTCTTGGTTTTTAATTTCAGGGCGAATCGTGCCCGCTAAGGCGTTGCTTGCACATGTATGGCGACATGTCATCACGACCGCCAGAGACGACTTAGTGCACCTTAAATTTAACTCGACCTCCTCATCGTCATTACTGTCCGACTAATTTATTATACGCCTATGGTATTAACACTTCAATAAAACGATCATTCGCTGTCATCAGTCCTTGGTGAAACCTCCCGAAAACTGATCTCTCGAGCACTTCTCGCCCTTCTATCTCCTATTGAAATTGCAGTAATTTCTTATTACCACGCACTGATAAAACATCTAGGGAAATTTACATACATATTTGCACACCTCATAAGGGAAGTTGTACATAGACAATTAAAAAATTAGTTAAATTAGAAGATGTATTAATACACGAGAAATCAGTATCCAAGTTCATGTCACTTGCGATGATTAACACTTGTTTTTATTAACACGCATGGTTAAGTTGTTTCTGTTCGATGGGTTTAGTCATTGGCAATTAAATGTTAGTATGACCAAGTTATACAGATTAATTGGCGTTTAGATATGCACAGTTCGGTTAAACAGTGTCCATAAATATCTCTTTACTATGGTCGGTGCTGTAGGCAGAGAAGTACAGTTTTAAAAAATAAGTACATTTAACATGAGTCACGTAAAAGCGCACATTTAACGTACTTTACAACTCGTCTTTTATGTGCGTTCCAAACTCGCGAACACTGCCCATGAAAAGTGGAATGTTAGTTGGGACGTGTCGAATGGCAAATATGAAAGGATGGTTCACATTGAACTCTTCCGGTTCGTGTATCATTCTTCGCAGTCTCATTTGGACAACTGTAAAAACATGAAACCGATGAATACATTAAAGAGTATGTTAATTAAGAAGTAAGGGATCGGTGGTAATTACCAGAAGCAGCTGCAGCTTCGGAACCATCTTCGTTGACTTCGATGAAAGCTTTCTGGATGACTCTGTTTACTTTTAAAGGAACGTTTGACATGTTGCTGAAGTTTGCATCGTCAGCAAATATTCCTTGCAAACCAATCTACAATATTTCGAGTAAATAGATGTAAGTAGAACTATTAGAATTCTGCGATTGATGAAATTTTTTTCATTTACCTTGCTGAGTACGTCTTTCAGATTCATCGTAGTTTCCATTTTAAATCTGGGCAAGCGTAATGCGATCTTCTCCGATGAAAGTAAACCTTTCGATAAGGCGTTCCATTCGAAACTCTTTTCCAGTGATCGTAATCCCTCCACTTCATTTGGCAAAATGATCACCATGCTTAAACTCTGATTCTGTAAATTATAATTTAAATAAATAATGACATATGGATCTGTATTAATAAATTATGAAATTAGAATATTTACAAAGTATGGAATTTCAACGAATTTGGCGTTTAATTCTGGTAGATCGCCGTGTTTAAATGCAAACGACTTTTCCATGGTAGGTATGTGAACTTTCTTATCACGAGCGATATAAAATTCCCTGTTTTTTGTAAGTGCAGGGTCAAACTTTTGAGCCCATGGTCCTTTAAAATAGATTGCATTTATCAGGACCACTCGAGTGTCTTCACTAATGTCAACTGTAAACGTAAAATATTATTAATATCATTCACTCTCTTCATGGTGAATCAAAAGTTTAAATTTTTAAACAGAAATAATAATTACCAGGCAAAATGACATTGCTAATCTTCTTGTTCGTATTCTCCTCAATCCACCGATTTATTTCTGTAGCCGCAGCTACTTTATTTTCAAAATCAACAGTCGGAATGGTGGAATTGTAATACTTTAAGCTATGCTCTTGGAATTCTTGAAATAATTCGAAACCTTCATGAATGTAGACAGTATTAGCCAAGCTAAGCTCCACTTGATCGAGTGCCTGAGATAAATATATATTCATTATTTAATGCTTAATATTACCAATATATGGAATATTGAGCATTCTTACATTTAGTGTGACGAGCAGTTCTTTAAATCCTTCGTGACTTGCTTGCTGCCGTTTGGAAAATTTAAGGCCAATGTTTAGTTCTTCCGCGGTCGAGCCACCAGCTCCACGAGAGAGTAAAGCCAGAACAATGTGAGCGCTCAATGGAGAACTGATCAGATTTCCCTCGACATTTGACGCCAAAGCCTAGACAACGTTCCAGCATTATGCTTTTGACATATTAAGACAGATACACATGAACATACTTTATAAAAGGCGCTTGCAAATTCGCTGCACGCGATCGATAGTTCCCCCTCATTAGCGTAACTCATGACAACAGATTTCAAATGTGCGAGTTGCAGCAGAAAGACAATTGACTTGGCCCAAAAAGCTGGAAACAAAAAGAAAGAAAGTACGTCACTGATATCGAGGTACAGATTTATAAAAAAAGGAACTCTTAAGAACTATTAATTAATTGACAATTTCACCTGTCTTCATTTTAAGAATTGTGAATTCACTCGAATTTCTATTCACAGTGAAATAATTCCACACAAGTCATCGATGAAGTTAACAAACCAAATACATGAATAATTTCCGTTGACCCCCATCAACTAAGTTTATTTTACACATGGAACTGTATTATAAGCTTATCTTATCAGTGTCCTCGCATTAATCCGGTGAAATAATTCCCGGCTAAAAATAGAGCTCGCCAGCGCATCTTTCTAGGTTAGGTTACCGACGTGGCGAAAAAAAAAGCACCTGTCAACAAGTGTCCAGAAGACACGAGGGGCTGAATAAGCTTTTTTAAATATAAAATCACTTACGTAGAGACACTATATCCAATCCAACCTGTTGCATTCAGACGCTGAGCTTGGAGAATTGAATAACGCCAATTATGATCCTAACCCATTTATATACCTCCGTTGACTCAGAGTAACTGGAATTCTCAGGCCGTAGAAGGAGAAACTGCGGCCTGGAATAATCAATACATAATTTAAAATACGTGACATGATAAAAGACAGAAAATATCAAACATAAAATTCACTATACTTCTCGCTGTTACGTACTACCACCTGACTGTTTAAAAAAATTCGACAAATTGTTTGAAAACGTCTACAAATAATTGACGTGTACAGTTTTCAGTTGGTAGTGTCGCCTCCAGCGCGGCTAGGAGGCTCCGAGAAATTCCGAGGGATGGCACCACGGTTCAAGTAAAAAATTCTAACGTCTAACGAAACTTCTTAAATCGATAGGAAACAGAGTTGAGTTGGGAGATTGCTCACGGGCAGGGTCGCGAGATCGCATTCTGTGCTGCCCTCTGGTTTCGTACGTCAGCTTCCACCATTTTTTTCCCCCAAGGGTGGCTTACCTACGCTTACCGACACTGCTTGCTTTTGATGATAAGGGAAGAGCACTCTTGGTTATTTAAATTACGGGAAGGTGAACAATTTCATTTTAATTAAATTCTACTTCACAGCTAGTTCGCGAATCGGTGTCATCCCATAAGGATGACACCGATTCCCCAGGTCCCGCCACGAGGAGGCCGCTGTGATCGGGACCCGCCTAAGCATAGGCACCTGGTTCCGTTGAGTTCCCAGCGTCCCAGGAACTCGCAGAACCAGGATTTCATAACCCATACGCATCCGTCCATACAACGCTCGCCGCAAACTACAGGGTAAGTCGTAGAGTACATTGCCAGTTAGCATTGAATTGCGGATATAATTTACCGGAAGGGTATACTACTTCTACCGCGAACAATCCAGCAGCTTCCACCGTCACCGACGACTAACCCGGCTCGGCTGTCGGCCCGCGAATACGAGTTTCAGTCGGCGGGCTTGTCCCGGCTTACAGCAGGCAGAGCCCCCGCGGGATGCCGCCAGAGCGAAACAACGTATCGCGCAACCGACAACCTGAGCCAGGTAGCCTTGCACGCCGTAGCTTAGCTACGACGTACTAGGTGCCGACGGAAGCTGCCGGATACACTAAAGATACGGCAATGCCGTACCTGCAAAAATTTACTTCGGTTAGCACACAAATCCGAAATTACAAGCTGCATGGAAAGGTACTCAACAACGCCCTGTCCGCAATTTACAATTTCGCACGCACGCAATGAGTGCTTCCACTTTAAACTACGTTAAGCTACTGTCATACAAAAAAAAAAAAAAAACGTTAAGTGGAATCACTCGCGCAGCTATTTGCGGACCGGGGGTTTCCAACTATCGTTGGAAACCACCGATCCCCCAGGCTCACCACGTGGAGGTTGCTGCGCACCGAAGCCCTTCACAAACATAATAAATTAAGTTAAATATATTAAGAAAGGGAACGGTAGAGAGGGGGGGGATGTCTCCCATAAGGCCCGGTTTCACAACCCAAGTTAACCGAAGTTTGATTTTTAACCGTTAGGTTAAAGCGTAGGTTAAAACTGGGGTTAACCGTTAGATTTAACCGTAGGTTAAAACTGGGGTTAACCGTTAGATTTAACCGTAGGTTAAAACTGGGGTTAAACCAGTTACGGTACAAGCAGGTAACCCGATGCTTACCCTTCGGAAGACCAAAGGGTACTGATGCTCCGAGCGCGCGCTCGGCCTTATATAGGGTCCCCGACCCCGGCACGCGCATGCGCAGTTCCTTATAACACCTTTGTATATTCCAATTTCGGAATTTCTTTATAATAACGGAATTTCATGGCTATGGAACCCTTTTTTAGGGTCTTTATACCCACGTCATAAAATTTCAAACGATTAGGTACACCTAGTTTTGTGAAAAATTTCCTTGTCAACAGACCCCTCGGTTGCTTCTTTCTCGTCACCTAAACGGAAAATCCGTAATTATAACATGATGCAATGGGAGTACAAGGGTACCTTTTTCAGGTATCTGCGGTCAGGTGTCGAGCCGGAGAAGCGACGGTACGGTAATTGAGGGCTCCCTATTACGCGAGTACATAAGCTACCTACGGCGACAGGTAAATGGCATCGATATCCCCAGTACGCGAGTCCCTACCAAAAATTCGTTGCGCCGCCCTTGGGGGCAATAAACGGTGAAAGCTGACGTACGAAATCAGAGGGCAGCACAGGATGCGATCGCGCGACCCTGCCCTAGAGCAATTTCCCAACTCATCTCTGCGAACATAGAACATAAGCTCTATGCTCCGAATCATCTCGGTCACGTGGTCCAGAGACATGGCCAAAGATGGCGGCCGGCGTGGAGGTTCTGTTGAATCCGACAAAGCGTTTAATTTCTCAGCACGCGTGGTTCACTGGCGCGTTATTCGCCCAGAGTCGGCAAAATGCGCAAACGAAGAAATATGTAGACTCGATCCTGCTGCCGCGAACTAAGTTTCCAACCTGGTTAAGCGGGAAGAAACGAGTGGAGATGGATGAGTACTTGCTCGAGAAATGCGGCTTCGCGGAGCTTTATAACTGGCAGAGGGAAAACCTGCCGGGGCCGGACTTTATCCTCCACGATGGACCTCCTTATGCGAATGGTAACCCCCACATGGGCCATGCGATAAATAAAATCCTCAAAGATATAACTCTACGGAGCAAAGTGATGAAGGGCCAGAGGGTGCACTACGTCCCAGGTAGAAATTAATTATTCTCTGCTTTTAGTAGCGATGTCAAGTCGAATACTTTTTTCATTAGACTTAGTTTTGTGAATTTAAATGCATCGTCAAATCGAGTTTGGACTGGAGATGACAATGGGGTGAAGGAACAAGGAATTTATAACGATAACCCGAGTTACGATAGGAAAGGGTTTAATGAGTTGATGTATTCGACTTTTCTGGTCCCTAAAGTTTCATGCTGGAATGGGTTATCGATGTATGAAGTTCTGCATGTTTTTCTCGTTCTTCAGGGTGGGATTGTCACGGATTACCAATCGAGTACAAAGCATTGTCAGGATCAGGAGCAAAAGCTGCGGAGCTATCCCCGCTGGAGATCAGAAGGAGAGCCAGAGAATTTGCCTTCAAAGCTGTAGCGAAGCAGCGAGAGGTCTTCGCTTCTTGGGGCATCATGGCAGACTGGAGTGAGTCTGGCTGCTACTTAACTAATCGAACGGAGTATGTGACCAATCAGTTCAGGCAGTTTTTGAAGTTATACGAAAAGGGATTAGTGTTCAGGGCTTTCATGCCAGTGCACTGGTCACCTTCTTCTAGGACAGCTCTGGCAGAGGCGGAGCTGGAATATAACGAACGCCATGAAAGTAGGTGTGCGACGGTGCGTCTGTTGCTTGTAGATCTTCCTTCCGTTTTGAAAGATCTTGCACCAAAGAACGTCTTTGCTTTGATCTGGACGACAACACCCTGGACATTGATAGCCAATCAAGCCATCGCCTATGCCAAGGAAGCTATTTATTGCATCGTCGAGGACTCCAAAGGAAATTTGTACATTGTTATCGAGGAGTCTTTAAATAATATTATAGGAAAAATAGGTCCTCTACAGTTGTTGAGGAAAATTAAGGGCAAGGAGCTGACCGGTGGCAAGTATCGACATCCAGTTTCAGATGAAGTCCTTCCGCTTCTTCCTGGAAGCCATGTCAGTAAATCGGTAGGAACAGGCCTTGTTCACACTGCCCCTGCTCACGGAGTGGAGGACTTCCTTATTGCTTTGGAAAATAAAATACAAGTTCTGTCACTTGTGGATGAAGGGGGTAAATACACAGCTGATGTTGACGAGAAGTTTCGAGGTCTGGATGTGCTTGGAAATGCTGGAGATGTCATCTTGCAGTACATCGGAGAGAATGTCGTGCACACCGAGAAGATAGTCCATAGTTATCCCTATGATTGGAGGACGAAGAAACCTGTGATATTGAGAGCCAGTCAACAGTGGTTTGTGAATACCGAGAAAATCAAGGCCGAAGCTGTGGAAGCTCTGTCAACAGTGCAAATGTATCCTCCGAGTAGCAGGTTAAGTTCTGTCAATACTCTTAGTAAGCAACTGGAGCAGCGACCTTACTGGTGCATTTCTCGACAGCGAGTTTGGGGAACGCCGATACCTGTCTTATATGCAAAAAGCTCTGGGCAAGTGATTACGAACAAAGAGTGGGTCGAGAGATTATGTAGGCTTACAGAGAAGCATGGCTCTGACCTCTGGTGGGAAATGCCTTTTGAGAAGCTTGTTGGTAGGAAACTCCTCGAAGAACTGCGAGTAGATCTGTCAGAGCTCGAGAGAGGAAACGATATAATGGACATCTGGTTCGACAGTGGAATTTCCTGGTCTTCGGTACTACCTGAAGGTAAAGCTGACCTCTATTTGGAAGGAATGGACCAGTTCACTGGCTGGTTCCAATCTTCGCTCCTAACCTCCATAGCTCTCCAGGGCTGTGCGCCGTACAAAGCTCTCTTCGTTCATGGTTTCGCTGTCGATGAGAAGAACCAGAAAATGTCAAAGTCACTGGGGAATATCTTGGATCCGGTGGAAGTGACTAAAGGTGGTAAAGATGTCAACAAGAAGCCAGCCTATGGGACCGATGTCCTACGCTGGTGGGTCGCCAGCCATGGTACGCAACATAGCCAGGTCTCTGCTGATAGGAATGTTCTTCAAGACAGCATGGATTGTTTAAAAAAATTAAGACTCATCGCCCGGTTCCTTCTTGGTACTTCTTATCCGTACTCCACGGAAGAGCCTACAGAACCTCTGTATTCATTACTCGACCAGTACGTTTTGCACAAATTGTATTGCTACAGCAAAGAGATGGAAGACTTCTATGACGTCTATCAATATCACCACGTATGCAAGACAGCCCTAAATTTTGTCACTGAAATCTCATCCACTTATTGTCATCTCATTAAAGATAGAGTTTATTGCGATAAGGTTGATGATCCTTATCGTGCAGGGGCTGTGGAGGTTGTTGGGGAAGTGCTTACTGTCCTGGCTCGATCCATCGCTCCGATAGTTCCCAATCTAGCCGAAGAGATTTGGCTGCACTTCCCAGAGAACCTAACATCTGTGCCGTTGTTCCATATGAGGTATCGAGTGCCTGAAACCTGGAATCAACCCCATATTGTGGACATAGTGAACTGTGCTCTCGACCTGAGAAAGGAAGTGGTCAAAATCGCCTCTACGAACACTTGGAATTTTGATGCAACCGTCACTGTCAATGCGAATCGTTTCTCCCTATTGTCGAAACTACAGAACGATGAACAGTCCTCCGAGTCTGAACTTTGTGACCTTTTGCAAGTGTCGTCGGTGCTCTTATTGAAAGACAATAGCATTAGTGAAGTTAAAGTGGATTTAAAGCAGTTAAGTACATCCCTGTGCGAACGCTGTAGAAGACACCCTGAGCCTGAACCGGACGCTTTGTGTGCTCGCTGTGAACGAGTACTTGCTCAAGCCTGAACAATAGTGCATAAGATGGTAAATATTTGTAAAGAATTTACATAACCATTGTTAGAGATTATATCTCTGTCTCTTTGATGTCGAGAATTCATCCGCAGTGTGTCCTGCTTATGCCAAATGGCAGCTAAAGGAATGTAACTTAATTGTTCTTACTGTTCACCATTGAACTGTTTACATTGCTTTGAATTAGTTAATTGACAGAGGGACTGCCTTTTGGACTCTCGATTGGCTTGTCTAATTCCATTTTATCTACATAATTTATATTATTTCTAGGTTATTTTTCATTAGAATGGTCTCAGCCTCCTCTCGTTGAGAACCATGAGCCTCCGGAGGAGCTTCTATCACTGTCAATTCAACGTCATCCGTTCCTTTCCGCGAAAGCAGAGATTCCTGCTCCTGTGTCTCCATCTCTTCCTCTCCATCGATCGTCACCTTCATTTTCAGGGAACCATCGTCATTGTCAATCTCCCTCAGAACAGGTATCGTGGCACTTCTGCTAATCTCTGCGGTGTCCCCTGAAATATTACACATCAAATTAATCCACAATAAAACAATTTTTTATAAAGTAAATTCTTTTTCTAGGGGAATTAAATGAGCAGGTACCATATAGCACTTCGACGATGCAGTCTTCGTTTTCAGCCCAGCGAAACAATTTGTGATCGCTGAGGTTTGTGATTTTGCTGACAATGGAGTCACTTACGTAAATGAACAGCAATTGTTGCTGCCTCTTGTCAAAGTTGGCCAACAACCTTTCGATGCCCTGTAACGATAGCAAATAATGGGACAATGAATTTTTATACAAGTATTTATCTCCGCTAAAAAATCACGTTGTGAAGAAGTGTTTAAATGGCTTTCTATTGGTATATTTATTTATTATTCATTATGATTTAGAACCTTTACTGCCGTGTAGTCAATCCCATTGAATCGGCGGCAATCAATGACGAGTGGCAGTTTCTCTTTGCCTGGTTGTTCTGCGACTTCTAAGACCCTGTTGTAAAGGAAGTCCACCGCAGGATAGTAGAGGCCTATATCTGGCTTGAGCAACAGGTAGACCTCTCCAAAATTCGTCTGTTAGAGAAGAACCATGTAAGGTTACCAAGGCTAAGATGAAATAACATAGGTGAAATTAGAGGTTAAACATAGTGCGGAGAAGTGCTGGAGGAAGAAACACTGACAGAACTCTGGAAAGTCACTTACTTTGCACTCCGTTACCTCAACTGTTGGTCTCGCAGAGACATAGAGCAGAAACACAATGTTAGTGAAGATTCCGAGGAGCAGACCAGTTTCTACGTTGAACAGCAAGCACATAACGAAAGTGCCAATTGCTGCCACTGCATCTCTTTCTGTGATAGAAGAAAAGATTTAATTTTTAGAGGATGTAACAAGTTAACCAAGTGAATATATTGAATTGGTGCCACACTCACTGGACTCTCTGTAAAGTGTCACGATGATCCTCCAGTCTATCAGGAACATTACCGCACATATCAGAACGGCTGCCAGGGTGGCTCGAGGGATGAAGTAGAAGTACGGAGTGAGAAAGCTAAGAGCCAGCAGCGTCATGGTTCCTGAAAGGAAGAAGACAAGAAGTCCCTTTGATCGATAAAACGTTTCAGTGAGTGTTTTTATTACGGAGTGTCATTCTATCAATCGATAAGTGATTCAATTCCTTACCGGTGTAGAGTCCAGCTAAAGGAGTCTGAATGCCACTGGCAGAGGCTAAGGCACTCCTAGTAAATGCTCCGCAAGTTGGCATTGAGGAGACGAAGCTGCCCAGGATGTTGCAGGCACCCAGCGTTACCATCTCTTGGGATGCATCGATGGTCTGGCCGGATGCTGAAAGGATTTACACGTTACCAGAGAAGTTGGCTTCTAAATTTCCACGAGAAAGTAGGATACCCTTCCGCCAGTGGGATTCCTCTCTCATTCTCTGTGTTAGTTCCTGGATTACCGAAAGCTTTGGCAATCGCGACGTTGGCCAGGACTGCCACCAACGGCACGATGATTATACCAATTCCTAAGTGCGAGCACATGTCAACGAAAGTATACGTCTGGTTGCCAACTTGTGCGGTGAATGGTGGAAGCGACACAGTGGGCAGGCCCGACTTAACTTTTCCTGAAAATTCAGGAAGATAGTGTTCAATCAATTGTGAACTGTGATTCAAGAAAGCTATAAGTGTCGAAACATCCTCGATTCTGAGCATACGGACCTGAGAGGAGAAACAGCGAGTGTCCTGACATTTCGAGTCGATAAGACAGGAACGATGCAATCAGAACCACCAGGACGTTTCGCCCAATGGATATGAACCACAGCGTCTTCTTTATGACTCTGTTCCTGGACTCGTTAGAATCCCTCAGCATTGCGCAGTCAAAGTCTTTTAACTTCTGCAAGCGGAAAGTTTGTAAATTAAAAGTACATTTGTATGGTACAAGAATTTTAATATAAAGGAAGTGCGAGAAAGTGACATGGGCTCACCCTGAGTATCAGAAGGAAGACGATGCTGCAGAGGCCAAGGCCGGCGTCGGTGAGCCTGACGTTCCCCGCGTTCTCGAGGAGCTTCCTGGCGTTGTCGACGATGCTCTCGGAGGAGAACCTGAGCCCCAGGAGTCCCTGGAGCTGCGAGACGATTATAATCACCGAGGTCGCCGACATGAAGCCCGAGGTGACCGGCAGGGAGATGAAGTCCACCAGGAAGCCTGCACGTCGCTCGTCAAGATTACTGTCAAGGTCGCCCCCTTACGCAGATTAAGTGGGTTGTGGTACATGCCTAGGTCCAGTAAACCCATTATCAGTTCTACAGTGCCAGCTAAAAAGCCAAGTAATACCACGAATTCCAGGGGCATATTCCGCGTGAACTCCGCCGTCACCAGGGCCATCAGCGAGGTCGGTCCGATCGAGATCTCCTTCACGGTCCCCAGGAACATGTAGGTGAACCCACCCAGGAAGGTCGAGTAGAGACCGTACTGAAAGATGCACATCAGGATGCAAAGATGAACCTTGCCTTGTGTACGAACTCGTTAAATATTTTACGACGTGTATGTGGAGGCTCTAGGGAAGATCCCGTCACTAATGAAATTTAATTTATTCTATAAAAAATGTAAAAATTGTCCAGGAACAATTTTTTTACCAATTGAAATTTCACGGATGTCAGGACCTTCCTTAGAGCCTCCGTATTAACATTGCGAGATGTGAGACGATTCGGTGCAACCAGTTCGTTAGTTAAGCACTTTGATAACACCTTAACAGTGTAGGAAAGAATTTTTTTATCCACTTCATAAAGCCAAGGGATTATTTCTCCAAGAAGGAAGGAAGCCTACCTGAGCCGTGAGCCCGGCCAGGGCGGCGTAGGCGATGCTCTGAGGGATCATGGTGAGCCCCAGGGTGATACCAGCTATCAGGTCGGAGAGGGCGTTCATCCTGGAGTACCTGGGGATCCAGCCGACAATAGGGACATACTTGACGAGGACATCTCTACATGTACGGCCCTTATCGATCTTCCGGGACCTCTTCGTTCCTGGTGGCAGCATCCCGTTCCCTTCGAGCCGCTATCAGGGGACCGAAAGGATCGCTCGAGATGCGTGATAAGAGATACTGAGCGCTCCTCCTCGCGGTGGCGACTGGCGCGACCACGAATTAAGAACGAGAGCTATCTGGCTATCAGGGCGCTACATGGTCGCGCTTCCCCGGCAGGGCCAAAACGACTTCTATTCGGTGAATTCTCCAGGCGAGACGAAGGGAGAAGGGATATATATATAAGAGAGGGGAGATACGTGACGAGGTGGTTTCGCGCCATTGTTTACCCGCTGCGACGGGATCCCTGAATCGGCTGGCAAACATTGCGTGGGAGATCCGATAAAAAGCCCTCGTGGCGCGACTGCTCGTAGGCTGTTTAAATAACGCGAAACGCGACCTTTCTGCCGGTAATTTCTGGTAGATGGTCGATCTGGCGTTAAGCGCGGCGCGGCCGCCATCTTGGGTCCCGCTTCGCGTCGCCGAGATTCCTAGAATTTGCAAATATCACATTATTCCCCTTATATTCGGGCGAAGCCGGTGAAAAGGAAGAAAGACCTATTTCTTTTCCTCTTTTCCTTTTTTCCTCTTCTTTGGTCCTTTACCGGTAGATTAGATACGTCGCCATGTTGCGACGCATCGATTCGCGTATGAAAAGAACGGAGGAACGGCACCTTCAGTTTATCTCCGTTTATCGTCGTTCTACCGTCGTTATTAATGTTTCATACGAGGAAACATCCCCTTTGATCTCTTTTAAGTCTTCCTAGACATAACATGGTTTCTTTGTCTCCTTTCAATTTTATCGCTTCCATCGTGAAACCAGCGTTACATATCCAGAGTATATCCTACATTTACGGTTGTACTACGCGATAATTTCACACGTAAAATGAGAAAAGGGGCGATAAGGTAGCTCTTCTATTATCTTTCCTTCGATTCTGCCACCTTCGGGGTAAAATGATAGCAATATAACGTAGGCGCGTCTTGCGTTGAGGAAAAAGGAACCAGCGCGTCGGCCGCCATCTTGGAGAACGCTTAGAGGCGCCTCGTTGGCCTCCGATAAGAAAGAATCGGGCCCTCGATGGGTAACGACTGTTGGCAAACATTTGCCCGATCGCGGCTCTTACTAATTAAATATTTTACACCCGCAAACACGCGCATTTGCATCGCCGTACTTCGACTTTTCTTCGCGCTCTTATCCAAGGTCAACTCGATGGAGGCCCGGGTTCTTCGTCGCTGAAATAGGCACTCTTGATACCATAATAGCTTCTCGCTTTACGATTACGAGCAACGAGCGCCGATTCAGGCCACTCAACGCGCGTTTCCTGCTGCGATTCCGCTGCGGGACTGGAGAGAATCAAAAGAGTATAGACAATACTCGTAATGTACAATGAGAGTGTTTATTGCACTGCGTGTCCTCGCATATTAAGGTGTTACGACAGGGTCGTTTAGTATATATCAAAACATCAAAATGTTTATAAAACTGGTTTTTTTTTTTTCCAAACTGGGGCGCACCACATAATTTATGGAGGCCCTAAGAAAGAGCGCAATGCTCGTGTAATTTGATTAAAAAAAAAAAGAGAGAATATGTATTCTTGGCTCTTGTCTGGGATAAGTAAAGAATTTTTTGCCGAGAAATGATATCTCATGGTTATCGCGCTCTTCCTTAGGGTCACTGTAATATACACGTCCTGGAGTTTCAAATGATTCTAATTGACACTAAGGATACTATTAAATTATACGTTCCACGGCTTAAAAGTGAATTACTTTACGTTTATTATAAACTATATAGATTTATGATTTTACAACGTCGTGCTGAATTTATGAAAGGTGTTAAAAACGTGTTATAAAATTAGGATACTTCCTTTAACAGTGTGTAGGGTGTCGCCGTGTGACGTCGCGCAACCCTTTTTACGTAATGAGAGATGGCGAGGAAATGAACTCTCCGTCCTCTCTCTTACGTTTCATCTGTCTTCCTACTCCAGACACTTTATAATGAATAGAAAAAGGGAGCGCGAGAAGAAAAGAAGTTTCGGTTCCGTCCTCGTGGCCGCATCGGCGTCCTAGGTCCGTGATGACATCCTTCGTTTCCTGTCGTCACATTTCATAAAAGACTCTACGGGTTCACAGGAAAGTCCGGTTGGTCCAGCCCTGAAGAGGCTCTTCTAGCGCAGCTTCTTGTTGACCTGGTCGATGAGCTCGTCGACCCTCTGGGAGGCTCCACGGAATTTGTTGGGCTCGGGACCGATCATCTGTATCAGCTGGGGCACCTCCTGGCCGCTGATAAGCGTGAAACGAGACAGCGACTTCATGCACGCATAGAGCTGCTCTTCAGGGGGGTCGTTGTTGAAGTACTGGAGGAGGGCCATCGTCAACTCCACGGCGACGTCGTCGAACACCTGCAAGAAGGAAAAGAAAGGGATACTTCACGTTCCCCCTACTGTCCTCTACTTCGTCTTCCTCCTACATTAAGGCTAAATGAAGGCACTTGGAGAGACTTCATCGACGTCGGTAAAGGTTACTCTTCTAAACACCTACGTTACCGGCGTTTGCATTTATACCGAGAGCTGCGTCGAATTGTATTGGGTATTGTACCAAATGGCAGACTTCATATGTCGTTTCCGTACAATAATTATATATAAATTTAAGCCAAACTCCAGAAATCCCCACCCTGCGCCATCTGTTGACTTCAGTGCCAACTAAATTTTTTACCTTTATCCCGTTCAAATCACGAGTCGTGCCAAAATTTGGTGCAGTACCCTTAGCAAAAAAAAAAGTGTTATTCTAATTGACTGGCTTGAGGGGTATTTCATGGTCGTTTATAAACCCCCTTAAACTTTTAGTTTTCTTGCTTTCTCTCTCTCTATTTTTTCGCTTCGTTTATTAACGCTGAAGAGGAAACTTGGCCGTGGAAATTTGCAGCCACCGCGGGCTGGACGGGTACCTTGGAAACGCTGCCTCTCGGTAAAAGCTGGCGGAGCTTTTTGCTTTTGTGCATTTTCTGAAAAGAAAGAACCCCTAGAGAAGTAGCCGCGCACTGGGCCCCTTTTTCCGTTTCCAGCGAGCTTAAAGCCGGCAAAGCACCTTCGGGTTAGGCCGCTCGCATCCGCTCTTTACCCGGATGCTGTGTTAATAAACGAGAACCTAGACATCTCGCCGATTTTAACGTAAGCTTGCGTTAAGTAGTACGTGGGATACATGGAGCCAGCAAGCCGAGCCATTTCCTAGATACTCTATCGAAAAGGAGCCAAAACAATGGAACTCACGTCTCATATACGTAAAATCCACCTACGGTTCTTCTCTCTACGTTAGATATACGTTCACAAGAAACTTGTACCTTAACGTTACGTTTTAACGTTACTTGGACGTATAGTGAACGGCTGTGAACTACTAGTTTACGCATATGCTACGTTTAAACGACGTTCATGGTGTGCGACTAATGTGAACATTTAGCGTTGGATATATCTTATGTCAATGTTGAATTTTCTGGGCATGGTGTTTTCAGCGGGGTCCATGCATTCCACGTCCAGGGTGAATACGCGGTAGCCGGGAAGGATACAGACCACAGTTTTTACCTCCTTGGTGGCGAGGTTGTGGATAATAGCGGCACCGCGTTCCTGGAGCTCGGTAGAGTCCGAAAGCAGCGAATGCACCGCCACCTTCGTCGTCACCCGGATGTTGCTGATGCTCTGATTACGATGCTGCCACTCTGAGATGTAGAGCAGCCATTCCGAGCTGCTCGGGTTCTCGAACATGTTCGTCAACTGTGAACAAGATGAATCGATCAAGCAAATGCCCCAGGGAGGAATTATCGAATGCCTTGAAATGGCTATTCGTGTAAAGACAAATCTCTTAGGATAAACCTATGAACGCTGTTAAACTCGATTTAACTGCACGGACTAGGAATCGCTACGATTTATCGTTACGTGTGCAGCCATCCTTACAGCTGGTCGAACAAAATCGGAAGAAAAAAAAGGATTAGGAATGCTCACGAATAGTGCCAGTGGGAGCTGTTCCTCGTGCGGATGCCGGTCTATGTCAAAGGCATAGTTCATGATGACGTGCTCCCGTCTGTCCTGGTGCAGCAGAAGGATCACGTCGTCCTTGAGGGCCGCCACCGCGAGGACGCTGAGAAGCTTCACCCTGACCGCCGTGTCCAGGGTATCGTCGTACAGAATTCGTCCTGGAGTTGGAAATTCAGTTAACACTAGGATCATTGGCAAGGACTTGACAAGGACAATTTTTTTGTTTAAATTCGAGGATAAATCAAGGCTTCATGAGAATAAGGGAACCAACCGACGAAGGCGAGGAAGTTGTCCCCGAGGGCCCAGGAACCCTCGTCCTCGAGGACGTACTGGCGCAGCTCGCCGAGACTCGTCCTCTCCTCGGCCGTTAGCTTCCCCTCCAGGAGTCCAGAGAGCGCGTCGAACTCCGTCTGCGCGTCGAGGAGGTCCCTGAAGACTATCGGAGGATCCCTCTGGCGCTTCCTCTCCTCTTGCTCGCGCCTTTCCTCGGCCTCCATCTGCAAGACCCTCTCCGAGGGCAGCAACTCCTCCCCCACGTCGCCGTTCGTCGACTGTGGCTCGGTCATGGCGCCTGCAATATATATATATTTTTTTTTTATTTAATAACGAGCTATCGAGGCATGTTAAGTACCGATTATTAAGGCGCGAAGAAAGGAAAGAAAAGTAGGGATTTTACTTTCGGTCTCGGCCATGTCGGCGCAGTTGCTGGGACCGGTGCTGTTGCTGTTGTTGCCGCTCTCGTCCCCGGGTCGGTCCTTTTCCTTCTTCTTCTTTTTCTTCTTCTTCTTCTTAAGCTCCTTGTTCGCTCGCTTCTCCCTGCTGTTGTTTCTCCTTTCCTCCAAGGCAACGGAGTTTAACCTTAGGAATATAAACCGAGTTCTGGTTATTTTAGATGGACCTTCCTTCTTAAATCGTCGTATAGAAAATGAAGCGCAACTATTGTACCGATGCACTTGGTAGTGTCTCACGCCAAGTACATATAAAAGCGCGCTGTAATTGTTGTAATTTTCTTAAGTCGCACCTCGCCTCCTCTATCTCGTCGTTGAGGAGCTGAAACTCCGGTGAAGCTTCTCTGTGGATCCTGGCTTCGACGAATCTGTTACCAACTGTGAATCCTGTGTTGGCTGAGTTACTCAAAGTGTCTATCAGAGGAAGTAACGCTTGTCCAACGGGCCTGAAAAATATTCCACGGTTAACTAAAATTAATATCTCATCTTGACGAGGTAAAGCGAGTACTGATCGCCAAAGAAAAATAAAAAAAATAAATAAATAAATGTCAAGTCAGACATATCGTTCGGTGTACCAAAGGGGACTGTAACCTCCAGTACTATTCCTTTTTGCAGAATATTGAATTTTTTCATACATTGAAAAATATTGAATTTTTTCATCGTGTCCTATTTTATATTATTAGATCTTGGGATTATTTTGGCGATCAGTGCACTTATTTTTTTTTTTTTAATTGTAACTTGAACCCACGTCTGAAGTATCTCTTCCGGCAAGTCGAGGATGTACTTCGGGATGCCCTTGCCCACCAGGAAGTTGGTCAGCTCCTCCGAGAAGCAGTTGCAGTTGTGCTTGAAGATGTTGTACGTCCCGGGCCTGAAGAACCGGATTATTGTTAAATTACTATTTTCAACTATTTCTTAATCGTCTTCTCTGCTAATTATAATTTTCATGGCGTTCGCGTACACGTAAACATGCAAGTGTGTACTTGGCGCAACAACTCTACCGAGTGTCCTGATCCCCGGAGAGGAGGATCGCCCTGTAGATGGGTTTCTTTTTAATAATCGCCCTTTCGTTTCGTTTCTTTTTTAGGGATTTGAAAGGTCAATAGCTCACGCGAACTTGGAGGTGCCCAGGCCGTTGATGTACTCGAAGAAGACGGAGTAGGGCAGGAAGGTCTCGCCGATCCTCTCGACCCTCTGCGGTTCCCGGAGCTCGGTGCCGCCCTGGAAGAGAAGAGAGATGAGCTCACACGGGGAATCGTCGGGCTCGGTTTCGGGGAAAGAAGAGGAGTCGATCCGGCTAAATTCGGAGCCTCGTCAGGAAGTAGGCGCGCGGATCGCCGACACCTCGCCGGGCTCTAAATTAAGAAGCCCCAGGACAGGGTTACCGGACCAGGGGACCTCGACGGGAATCCAAGACTGTTTTTATACCCGACTTGGTATCGACATACCTCGTGGACATAGCCGGAAATATTAAGGAATTCGTTAAGGTGACGTGAGACCTTCGATAATCCTAAAAAAAAAAAAGTAATTATCCCGAACAAGAACCAAAAAAATCGAATTTTTCTTCGAGAAATAAAATTTCGGGAGTTTCAAGACCTTCATTAGGATCTCCATAATCACCAGTTAAGGTTTCAGATTTTTCGGTGCACCCAGTTTGGAGAAAAGATTTTTTTTTTTTAATTTTTTCACCTTTGATATGTACAGAAATTTCGTATCACCTTAATGGTGATTAGATATCTTTTAATTAGACGCATCTAGGAACTTGAGTGCGTTATCCGTTTCACTATTTCCAGGAGAGAGCTTCGAGGAAGAGGTCGGTCACCAGGAGGCGAAGACGAAGAGACGCCACGAGGATGGAGGGACGGAAGAGAAGATCACCGGACACTTCACGCGGAGGGTCGAGGCAGGTTGCAGGTGCAGGTGCAGGTGATGGGCAACTTACCCGGAGGCTCTCGCGGGCTCGTCGCCTTGACCAGGAGACCACCAGGGTCCGCGAAAGAGGGAGAGAAGGAGAGCAGGAGTCGCGACCGGACTATGCTCGGACTATGCTCCGACTATTCTCGGACGGCCTCGGGCCAAATTTAGCCGTGACATGAAGAGAGTATCGGGTGGCCCCGGCCAGGACCTCTCTCCCTCTCCGACACCGTGGTCCACGTTAGACTGGACCTCCTCCGCGCGACCGCGACCCGCCGAGAAGGATTCCCACCACCGCCGACTTCCACCACCGACCTCCACCACCGACCTACACCTTCGACGAGGACAAGGCTCTTCTTCGGCGCGAAAATTCCGGGGAATATCAACGGTCTGATGTATGGATGTGTAATGTTGAAACGAGGATGAGGATGGAAGAACTAAGGCAATGGGAAAGTGGTATTAACCCCCTGAACACGGAGCCATTTCGACATATGGGCGATATTCGTCTGACCGTGCAGGCAATATTCGACCGAACGTCCGGCGCCTTTATGCGCTCTTAGTAGACAAAGAGTTAAAGAGTTCTCGTTCAGGAAACTGTACTCCAAAGTGGGTGTGCCGAATCGATTCAAACCTCGCAATATAAATACGGAGGGTGTAAGGAAGGTCCTGAAATTGTCCATGTTTTTAAAATTTGTTATATATATTAAAAAAAATGAAATTTCACCAGTTTCAGGACCTTCCTTTGTACCTTCTTGACTTACCGGCCTTACGCTCTGGATACCGGAAGGCCCGAAGAAGTACTCCCTTCCGTAGGCGACCACCGCCGTGTGCCATATCCCGTCCAGTTGTCGACCTGCAAGACGATTGAAAGATTATATCGACAATCAATCCTTATCAATGGGATGCATCGCGAAAAATTAAATCGACGCTGCGCGCGCAGCCGCCACGTGGCGGCGCCGTGCGGCGTCCCGGCGAAGTGCGAACGATGAACGCCGTCTTCAAACGCTTTTCACGATTTCATTGCTAGACCGAATTTCGCAAACCTCGCCAATATCGCAGGATTCGTGGCATATTGACAAAACGAGCGATACATTATTAATTAAAAGGAAAATTAATTAATTAAAAGGAACGTCACGCATTTCTATGTCGCGAGTCACCTGGAGACTAAAAAGTGTTTGCATTCTAAATCAAGCTTTTTATTGCAATTTTAAAATCCTCGCGACCTGGATCTGTTAAAGGATCATTTGTGGACTTCCGCGTCGCGCGTCACCTGGGAACTAAAAATAATTTCGACCCGAAATGAAGATTTTCGCTGCGGTTTCCAGGAGTCGCGAGTCGCGTCCCCGGAAAGCGGTCATTCCCTCGGCTCTGCTATTTCCGCCACGGAAACCGGGTCGCAGGGAATTCGTCTTGGAAGCCGGCGGTTTCCGCGAGATAGAAATAACGGGCCTGACCCGGTCCACGTGGTCGCCCATTTCTCCACGATGACATTAACGAGAACCGCGAGCCAGGATCCCTCGTTAGCCGTCTCGAGGGTGCACCCAGATCGATATCTGGGTTCCACCGGTCACAATTTCATATAATCGATCTTAATATAATCTTGAGCGAAACCATGGATGCAGAATATATGGACCTGGAGGCAGCAGGACGGAGAAGCTACCCTTACTCTTCCTTCTGCTGTTAGATAACCTCTTGCTATATCATGGCCATGTAAATTTATGTAAAGAGGTTCATAGATGCTTTCCAGTGAGTTTCATTAGTCAAGTTCTTCATGGCCAGACTATTTCATGGCGAGACTATTCCATTAGTCTGGTATTTCATAGCCAGGGGATTTAATTGGTCTGATATTTCATAGCCAGGGTATTTCATTGGTCTGATATTTCATAGCCAGGGTATTTCATTGGTCTGATATTTCATAGCCAGGGTATTTCATTGGCCGGACATTTCATAGCCAGGGTATTTCATTGTTTTTCAAAATCGAAACGCCTCTGAAAATTGAAGCTCCTCTGTTATCCGTCTACTTTCAATTCCGGCGTCTTCATAGTTCAGCGTGCGGGACCATATATCCCGCGTCCATGGCTAAAACCGGCCGAAGTTCTGGCAAGGCTCCCTCTAACCGGCTGTCATCGCCTATATTTAATTCCGATTAGTGCGCATCGTGATGCACTCTTTGTTTGCAGGTGATGCGATACCGCGTGCGTCAAGTCCACGTGGAGCCACCTTTTATCGGCGATCCATCGACCTCTTCGCAGATTAGTTAGTCGTTAAAATCGAGCGCCACCGAGAATCGCCACCTGAAATTCCCTTTCACAGACGTTAAGGTCCAAGAGGGTATTTACTAAGGAAATCACGTGGAAATTAGCCGAAATTTCCAAGCAGAAATCACGGAAATTAAAGCCGGTGCCAAAGTGGAGTCAGATGTCGCGTTTATGAAACATTTCTCCGGACTGGATGCACCGAATTCTTGGTCTAACTTTACAACCTGAATATGGAGGCTATAAGGAAGGTCCTGAGACTAATGAGAAAATTTCATTTCCTTTCTTATCATTTTGATAACATCAACATTAAGGTTTCAAACGATTTGGTTGACTGCCGGAGAAAAGTTTCATAAATGAGACCTCTTCGCGGCACTTTCGCACCCCCTTAAAATCGAGCGCTGAAATTCCTCCCTTTTTTTTTCTCCTTTTTGCAGAAATTAGGGTCTCTCACCTATGAGGAAGTGCGACATGCTGGCGGCCATCCCCTTCGTCAGGTCGTAGATGTACAGCTCCACCGTGGTGCCCGACTCGTCGGCGACGTCGTCCTCCATCTCGTCTACCTGGGGAGCGAATCGAGTTCTTAGGGTTACTCTCGACGATGATCTCTTATTATAATATTCTATATTAATTCGCGGGCTGCTTTATCGGGCGGTCTTTTGTGCGATCGGGGAAAAGGAGCTTCTAAAATTAATACCCGCGTGGAAGCCCGCCAGGAACTCGCGGTTTCCGCGTGCGTTCGAGGCGATCCCGAGGCCGAGGGTGCTCCTCGTCGTGGAGGTCACCGAATTAAAAGAATCCCCGGTTCATCGCCCTGGTAAGGCGAAAGTGTTAACTCCTTATCGGGATACTTAAGGTGATATGAAAGTGGCGTTGAACTTTTCTGTCGGATGTACCGCATACTTTGAAACCTTAAGGTGATATGAAAGGGTCATGCTATACATATAACAAGTAAAATGTATTTATAAAACTTTTCCCCACCCTGGGTGCACCGAATCATTTGAAACTTCGCCACGGGATTACGAAGGCCCTAAGGAAGAACGCGATGCTCGTGAAATTTAATTTCTCACAAATAAATGTGATTTTGCTTCTAGTCCAAATTAAATAGGTTGTGAAATGAAATCCATAATCAGGTGTTAAAGTTTCAAATGATTCGGCGCACCCAGTTTGGCGAAAAGTTTGATATTTTGACGTTTTGATATATAAAATGAGCCTTTTAGATCTTAATACTATTTTGTGGTTCACGTAGGAGGTCGAGGAGGAGGCCGAGGAAGAGGTCACGTACCTCTTCGAAGTCGCGCTCGGTCCTTCTCGAGCTCCGAACAGGTGGACGCGCCGGCCGAAGCAGAGATCGCGAGAGGATGCCCTCCTGGATATAGATAGTCGGCCGGCAGCGCCGCGAGAGAGCTAGGTGGCCACTGGCGATTAAATGCACCGGCAACGAGAAATTCTCACGCGGCCGACCGAGAGAGGGAGAAAGACGCCCGAGCGCGCTCTTGGCACGCGACGACCGGGACCTCCGAGGAGAGAATCGGCTTCCTTCTGCACGCTCACCTATGAATAGCTCCTCGCGACCGAGAATCCGCCGAGACCGCTGGAGAGAGTCGCTTCTAAAATAACGCCGACGCGCTCTGGGAAATGTCGCTGGCCGAGCCAAACGACCTGCGAGATGATATTCCAAATCTTAAGCCCCTTAGGGACGCGCCCGCCGTGCAGCGCTGCGCGCCCGGTTGCTCGCCCCCAGGCGCGCCCTTTATTTCGTTTCTTCCTCGTTTAAAGGGATGTGAAAGTGCATCTGAGGGGTCAAGGATACATCTCAATGATACATTTCGAAGTAACAAATTTCCTTTGGTTAGCGAAATTCCGGTAGGGAATTTTACGCGTTTCTTCGCCTCAACGTCGAAATTCAATATAGCCGACTCACGTTAACTGGGCATGACGGGCCGATTTTCAGAGAGTTATATCTTGCTCCCTGGCGCATGATTCATCGTAAATCTACTCATTGTCGCATTTTATGAACATTTACGTCCATTGCGCCTTGATTTCCACTAACAATTGTTATTTGGTTCGCGGAATACCCGTTGGGAATTTCACGCGGTTTCCTCGCCACCGTCGTCAAAATCCAACATGGTCGCCGCCTCTACAAGGCCCTTGATCAAAACATCCGAAGAGGTTCCTGCTAATCCCGAGAGAGGCATCGCGCTATCGCCGCACGTCACGCGTAATCAGTGCGTAACGAAAACAGGCGCGAGGGATCGAAACTGACATTCCGGACGATAGAGCGAGAAGGAAGAGGAACGCATTAGAAGCAGCTCTGAAAACTCTGAAAAAGGCGGTTAAAGACAAGTCACTGGCCCGAGGGAGCGAGAGAGACGGAAGGCAGTGACCGAGACGCGGGGTGGGTGCGGGGAACAGGGAGAACGAGGGTCGCGCGAGAGCGAGAGAGACGGAATGAAGGTCCCGTGAGTGCTAAGGAGAGAGAACGACTACGCCAGGAAGAAACGAAGCGAGGGTCGCGTGAGCGCGAGAGAGACGACACCAAGGCGGCCAACGGTGGAGCGAGAGAGACAGCGCGAGGGGTCGGCGAGCCGCAGAGCGAGACGCCCCGCCAGTTCGACTCGTTTAGTCGCTCACCGACGAGTCGCGGGATCGTGGAGGGTTCGCGATTTCGAGGTTAGGTCGTGCCAGGGTTTGGCGAGCGCACAGGGACCGCAGAGTCAGGACTTACCGAAGGCCGAGCGGTTTGGAGGTTAGAACGCACCAGGGTGCCCGTAGAGAGCGAGACGCGCCGAATGCCGAGGTTGACTCGACAGTTTTGAGGGAGACTCCCAGAGCCCCCTGCAGAGGGGAAGTGAGGTTAGGGCCGGCTGGACGGCTAGGGAATTTGGTGCGAAGAGGTTAGTCGCAGACACGGCCAGGACGGCAGCCACGAACAGCTGATCGAGGGCCGATGCTCCACGGAGGACCGGCGAAATGTCAAACTCGAGGCAAATCGTAAGTTCGGAGCCCGAGGGGCGTCCTCGAGAGTTAGGTTAAGAGCGAATGCACCGGTGAAACCGATTGCGGGGATTCGAGGAGGTTCATTCGGTCGAGAAATATCTGGGAAGCGGAGGGTGCTCGTGCCGATAATGGTCGTCGACGCCGCGTGGATTTATTCCCCGGAATGAGGGGGCTACTCCGTTCTTCGAGATCTATTCGATGAGAATTTTCCTCAGTGTTTTGTTAATTTTACTCCTTATTTTTATTGTTTTGAGAGCAGACTCCAAGACAAGAAAAATATGGATGTGTTTCTGTTGTCGTAGAACTTTGCACCTTGTTTCACAACGATTCGGTGGTAGAAGACGAGCTGGGGTTTTAGGGGATATTTATTTTTATTTACCTTGCAAACCTGCGATATTGAAGAATTTGGATATGGGGTAAAAGCCTCTTTTTTGTTTATTTGCAGACCCTTAGGGTACAATCTTCCGAAGGAACCAAGCGTGTCGAGGTAAACCCTTGGGACTCGGTTTTGCAGCTCTATGTGAAGGTAATTGTTTAGAGAGTCCATGGAGGCTTTTCTTAGATTGTGGATATTAATTCCTGGATTTTTATTGTAGATTGATGAAACCTTTGGCTTCAACAGCTTCGGCTTCACCCTTTACAAGCAACGAAATCACAAGGATGAGATTATATCCTCCCGTAGCAGAACCGTGGCGAGTGTGGGACTGTCTCATGGAGATATGGTATATCTGGCTCCAATTAACGGAGCGATGCTATGGGATGGTCCGTCTACTAGCGATGCTGCACCTGCGGGAAATGCTACGTCAGGTAGTTTTTTTGCTCTTAAGCGCTGGAAATGCGAAATTCAATGCTTTAATTCTTGTAAGTAACATCACTGTTGTTCTAACCTAAAAGAAGAAACGGCCTTCATCGAAGTATTGCAGAGTCCAGGTCGGAACTCTCAGGGTCCACCTGCTTGCGCTCGGTCTCTCTCCACGGTTGTCGAGGACAAAGTGGATCAACAACTCTGGAAGCTCAATGGAAAGATACAGAGAAAACGCGACGAGAAATTGTAAGCAAGGCTTGACACAGCAAATAGTGCCAACTGTTAGAATCCATTGTCATGAGTATTATTCTTGGTAGTTGTCGACATGGCGTGAACGCTTGCTGTGTCCATTGTTCGCCGTTGGAGCCTTTTGACGAAGCCTATCTTAAGGAACAGAACATCAAGCATATGTCATTTCACTCTTATCTCAGGAAACTCACTGCTGGCGTGGACAGGTTAGTTCATTGAACCATTGGGTTATGTTTTACACGAAATGTAGAATACTCTTTAGGCCTTTAATATATATCGACGAACTAGCTTTGATGTAAAGATTCCTTGCAGAGGAAAGTTCCTACAATTAGAGGACATAAGGTGCCGCATAAAGGTTGGCTGCAAGGATCATCCTCCGTGGCCTCGTGGATTCTGCAGTAAATGTCAGCCAGCTGCTATAACTTTGAACAGTCAGCCTTATAGGCATGTTGACAATGTCGTTTTCGAAAATGCCAGCCTGGTAGAACGTTTTCTTAATTACTGGCGCAGCACTGGCCATCAACGTATCGGCTATCTCTATGGTCGATACGAGATCCACTCGGACGTTCCTTTGGGAATTAGAGCAGTAGTTGCTGTCATATATGAGCCTCCTCAGGTGAGTCGAATACGTTGCATGGTTTCGATGACGGTGAAATAGGAAAAATATATCGACCGATGCCTTTCTTTCTTCAAGGAAAGTACTAGAGATTCCGTGTCCCTACTTCCGGACGAAAAGGAAGCCCTGGTCGACGACTTGGCCAGGTCCTTGAACCTCAGAAGAGTAGGCTGGATCTTTACGGACCTGATAGCCGATGACATTGTCAAGGGGACGGTAAGCATCCTGCCTTCTGACATAAAACTCAAAGTGACAGTTACCACTGCATGAACCTTTCTTTTCACTCTCCTGCTTTTTTTTTTTTTATGGAAGTTGTATATAAAGGAGGTTCATATAAGTCTGAAAAAAGATACTGGCGGCCATTTTGGGTCACGTGGTCAGATATTGAACTATTTGAGTGTATGCAGGAAAACTTTACTTTCAAACATTCGGGAACACTTTCAAGCCAGTACTTAAAAAATTCTCGTCGTTTAGAGGTTAACGAAATAGTCGATAACGATGACGAAGTATAAGTACTCGCAATTAAGTTAATTTTCCTTTTTCCAGGTGAAGCATGTGAGAAACATCGAGAGCCACTTCCTGACCGCCCAGGAGTGCATAATGGCTGGTCATTTCCAGAATCTTTATACAAACCCTTGCCGATTCTCGCCCACCGGTTACTTCGGCTCGAAATTCGTGACAGTTTGCGTAACTGGTAAGTTCAACGAAGAAATTTTAACTTCTAGTAGGGTCGTCAGCTCCTTTGTGGTCTTGACAATATTCTTCATGGTTTTACCTTACAGGTGACGATAAGAACCAGGTGCACATGGAGGGATATCAGGTGTCGAACCAGTGCATGGCGTTGGTACGCGACAAGTGTCTCGTGCCTACAAAGGATGCACCTGAGCTCGGCTACGTAATCGAGTCCACCGATAAGCAATATGTACCGGACGTCTACTATAAGGTTAGTACATCTTCAGTCTTCTCAATGATCGCGAGATGCATACGAAAAGAATGTACAATTGTTCAGCATCCCAACAAAGCTGCCCGGTGGGTCATCGTGAGGTGATCGCACCCAATACAAATGACAATTTGTACGTCAATCCACGTATATTCACTGGGAGGATTTTCAATAATTCGCAGCCAGGAATAATTTATGAAAGGAACGTCCTTAGGGATTGGGGAGTTAGAGAGTACAATAAGAAACGGGACAGAGTCGTTTCTCGGATTTATTTCCCTCTTTCTCACGTCATTATTTTGGTCGTCGTTGAGGCGATACCCAGAGTGCACGACTTCCCTCGTTCCTTCGAAGAGGAATCGAGGGAGCCAAGCCCTCGGCCTAGCCTCCTCGTCCACTCTCGAGAGGACCTTTACTCCACTCGGGCTGTTTTCTTATACGAGAGAAGAGATTAATCGCGAACACGCAGCCAGTCAACGTTTGTCGTTGTCTCGAGAGTCTCCTGACTCGACAAATTCACAAATATCTATATACGCCTCCATACATCTACACCACGTGCGCGTTTTCTCTCGCTCCGTTTTTTTCTCTTTTCTCTTCGTTGCGCGCATCTCGTTTACCAGCTAATTAACAAGTGTTAAAACTTTCAAGTTCAACATCGAATGAGGTCCTCGTTGAGAAAGGCAAGCTCACGACGATATGGAAGCGCGCGTCACGTGACCGAGAACCACGTGATAGGGCGTCACGTGACTCGTCAGACCGCCATCTTTAAATGCCCCGCGCTCGGAGGAACGTTCGTATGAACACGGAAATAAATAGTAAACAGGAACGCTCGTCAGTGTGGCCCGCTCTTGACAGTTACAAATTAATTTCGCCACTACCGCTGCACAATGCCCATTGTGAGTGACACTAAGCTTCCATTTTGGACGGTACAAGCGGTGCGCACGTATCGGTTAACCTGGGAGTGTTCTACCGCGAATTCTCGTTTCATCTTTCTCGCACAAGTGGTTAATTAACCTCATGCGACAGGGATGCAGATACATATCCAGATCCATATTTTTCTGGAATAAGCTTGCCCCCCGCGTACGCTTAAGAGTGCCGAACGTTCAAGTTTACTGTGTGTATTTCAGTGATAAGGAGGCTTTATCTCGGATCTCGCGGTCTCGTAAATCGCGACGCGGAAACGGGGCGCATACGTAAATCGCGCGCAGCTTTTTCACGGACGCTGCTTCTCTCCCTTTCTTTCGTTACGCGGAATGGTTCTCTCTCCTTCTTCTTCTTCTCCCGATTAAACCTAACGCGGTCCTCGTTTCCCCCGCTCGCCCGGAATTCTTCGCGGCGCTTTCCGCGAGACGAGGCGCGACGTCGCCCGGGATCGGGAAGGCCTCTTTTTTTTCTTTTCTTCTTATCATCGCTTAAAAACAAATCAAAAGTAAAGAAAGAACGCACAAGACTCCCTTGGGTTGATTTTCCAACCTTTATAACGGATATATCCGCGCCACTCCTTGGGAGGAATATATTCGGGGGTATAGGCGGTCACTCGCGTTTGAATTTCCCACCCGCGGTGGTGCGCGCGCAGCCACGCGGGAAATTCAAACGGCAGCTCGATTCGCGCGCTCTTTCTTTCCTTTTCTTGCGAATATATACATATACATATATATCCACTTATATGATATATGCATACCGGAAGTTGGCGGTCGTAGTTAGGCCTTGACGCGTCGCGCGTCGCGGTACTTGAGATCTAACTTAAATAGCGCGGAAAGGGATTAAAGAAAGAGACGTAAATGTGGACGTAGAATGTTACTTTGACCCGAGGGCGAAAAACCGAGATATTGAAAACGCCTGTACATGTATATTTGGCGCGACACTCTACCGAGCTTCTTAACATTTTCTTTTGCAATGCCCTCTCAAAAATATCGAAAGAATGATCGTATATTCTACGTCCGTGGGTATGTCTTACCCGTTGTTCTTTTTCTTTCCCCTCTTTCACCCCTTCTCCGGCTTTCGTTCGCACCCTCCCCTAAACGACCTATTCTACACGCATCCACTTTCTTATTGATAATATATTTATATATATTTATATATATTTATATACTCCTATATTTACGTTCGCACGCACATAACGGTTTCGGGTTTTCGTAATTCGAATTCGCGCGTCGGTTCTTCCTTCCCCTCGGGACCGCGAGAGGACGAGAACTGTTCCGGAAAATTTCGGAGACGGGAAGATGCCTAACCTAACCTAACCTAACCTCTTCCGGACACTCGGAACGTGCAGGCGTACCCGTAGCGACGTTCGCTCACGTATTACAAGCTCCATGATTTCCTTTAAAAATTTTTTGGACCCTCGTGATCGCGCGTCTCCCCACACCTCGGACATGTGTATTTGGCTCGAGACTCTGCAGAGTTTCTTTACAAGATGGCGGATCTAACTCGGGCCCGCGCGCTGAGTCAGCCATCTCGATATCGACGGATCCTGTGGACGTTCTTTCTTATCTCTACTATTTGGCAGGGTTGGGTAATCTCGCGCTTTTCTTCCCCCGAGGTTCTTTCGGAGTGTGTATTACGTAAACCACGAGTGGATTACCGTAAAAAAACGGTAAACTGTTTTCCAATATGGCGGATCTATTAAATACGGCGTCCGCTAGGTTGTAAACGTCCTTTAGCACGTGCGCGGCCATTTTAAATTTAGAACATTCTAATCTCGCGCATTGTAAAATTTCAATATATATATTTTTTTTTAAGGAATGATAGAGTATTTCGGCGCGTGTGCTCAAAATTATTTCATTTGACTTCAAATTTCCACCTGGATTTGTTATTTTCTCTTTAAGGATAGAAGGTGGTAACGTATTTCGCGCTCGCGAGAAAAATAAGGACGTGTATTACATGAAGTATTATAATCTACTCAACCCTGCCTTACGCATAATGGCTGACCGGATACCCACCGTAAACGTAATTTGCCCTCGGTCGATCATACATAATCATAGCGATCCAGAAGGAAAAGAAAAAAAAAATAACGATCACTCGAATCAACGGTTTCTCTCATATCATTTATCATTCTCTTTTTATTACTCCGTCCTCCGTACACGTGCGACGGAAGAGCCGGATATGCCCGATAACCTCAAATGCTCCCGGCTTCGCGTTCCCCCAAGAGAATCCGGGAACTCGTGAAAACTCTCCAAGGGAGACCCTCTCCGAGGGTTTGTTTCCCCTTGCGGAACGAACCGAGGCGCGAACTCCGCTCGATTAGAATCTCGCGCGCGCGCCGGCGTCACGTGACCCACCGGGTCACGTGGGGTGGCTCCCGCGCTCCGGGCGGGCGATTTGAATTCCGCGAGTCTCGCATATCTTATCCGCCTATGTTCCTAGGTAATACGTCGATAGCCAAAATAAACGTCGAACTTCTTTCTATCTCCCGTCTAACTCGGTATCTCCCTCTCCTTAAATCTACCGCTTCCCTCGGTGGGGGAGGAATAAATAAATAAATAGATACGAAGTTAGGGGGACCCTTCGATGCATATATACACAGATATACATATATCTTTATATATAATATGGAGGCTCGTTAATAGTAAAATATGGATCTCTCTTTTCGCCATATACATGCATATCACTATACACGTATACATACATATATTTATTTATTCCTCCCCTTATTTTTCTTTCTTCGTTCCCCCCCCCCCCTAAACTCTCGTCTACGTCCGCTCGTTCGCGTAAAACATTTTCGCGCGCGTCCCCCGCATTCTTTTTAAAAATAGACTCAACATCTTTCGGATAAACTATCGTTAATAGTCAATATATATTTAAGTCGCGACTCGAGGAGCGCGCCTGCGCACTGGAGGCTCGGGGGATATTCCCGGACTCGCTGCGCGTGCGCGGCGCGGTTCCGTAGTGCACTTCCCCCCTTTTCCCCTGGCCCGGGGGGCCCGGCGATGCGCGGCCGGGCCCTTCGGGGCCTTACACGATTAATCCTACGCGAGAGGCGGCCCTGTCGAGGCCGAGGGGTTCTCTCCCCTCCTGGGGTTGACCAATCTTTTTTCCTGGGGCTTCCAATGGCTCCCCAATTGGAGCCGCGACTGCAACTGCAGGTGCAGCGAGGATATCCGGAACCTTTTGTACTAAGGTACTTGTCACAGGCAACACGATCAAGACCGAGGGGATTCTCCTCTTGCTAATGGATTATTTTAGGGCTTTGCGTTCTCCAATTGGAGCGAAGACTGCAATTGCAGGTGCAACGGGTGCAGTGAGGATGGCGAGAGCCCCTCGATGGGTGAATCTAAGAGGCAACTGAATGAGGACCAAAGGGTTCTACCCTGATGAGGAATTTTTCCAAGGCTCCGAAAGGCCCTCTTCGGGGTCTCCAATTGGAGCGGAGGACTTAAAATGAATCGAGAACCTTCGGCGCCGGGGTATTCGCCTTCGTACGAAGAGAGGCAACAAGACCAAGGAGTTCTTCCCCGCTAAAAGATTTTCTACAGGATAGAAAGACACCCTCTTCAGGTTCTCCAACCGTACCGGGGAGACTATAAGCGAATCGAGAACCCCTCGTCGCCGCGATCGGGCCTCGCTTCCGTACGAAGAGAGGCAGCTAGGTCAAGACCAAGGGGCTCCGGTCGACGCCCCCCCAGCTCGAACGCCGCCCGAACAACGTGGAACGGAGCCCTAGGCGCCGCCCTAGGGCTCAGCGCTCTGCCGGCGACGGGGCGCGGCCACCCGGGGTGGCCGGGCACCGTCTCGGTTACAACTTGCCGCACTTGGCGATCAGCACGGTCTTGGTCGGCTTCCCGGTCTGATCGCCGAACGTGGAGATCTTCTCGACGAGCTCGAGTCCCTCGACGACGTGTCCGAAGATCCCGGTGAACCCTCTCATCTCCTGGAGAATGATCCGAAACTGCGAGCCGACCATGCCGAGGTTGTCGTGCCTCTTCTGGGTGCGCCTCATGCCTACGGCGCCCCTAACCGCCGGGAACTTGGTGTCGTCCGGCATGAAGAAACTGTCCTCGAAGATGCTCCTACCGCCCCTACCGTTGTTGAGCTCGAAGTCCCCGGTTATCACGGACTCGCCCTCCCAGCACTGGAACACGGTGCACCCCTTGTAACCGACCCCGACCTCGCCGGTCGCCAGGATCCCGAAGTTCTTGGCCATCTTCGGGGCGGCGTCGGGTCGCACCTCGATTACGATCCTGCCGTGAGGCGCCCCGTTCACTTCGACGTTGAAGAAGTAGAGAGGGTACGGGTTACCCGGGGCCCTGGGGGGCGAGTGGACCGCGACGAGGGGGCCTCCAGGTGTCGCGGGCCCCTCCCCGAGAAAGGGGACTTGCTGCTGCGAGGCAGGTGGCTGCGGCTGTGGCTGTTGCTGTTGCGGTGCCTGCTGCTGCTGCGGCTGCTGTTGCTGCTGCTGCGGTTGCGGGTGCAGCAGCGCAGCGGGCGGAGCCCCAGGCTTCACCGAGGGCGACCCGGGTGGGATCAACAGCTGCGGCTGTTGCTGTTGCTGCTGCTGCTGCACGTGATGCATCCCCGAGTGGTGGTACTCCATCGTGCCGTTCTGCAGCTGCGGATGCTGCTGCTGTTGCTGCTGGTGATGGTGCTGCTTGCTGATAACGTGCCTCGAGTAGAGTTGCGACATGCAGTAGTTCGCCAAGAAGAGGATCGGATTCTGGGAGGCCGCTACGTGGGGGGCGAGCCGGGGACTGCCCCCGGGACCCGGGACCTGGCCCACCAGGGCCTCCCCCGAGTGGATCCCTGCCAGGGCCTGCTTCAGGAGCCCGAAGTCGAAGACCACCCCCGAGTTCCCGATCAGGTCGTCCAGCTGGCACTGCAGCATCATCTCCTGGTACTTCGCCTGCAGCCGTTGCTTCTCGAGGAGGAGCTGCGCGTGCAGGGTGTAGATGTCGCACGGGCTTTCGATCATCTGCAGGCTGGCCTTCGCCTTACCCAGGGTCTCCCGCGCGTCCGTTATCTCCGGAAGGTGGCTCCACCCGTTCTGAAGGTCGGTCTCCACGTGGGTCTTCAGAGTCACGCAGGCCTCCAGCACCTTTATCAGGAACTCCCGCTGCTGCATCGCCAGCCTCTGGATCTCCGTCGAGAGCTTTCCCATCGCCACCAGCTCCAGCTGCACCTGGGGATCCGAGGGGTTAGATTAGGGTCGCCTCTGAAGGATAATCGTTAACTCCAGTGTCTGGGTATATCCGCGTGTGCTATTAAATGCGTTTGGCGCGAAACTCTACTGAGTTTCTTAATACTCGTACCTCGATGCATAGGTTTCTACATTAACTTAGAGATCTATTGTGAAGTCTTACGTCGGATATAAGCTGTTCTTTGGCATCTGCTTGAGACTTGATCTGGTGACCAGGGTGCTCCTGCGGCGTGGCACAGGCTCGACAGAGTGCTGCGCAGCAGGTACCGCACCAGAGGGCCAGGGGCATTCCATGCGTGTGACAGTTCTCACTCTGAAAGGGAAAAGATCGTAATATATTTGCAGATCTTAGCCGGAGGGAAAGCATGGTTTAAGGCGTGACCGACCTCGCGCGCGTTTAAGGTCGTTCCTGGGATTAAACCCCTCCGATACTGTTTTGCCACTTCTCGGAGGGCGCGAAGAGCGCAGCCGACCTTACAACATGATCCCATTACCGAGAAAACCTCTTCTGGTATGGCTTCACACTTGCAACGGACCTGTATCTCTCTCTTTCAGTAGACGTATGTCACCCGGTTAATCGTTACGCTCGAACAGTCTTAAGCAGCTAGCTTTGCAGCAGCATGTAAATTGCAACTCGAGTCCATGGAATGATGTTAATGTCTTCAATGAAAATGTCTATCATTTCTTGGAGAGATTCCCCAAGAAACTGGTACTCTAATTTATGGAGTGCTCTTTTATTACCTTGCTACGTTTTTTACTCAATGTTCACCTTGAGTATTAATCCTACTACCTCCGATAAGAGCATCTGGCCTTCCTACCTTTCTCTCCTTGTCGTTGGGCTTGCCGGAAGTATTGTTAGTCGTGATCTTCAGGTGGGAGAAATTGTTGGCCAGGGCCAAGAGCGGGGAGTGCGTAGGCAAGGCATCCGGGCCTTGGTCCCCTAGGTCGGTCCTTTTCCAACAGTGCGCGCAGAACAACTCGCGCCCCTTCAAAAGATTATTCTCGATGCAGCGCAGGCAGAAGTAGTGTTTGCAGCTTAGATACTTGGGGCACTGCTCCGCGTCGTTGTACTTCTGCTTGCAGTAGCTACACAGCGTCAGCTCCTCGAGATCCGTCAGCACGCTTGGATCCAGCATCTGGAAAGGACAATCTCGCTATACCAAAAACTCTCGATAGACGTATCTAAACCCTAACCTCCCAACAATAACCACGATTTAAAATCTGCCCTGATCCAATGGTCAGCCCGAGTGCTGGCAAGTTCGATCGAACGATCCATCAACCAGGGAACATTTTCGTTTCCCTTGAATCGTGCAAAGTCATCCGATACCTCGCAAGAGGCAGACCGATATGCATTACAGATGTAATACCTTGGCAATTCTAAAGTAATCGCGACGTTTTTTTTTTGTCCCGCCTCGTTAGTTCGTTCCTAACCTCAAATACCCCAGGTACGCTTTCCCGAATATTGTCAGAGGACTTATTGCCCTTAGTCCATTGACGAACTGTCCGCGCCACGTGACGATAACCTCCCTCGCGCTTTTCGTATTCGTATTTAGTATAAAGTTCCGGGGAAACGCCTCCTCGATGTGAACATATTCCCCTTATTTCGTACTTCGAGGTCCGCAGTTCGCGCCGGGTGTCCGCGCAGCTCCGGCATCCTCCGGCCGACCTCCGGGGGCTCCTAACCTCCAAGCGGGCGCGCTTAACCTGTTAGCCTTGACGCGTCGGGGACGTAATACACCTCCTAGCACGGTGGAAGACGAACGCGCGGATTCGCCTTTCCGCGGCCGACTATTATGCAACCCAGGGTGTCGCGCAGTGACACTCTCGACGCGCACGCGCCGCAGATCCCGCCAAAACGGAAAGCGAGCCTCCTGATTGGTCGGCGTGGCCGACGCCGCGCTCTGATTGGTCGATTCTCTAGCGCGCGATCTATCGATACTCCGTGGCCGGGAAATTCGTGACGCCGACCGGTCGCGCGCGCGCACCTTCGGAAAATCGCCGCCATACCCTCGAAACTAAACGAATTTTTCCCTCGTAATGGCCTTGAAGTGGAAATATTCTACATTAAATAGGGATTTTCGCCTTCTGGTAGAAGGAACTCCTTGGCAAATAGGCGATCGAGGATTCCAGAATCGAGAGAAATCGTGCCTATGGCAAAGCGCGGTCTAACCTCAAACCTCGCCGCGAGCGATTAAAGTTCCAGCCGAGTGAAAGTTTAATCGTCGCGGACATTCCAGAGAGCGCGAGACCATCGATATCTATCGATGTCGCCCTCGGTCGGCGTTCCCGCGCGCCGATAAGAGCGGTCCATTTTTCCGGGCTTTATCGGCGCGCCGCTGGTGGTCATAGACAGCCCCCGGCCATTATCGGGTTCTCGAAAGCAAGGTTTATGAATATAACGAAAATATCGATAGTTCCTTTCGGGAGGGTCGAATGTACGGTCTCGTCTCGATCTCTCGATCGAGGATGTGCGACTCGAAAGCGAGGGAGGTTAGGATGGCGCGCAACCCTTTGATCGGTTTCCCGCCGGCGGGGAACGTGGCGAGAGTCGTACCGTGTCTCTCTCGCTCGCCCTCGCTGGGGATCGGGTCGCTCCTTCTTCGTCCGACTCGACCTATCGGGGGCCACGTAGCGCGCCCTCGACGGCACCTTCGGCCGGGCTCGGAAGGGCTCGAGAGGGCTCGGTCGAGCTCGGCCGGACTCGCGGGGATTCGGCGGCCGGCCGGGGCAGGGGGCACGCGGCTCTGCGTGCCCGAGGTGAACGGCTCGTTCTCGCGGTCTCCCTCACATCCGTGTGGCTCTCCTACGGCCTCGCTCTTCCCCTCTCTCTCTCTCTCTTTCTCTCTCTCCGCCTCTCGCTACGTCGACCGCTAGGCCGCTCCGTGTTCCGCGTTCTCTCCGTCCTTCTCCCTCGTGGCTCGTATTTTCTTTTCCTCCTGTCTCTTTCCTCCGTGTTTTCTTTCTTTTTTGCCCTTGCCGTCCGATGGCTCTCGCGCCTTCCGTCCCGTCCGCGCCGCGCGCAATGGCCGCGGGAGGACTCCTCACGTCCGCCTGACGGGGATGTCCACGGCGGCGAGCTACCGCGACACCATCACGACACCCGGCGGCCCGCTCCCCGTCACTTCGGGGCGAACCTACGCGCCGCGTTCCGCCACATCATGATGTTTGGGCCTCACTAGACTAACCACTGGCATGGCGGCGAGCCACCGACCGACCGACACACGCGCGCACAAACACCGCGGCTCGTGTCGCTGTCCTTCTCTTTTCCACTTATGCTATATCCGACTTGCCCTCTCGCTTGCTCTCCCTCCGTCGAGCCTGCGCCTGGCCCCGCCACGTACGGTCGCCATCTTGGACGCCGCCATCTTACGGCCGCCATCTTGACCGCCACTTTCGAATAGTGGTTAACGACTCTCGGCGGGAATTTTAAACAGAAATTATTGAGCAAAGCACGGTTAATCGGCTTTGTGTCTTAAGATTAATAAGAGTGGCAACAGAAATTGGAGAAATAGAAAATCATCGCAAGCAAGAAAGGAATTAGTTTTGGAGTTTAGTTTAGGAGTTTTTTGCAAAGAGTGATCGGAACGTTTCTTGTTTTATTGCTTCAGGGAAATGACAGCTATGGGAACGAGGTGTCCAGACTGGCCAGGCCTCTCCCGGTTGAGTATCTGCTGGTCGACGTGCCAGCATCCACGCCGTTGACTCCGCAGTTCACATTCTACGTTAATAAGGATGTTACTCCGTTCCCCGTGGAGAACAGGTTGAGATTTTCAGAGCAGTTTTGCAAAATATAATTGGTGCTCGCATGTGGTAGACACACTGTGCAGGAATGTGGAATTTTTAGGCTGGTCGATGGCCAAGTGCAGGACTTCGATGCTCTCTGCACGTACATGCAGCAGTTCAGTCCGGATCAGTTCCTGGAGGCGATGTCGGACTTCCATCTTCTACTCTTCGTCGCCCTGATGGACATGCTGCCCATGAAGGTAACGTGTTTAATAAAATGGTCTTCATATTTCTTAAATTAATTCTTTGACCGTAAAGAGAGTTTAAAGATGTACAGGGAGAAGTGCTCTGGTATTCAAAAGAGCATCGGAAATCTGCTTCTCTACCACTGGCATGCTTTTTCCTGAGTACTCCACAGTCAAAGAATTACATTGGTTTTATTTCTACCAATCGACACTTTTGATGTCACAGGATCACATGGGTCCATTATTAGAAGCGATCCGTACCAACGACCGACAGAAAGCAATAGACTGGGCCCATTCGGAGCACTGGGCCACCGTCGAGCAGCTGATCTCTGCCACGACTGCGAGCTCTCCGTCGTCTTCAAGAGCTGCAGCATTCGGTGGGAATTCAGAGAAAGCTGGTTCCACTAGCAGTGGAGGAGCATCAGCTAGCAGTGGCGTCGGTGTCGGAGTAGGCACTGGAGCTGCTGATTCCGCTCCGAACCAGCCACTATGGATATGCCCTTACTGTACTTTCTTTAATTCAGCTGAGCTCACTACCTGCGAGATGTGTCGTCTGCCAAGGTAGCCGACAAACCTCCACGCTGTCAAACCAGTGACACTCACCGTTCGCTAATCACTCGTTTTGCTTCTACAGGATTTGATGCATGCCGTGTCCTTGCGGATGTGACGTTGTTTTTCTACACTTTGGCCTTATTTATGGATAAATAAAAGTGCGACAGAGAGACACTTCCATCTCAAGGGACGATCATTTGCTGGGAGACGTCTTAGAGCGCCTAGCTTTTTGTTTTGACGTTCGGTGCACTCGTAGCATCAGGGTTTGGGATCCTTCTTCCGATGGGTTGAGAATTCAAGTTGGGGTCGATGCATGATCTTGAATTGAGCATTTCTTTTCCGTTCATGTAATAGTATCGACACGATCGAGGGAATTATCGAGGACGTATTCTTTCATTTCTAGGATATGTTTTGATGTAGGATTTAATAATACTAATGTAGTCGAGTAATGTTGCAATCTGTATGGGCTGATCTAGTAGTTACTCCATGCAGTCTACCGATAGAGCAGTGGGTGTAAGAAAGACGTACGTTTGTCTTCTAGAATGCTGATATAAGGACTCGGTGAAGAAACCTGGAGAACGAGTCGACGACGCAGAGAATCCAAACGTTTATTCGCCACCGGTTGCCCCTACCCGCAGGGCATGTAATTCATCCGGATGATCTTGAAATTAGAATTTTTTCACACATACAAGTGATAACTGTGATACAGGAATCGAGAGAAAATAAGGGAAAATATGGTACGACGATTCGACACATTTAATAAATCTCCTGTTCGAAAGAAGTACAGAGCTTTCTTCGCCGAATTGTATTTATCATCGTGATGCTATTTATAAGACGAGAAATCCTTGGTGCTTATCCTGCTCACGATGGAATCCATGATATTGGAAACTTCCAGCTCGGAGTCGTCTAGTTTATACGTCTTTTTAATCAGTTGTATGTCCGTAAATGCGTTCAGCTTCGAGATAGGGAGCCTGCTTCCTTTTATTTCGTTTAAAATCTGCGCCAGCTCAGGATTCTCTGAGCCATCATGGATCGTCGCTACAATAACATTAGTTTCCTTATCGTCGATGCCGAACTTTTGTAAAGACTGACTAATGTTCTTTGACGGTGAGAGGTTGAATAGGATTTCAGTGTATAATGTCTTTGTTGTCAATCCTGTTAATTTTTCTGCCACTGCAGCCTTATTTGCTGCTACTGCTACTTGAAAAGGATCAGCTATGAGCGCGGCTTTCAGAATGCAACACGGAAGCTCATTGGCATGTAACTTCTTTAATATTACAGGTGTGTTTTCTACGTCCTTGAATAAATGGAGTGTCATTGATTTGCCAGTTTCATCGTCTAATTTCATCGTCCAACAATCACTCTTCGAATCGGTCATGACCGCTTACAATGTAGTTCGTACAGACTAAATATTTCGGACTTTTATCTAATTGATATTATTGATTGAATCCAAAGTATAGAAAAGTGTAATGCTTATCTGTGAACCAATATTTCACTCTGTTATTAACTTAATTTACTCTCTTTGCGTTCATAAGAAATTTGTGAGACTTACCCAAAGTTAGGTTAGAAAGCCCAGTAGGAAAATGATTGCGATTGACAGCTCGATGATGAAATTCGAGTAGTTATAAGCAAAAATCAAAAGGTTCAAGTAAAAACGCAATTTACCACGTTTTGCTTTAATCGAACGTGTAATTAAACATTTAAAAAATATGTCTTAAAAGTTTTGTGCAAATCCGGAGAACTTTGACAGTTCAGTGCCTTGGTTAGGTTAGCAAACTCGTCCTTTGATGCGTAAGTAAATAATTTCAAGGATGTTTTTTTCGATAGTTTCTTTTCCGTGTCAATATCTCATTTACTTGCCTCTGTAACTGTTATTAAACATTTTTTTAAACTTATTTAAAAATAGCAAAATAAATATGTTAAACTGGAAGGTGTAGACGTGAATCGCCGTTACTCGCGGTTGCTCTATCAAATGAGAATTAATTTACTGTAAAGGTAGTTTAGTTATAATAAATAGTACATTTCCCTCTATTTATGTATAAAAGTCTTAAGTATTAATTTTAGGCGTGAAATATGTTCGTTGCTTTCGAGAAATTCAATCGAGTGGAGCGCATAACCTCAAATCAAGGAGAGGACTGATGGACTTGGAGATGCTCCAGTTGCGGCGTTAATTACAAGGAGGACTCACAGTTACACTAGATAAGTACAGTTTCTTGCAGGTGTGCGAAGATGAACGATCACCAGGGTCAGAGAATTATTGTACAGGAGTAAACGTTGCATTGGTCGTAAGTCCATCTTCTTTCGAGAGCAGTTACAAATGCTTTAAGCATTCTCTGTTTGTTACTGTAAATGTCTGGCTTTTCTGTTGCATGTTCCTCGTTCAACCTCTGGATGTATCGGTTCAGTTTCTCTGAGAAAGGAGATCTAATCCAGTTGGAAAAGAAAGCACCAACCTCACATGCTAATTTTTTGGGACAAGCGTGCAGATCCGGAGTGCTTCCTAAAGTTTCTTCGATATTCTCCAAGCCATCCATCATATGATCCCACATTACGTAGTTGGCATCACCATATCTGCTTTCTCTAGATTCTGATAGTGATCTATTAGACGATATGCCCAAGCCAAATATGTTATACTGTGATGCGAAATTGGACATTTTAGGTAAAACAAATCTCAGGATCAGTGGTAGTACGAGGAATAACTTCAGTCCTAGTTTGACGGCTGCCAAGAATTTGAAGATCATCACTGGTACCAATAACATCTTTAATATCAACAGGGGAACTATCAGATAGATGCTTTTCTTGAAGAGGATCTTGAATAGATGGGACAGCATCGATCCAATCTGAACGACGATATGGATTATGGCACCAGGTTTTTCGTCATCCATAATCGGTGTAGGTTTTAATGCATGCGCAGGACAGTGACAAGGTTGCACACCATGGAAATATTGAGATGGACTTCTCGCCTCGTACTGGGGACTCTCATTGCTCTGGAAGTTGATTTCTGTTTCGTATCGAGTGTTCGAGTGATCTGTAAGGCAAGATTTGATTTCGGTTCTCTTTCCAAAATACATGACTTTAAATAATTAATCATATTTTCAAAATAACCAGAGTTGACGTTGATGCCATCAGCTTACCTCTGTGATTATCGAGCACTTGTGGTGGTCCAAAATTGATCCATGAATGTTCATCTCGATTCTCGAAATCATTCCCAGTTGTATCGGACACCACATTATTATATCGAGGCTTTTGGAACTTCACCGCAGTATTTCCATCCGACTGGTAAACTGGTCTAGTGTTGTTCCACTGATTGTAAGGTTCTAACTAAAAACTCATCGCTTGTAAGCACACCGCAAGACTTCCACTTTCAGACTCATCGAACTTACCGGTTCCTTCTGAGCAAAGTAAGGTTCATCGGATGACACTCGTAGGGTCTTGGAGCTGCGAACCAGGAAAGCCATCGAATCTCCCAGGGAGTCATTAATCTTCAGGAGACTCCTCAACGTAGTCACATCCACTGCGCTGCCAGAGGAAAAGATCCCAACCAGTACGTAAACTACCACCGCAATCCACAGAGTTCTCATCGCAGGGAGAACAGGTGCACACAAAACTGCCTCCATGATGCGAAGGGTCAGTAAGTTAATACAACTCCATCCATGTATTAATTCACTGGATTTAACTTATCCGATAGCTTGCAATGCCTGTCGAGCTCGATTTGGCGAACTATCGAGCTGTCTCGTCGACCTGGTTCTCTTAAAAGAGTCTCTGGAGCTGATCCACCTGGAGTGGGAGACTAAATCGCCGTACAATCGTTTAACGGTTAATCATCGTCTTCCAGAAGAGCAGGGATCCTCCACGGTGTAATCACCCCGAGCCCTTGCAACTGACCCACTGACAAGTCGATGGTAGTAAATGGTCCCCATGGTCACGTGTTTTACGTTTCATGGTGCTCGCAAAGATGGCCAAATCACTGTCTGCCATCTCTGCGGGCTTTGTCTGGTTTCCTGCGATTTTTTTTTCCATTTTCTTTCCATTTTCTCTCGACCTCATCTCCAGCCGTCTCGTTCCCTTTTGTCTTTAAATCCCGTTAGACAATTCCCTGGAGGAAGAGGGACCTCCCATGACACCGCGTCCTCCCGTGGAAATCATTTCATCGTTCGATCCGCGAAACGGGATTAATTATTATACACTTAATTCCACGGTTCGTGATCTCTCCCATCTCGGGAGTTTTTCTGGTTCCGATGGAAGCCGATTCGGGGTAATGGGCTGGAGGTAAAAAAGTCGAGGAAAAAAGGTCAGAAAAGCGGAGCCATTAGGCCCGGATTTGTCGTTAAGTATCATGGAGTTCCGCTCGATCGGAGGAAGTGCTTTTTTTATGGCGTGTCTAAAGTCTCGTCCTTCTTTCCAGGACCACCCTCCCTGGAGACGTGTTGGGAACATGGACGTAAGATACATGGACCCCGAACACCTAATCACTCCTTTGACATGATTGGGACTGCAATAAAGATTAAAGGTGATATGAAAGGGTCGTCCTACATAAATGAAACGTAAAAATATTTATAAAACTTTTCTCCAACCAGGGTGCACCGAGTCATTTGAAACTTCAGCAAATGATTACGGAGGTTCTAATGAAGAACGCGATTCTCGTGAAATTTCATTTTTCCACAAATTTCTCTTTTTTATTTAACTTAGACTAGACTAGGACGACCCTTTCATATCATCTTAAGAGTCCTCCACAGAGGTGTCACACTCCGGTGACATCCGATCCACTGAGTGGATATCCGTCCCAGCACAGTCAGGAGGATCGGCAGAGATCTGGAGAAGAATCTGTACAGAATGGACGAAGAATATCCCTCTTTCGAGAGCACTGGACCGCGTGATTGCCGCTCGTCGAAGAGGTCTTCGCGTGCGAATCCGTGCTAGACAAAAAACCTCCGGATCCACATCCAGGAAAACGTCGACCGGCCTCAGCCAAACCATGACCATGGGAACGGGAGTCCTGGCCGAATCACCGTTTCAAGTTTTCGGTCTTAGGGCCCGGTTCCACGACTCCAGTTCGTTTATCAAATAACTCGAGTCTTGTTTCCTTACATATCGTTCTTTTCCCGTCTTTAGGCCGCTTGCACACGTACCGGCGTCGATTTTCCCGGTCGTGTGTAAGCGGCTTTAATTGCCATAATATTTCTTGTCGAGTGATCTCACGTGAAGTATCTAACATTTTCACCCTAGTGAAAGCGGCCAGACTCGCATGACTCGCTCACATTTCGCATTTTCATCGGATTCGAGTTGCAATATCGATCCCCCTGGAACTCGATTCTCGAGTTCGTGCGGATCTTCTCCCGTGAAATGTTTCGCACGCGTTGCGAAATCGCGCCATCGGTCAATGTTTGAAAATCGTATATGAAGCCGTCAATTACTCGTGTAAAGTTAATTGTACGAACTCGAGAATCGCGGAAAATCGATCAACAGCGACTTTAACGCCGTTCCGCAGTCTAAATATAGACATTAGCCATATCGAGTCTTATATTGCAATCCGCGGTACAATTAGGGAACATCTTTTGCCGGAGGAATTCGAAGGGTCGTTCCGCGCGACGTTCACGACCGTGAACGACTCGATTATTTTTCAATTTCTCCTCTGAAGGCGACGCCTCGAGTCAGAGGAGATAAGAAGTCCTCTTAACGAGGCGGTCGCGTCCCGACTCTGCGAAGGAACGGCCTTAAAAAGTCCCCTGATTGTACTCTCTGTCGTAATTATTATGTGCAATACGGGTCTCTCGAGTCGTTTGTTCTTCTCGTTCCAGATTTACGTCACCGACGAAGCGTTTCAACCGACACGGAGGAGATGCGTTCGGTTTCAACGAGCCGTTCCCACTTTGACGAGTGGGCCCTTCGTAATTTTAACGATTTATTTCTAAGGACATTACAGGGGTTACAATAGGAAACGCGGACTCTAATCGTCGTATCACAAGCAGGAGTTTAAGCAAGCCCTTCATAGTTATCACAAATTGCCGCGAGTTTAAACATCCTGAGAGATATTTATGAGGATTGTTCGATCCGAGACAGAAACCTGAGTTTATCTCCGGACGCGAGGTCGATAATCGACGTTCGAGAGGGTTCCGGCGGCCACTGACAGATGGCGACAGGCGCGGTAAGCCGCGAAATTCGAATCTTACAACTCGCAGCGCGACAGACTTTCCGTATTTCTTTTAACGATCTAGCAGCTTATCTTGAATTAATTTCCCCGCCTCGATATCATAATTCAAGATAACCTACTCACGGTTACTAGGGCCGTAATAAATTGAATAAATGGAAAAGCTATGTCAATTCCTCCTTAAATCCATGGCGAGAAGAGAGTAGGAGTGCCAGCTCGTAAGGAAAGGCCCAGGAAACGTCAACGAATGAGTAATTTATTTCGCAGGCTGCCTTAGGTGGACTCTCCCTTAGGTCGTGTACTCGGTGAAGTCGTCCAGGTCCTGTTTATTCGAGCGAGGCGACAGCTCGTCGGACGGCCCGTCCGAATTGTTGTTGACGGAGTCCTGGAGGACCTTGCTACGCAGTCGTTTAATATGCCGAAGACGTTCGAGCCAGTTCGAGGCGTAAGGATTGTGCGCCTTTTGCTCCAACGACGAAGAGACCATCGAGGCGAGCTGAGGAGAACGCATTAACGTAGATAAATAATTACTTACTTTATAATCACTCTAGTAAATAAAATACGAGTCAATTTCATTTACGTTAGCGTGGAGGGCGAGCTGGCGAGCAAGGATGGCGAGATTCTGGTCGGAGATGATCTTCGGCTCGCTGTGGCCGATGTGCTTGGCCAGCTCCTCCTTCGCCTGGACGATCACCTGGTTGGTTCCGTGGTCCAGAGGCTGGATGACGACGCAGGCGTAGTTAAACTGACCCTGAAGAGACGATTCGATGGTACATATGAAGAATGGCCCTTTCATGTCGCCTTAATGCGTGCACGAGAAAGAACAGATTTGGCTCCACCTTAACGGTCTGAATATTGTACGGCTCGCCGCTCTCGTTGTAGACGATGTGCACGTAGTTGTTGCCGATGTGGAGCTTCTTCCCGGTGCACTGAGGGTCGCTCTCCTTGGTCGGCATCAGGGTGGCCACGTGGAAGATGACCTGTAGAGAAATTCCTTCAGATGGACCATACACCAGAAGGTGGAGATCGCCAAGGCGTGGACGAACCTGCATGACGTCGTCCTGCCAGATGTAGGCGAAGTTGCCGTTCTCCCCGTTGCGGTCCAGCCCGCCCAGGAAGACGCTCTGGGGGTCTACGTCCTTAAGCCTGATGAGGGTGCCCAGTCTCTGCAGGAACTCGGTGTACCTCAAGGAGCCGTGCTGATTCGACAGGATCTCGACCTCGTTCGAGGCCTGGCCAGGTCCTACGTAGATGACGCCGATCTTGTGGGTCTCGTAGGGCGGGATCTTGTCGAGGACCTTCACGGCTCTCTGGACCGCCGTCGTCTGCGTAACCAGGAGCGGCTTCTCCGTCGTCGTGTCGAAATGTGCAGTATGGTACAGCTGGAGGAACACGAAGCTGTAACGATTAAAAATGGTACCGGTAATTACGGTGCAGGACATATGAACCCCGTAAACCAGGGTCAATGAAAAAAAAACCAGCGACTCCGTCGTCGTGTCCAAGCGGGCAGTTGGGTACGACCCCAGGAACGCAAAGCTGCAACGAGGGAATGCACCGGTCTCTATTTAAATTTTTTTTATAGAGTACTGGACTTAACGATGCCCACCTGGGGTTAATGCCGGTCCGGGGGAGGTCCTTGACTCGAGGCGAAGTTCCACGACGTATGTTGTCCCATTCGCTGCGAGACTTCTTCACGGGGCTCATTACGGAAATCGTGTGGCCGCGGTCCCTGAAGAGGAGCGGAGGTAGACTGGCAGGGTCCGGCTTCTCGTCCTTCTGTTAAGGTTATTAAAAGCGAATGAAATAAAAAATAGGGCTTTCAGCCATGTTAACGTCACGTATAAAAGACGTCTTTCAGTGCTAAAGGTGAGAGGACTGAAAGTATACGAGGGAAATCGATGATATACTTGAAGCGTCTTCTCGGCGAGGAGGTTCCTGCCAATAGGCGGTTTGCTTTCGACATTGGAGGTCTGCTTCTGGGAGGGATCCCCTGTGGAGAGCCGGGAGTAGATCTGCGTTGGAGACTGAGGAGGCTTGGCTGCGGTTTGGCTGGAGACGCCTCGATTTTGCACCCCCAGGAAGCTCCCAGGAGCCTGGAGGAACGTTCAGTCAAGTGAGACAGGTCAATGGGAACCTTGCCGAGGGGTTTAGGATTCTACTTTCTTACGTGAGCAGCGGTGGGCGAGGCTGGTACCGTGTTACTGGTGCCGGTGCTCGAGGTTTGAGTGGTTTGACTGGCGCCAGGATAAGATCTTTGAGAGCGGAGGGCTCCAGGATGTTCCCCGGGATGCTCGGACGACGGCGGCGTGGTCCCCATGCCGGATATCTCCTCGGGAATGGCCTCGCAGCTGACCCTGAAGAGGAGGATTTCGAGCGAATTAGATCTTCCGTAAGATTGACCGAAAACTGGATTTCAAGGTCTTAGGCCTCGAATTAAGAGATACAATTAGAAAATCTCAGATCCTGGTACCTCATGTCCTTGGAGTAGGCAGTCTTCGCGTGCTTCTTCAGGTCCGCGTCCAGCTTGCCCTCGGACTCGCTCGGGAGAGGTTCCTGGTCTACCTGGAGGTTCAGCTTCTCCTTGTTGAGGAAGGGGTTCTTCCAGTTGGCGCTCATTTCGGGGCTGGAGTTGGATCTCCTCACGGGGTTCCTGGAGCGCCTGGAGTCTGCAGGGAAATCTAATCCCACCGACGAATGAGTTCCCCACCGAGGAAAGAAGAAACTCTTGACTCAACTTTTACCTTCCTCTCCCTCTTCCAGGCTCTCCAGACTGTCCCTCGAGTTCTGCCTAGAAGGACTGGGTCTGGCCGGAGACCCGGGGATGGCGATGGGCCCTGAAGACACCGACGAAGAGGTCCCCGACTTCGTCGAGTAGGTCGGCTGCTCCGTCTGGGAGTGCTCCGGGTTCGTCTCGGGCACGTCCTGGAAGGACACTCGACATTTAGTCATCGCCTGTTAACACATTTGATACCGGTAACCTCGTCTTACGTAATTTCGTATTTTTTAGCCGAATACAGGAAATGAAATCCCATGTCATTTAAAAGAGGAACGTCAAGAGGTCTAGAAGAAAAAAAAAAAAGGAAATTCGAAAGACGATTACCAGCTCCGTGTCGTCTCCGGAGAACTCGGAGGGTCCTTCCTGGCTCCTGTTGGGCGAAGAATAAGGAGCTGGCATGTAGAGCGCGGTGATGTCGTGAACCGGGAAGTCCTGGGGCGTCTCGAACTGCATCGAGTTCTGGATCCTCATGATCCAGGACATGTCCCCGGTGGGTCTCCTGACGTAGATCTCGGCCCAGCCCTGGCACCAGCAGGCACAGGGCTCGTGCTCCTCCTGCTTTTCGCTGCCCAGGATCTGCTCCAGCTTCGAGGGCTCCGCCGGAGGGTCCTTGTCGCCCTTGTCCTGGGGATAATCCCGCCTAAGGACGTCGGCGTCCTCAGGAACTCGCTTAGCCTCCTCGGTAGGGGAATTCGCCGCCGTGTTCGCCGTCGACGACTGCCTGGACAGCTTGCTCTCCTCCTTGGGTCCCTATCGATTAAATCGCAAGTTTACATTCACTACAGTTTACATTCTCTACCGGAAGAGGAAAAACGAGGAGGAATTTAGCACCTCCGCGCTCGAGGTCCTCCTCAGGTTCGGCTGAGAAGGTTTGAGGTGTTCCGGGGACGGAGGTCCAGCTTTACAAGCGGACCAACAGTTGTCGCAGAGTCCGCTGCGCATAGCCTTGTTGCTGCATCCGCTGGTCGTGACGGTGATGAGCCTGTTCCCCAGGAGCCAGGTCATGGATTGGCCCTCCTTCAGGAGGAAGTCCGCGGCCGGGAGTCTCCTGGGCAGGGCCGAGTACGTGCAGAAGGTGTACCGTGCCATGAGATCGATGCACGTCTCCGTCAGCTCGATGTGGAAGTTCATCAGGGCCTCGTCCATCCTCGGCTTCAGGTCCAGAGGCCTGCCCTCGCCGATCATCCGGTTCGTCATCATCTGCCTGTCCCTGCGACCCCTGCTACCCTGAGGAGCACCATCAGACTATTTCTCGATTCTCCCCTGACTAGGATCAACCAAGAGCCTGACATCAAAGGTTCCTCGCACCTGCTCGGTCAAGCTGGAGCTCCGCTTCCTGCTGGACGAGTCCTCGTTAACGATGCCGAAGTCCTGCTTCATCAGGTAGCCCTCCTTGAAGGGCACGATCACGTTTGCCTTCAGTCCCTGTTGCGAAAATCGGAGCACTGGAGGTTAAGGGACGTTTCAATACCTTTTTTATACGGAGGATGGATCGCTTACGTGGGTGATGAAGCGGACGAAGTTCCTGCGGAAGGGTAGCCGGCACTTCAGGAACCAGACTGCGATAACGTGGTGGGCCAACGAGACCGTGTAATGATTGTACTTGTAGGGGTTGGTGTAAGGCAGCAGGATAGCGAAGACCGACATGTACTGGTCGCCGATGAAGCTCGCAAAGACCTTCGGCAGCCTCGTCAGCGCTGGAAAAAGGATCCAGAGTAAGAAACAAGAAAAGTTTATCGAAATTGTTTAAAAATTTCTTATAAGGTAAAGCGAGGCATAATACGCAATTTTCGCCACGCTCGACAGGCAGATCAATTCGGACTTTGAAGGGCGGATGAAAAAAAGAACTTATCCACGCAATCGTGATGCAACTCGACATCTCGACCTACTGGAGAGGAACTCGAGGATCGGGATGGCGAGATGAACCGTGGCGGAGATCTTCGACAGGTTCAACAGGACCTCGGAGAGGAGCTTGTTCATGGCGTCGCGCATCTCCAGGGTGCAGGTCGTGAGGCTGGTGACGCACTGGCTGGCGCACCTGGCCGTGAGGCCGACCTCCAGGCACTTGATAAGCCTCTGTTGCAGATTCGGCTCCAGGTGGGCGTGATAAGAGGCCAGGGAGGCCAGCACGGGGAACACGTGGACCCGGAACTCCGAGGGCGTGAACTTTGGAGGGACGTTGTACAGCGACTCGGGCAACCTGAGGGACTTGTCGCTCACCTGGAGAGGAAGAACTCATGGAGATGGACGCAACGTTCAATTTTCGAATTCGCAAGCCACCAACCATGGAACAAAGCGCCGAGGCGAGGAGGTCGACGTCGTTGCTGTGTCTCGAGAGGATGAGCGCTCGGTTCTGCATGACCTGGGGCATCTCCTTCAGGATCAGGCTGAGCACCTTCCAGTCCTTTTCCTGCTTGATGCAGGTGATGACGGCCTTGCAGGCGTGCGCCAGGGACATGTGAGTCACCTGGCAGGAGACGTGCTGCAAGGGTGCGGGGCTAGCAGGGGGTGGACTGCTGCCTCCACCTCCGCCACCTCCGAGCCTCTCCGAGGGCCCGTGGTCCAGGACCAGGTACGGACTGAATCTCGTCACCGAGCTCATCCCAGCGTCCGGGAACCCGATGTGATAAAGGGCGTTGGCTCTTATCTTCAGGAAGCACTCGAAGATCTGGCAAGAGATTAGTCAGGTTCTTGTGAAAATATTGAAACAAAATATTGAATATGAAAACCATTACCAGGTGTCTGATGGTCGAGACGTCGTGCAGGATCGAGGGGTCCTTGTAGTGCTGCTCCAGGTGGTTGACGAGCACCTTGTACGCGCGAATAGCATGACTCGAGGGCAGTCGGTACATCTTCGTGGTCAGAATATTAATCGTCCCCACAACGGCCGTCTTCACGTCCTTGATGTCGCTGTCCACTGATATCGCGGTGTCCGAGGCGAAGGGTTTGTTCACCATCTAAATAAAGAATCCTTGACAATCAATCCTTACAAATTAAAAATATCCATTCGATCGTTCCATCATTCCATTACTTAACAAACATAGCCCTTCCGTTGCAAACGAACGACCGAATAATTAAATCGATGGGTCGGTTCTTCGATGAGGATACCTTCTCCAGGATGTCCAGGAGTTCGAGGCACCTCTTCGTCTCGCATTCCAGACAAAGGTCTACCAGAAGATAAGCGGCTACGTTCCTGATAGTGATGTCGGGATCTGCGTCGACGTGCTGAAGATAAGGGACGACAATTCGCTCTATCAGCTCGTCCTCGTGTCTCGATCTACGAAGGAAGTTCAACGTAACGAATAATGGAACTGTTTTAATGATTATACACGCAAGATCGAATTATTCTTCAATTATTCTCGTAAAGAAAGGACACCTGTTTATCTGGATGACGTTTGTGAGGACGTCCAGAGCCTTAACGCGAACGTTCGTGCGAGTTTCGTTCTTGTAGTAACGTTCCATCAATGTTGCCAATTTGGACTGCCATTGGTGACGGGTGGGGCCAATCATTCCAGCTCTGTAGTCTATTAACTTCAGCACGGATGACTCTGGACGCGAGTCCGAACAGCGTTCTACCAGCTCGTAGAATCGCTGAACACATCCATTGTAGTGCTCCGAGTCGAGCAGAGACTCTATGCTATTGATCGTCTCATGGAGACTTATCGAGACTTGCTTCGTAGCTGGTTGATTGCTGGTTTCTGGCAGGAATAATTAATAGATTAATGACTAGCAGTGGCGTAAAGGGAGGGAGAAAGAGAAAAAGAAAAAAGGAAGGAATTTTCAAGAGTACCTGTATGAGCGATCACTTCGTCTATTATGTCAAGAATTATGCTCCAAGTAGGTTCCTGGAGTTCGACTCCGTACTTGTTCACTAGTCTCTGGATCGACAAGGTCACTTCGTACATCACTATCGGGTGATTGCACTGCAGCACCTGAGGAAAGGTTTGAAGTGACGAGGGTGACGGATTGTTCCATTTGGATTCATAATCTCGGAACTTATCCTTACGTGATAAAAGGATGGCAGAACGGAGGTCGGAGTGCACTCCAGCTTGGAGATCCTCTGCGAGCCCCAGAGGCCCATGTTGACGTAGAAAACCGCACCTCGCAGCAGGCCGGTGTCTCGTTGGAAATTGGAATCCTGGAGCAATCGACACATTGTATACAATGCCGAGTGGCCCATGTGGGTGCCGAGTAGATTTCTCATTATCTTCCAGCTTATCTGACAGTAAGTCTCGACGTTTACGCTCCTGCACAGTGCAATGATAAAGGTCTGCAAGGAGTCGGACTGAAGGTTACTGTAGCAAACTATTGCATCGAGGACTTCTAAACAACCGGACACCACGTCGGTACTATTGCTGAAGTAGCACAGATGGCAGATGTACTGTACAAGGCCAGAAATTACATCCTCATCAATGTATGCCGAATTGAATTTTATGACGTTAACCAGGAGCGACAAAAACTCGGCACCCCTTTTTCCATCGCCTCCCGTTACGATGGGCATCCAGTCCAGCAGGAAAGGACCTATTCTCTCTTCCAGGTGTTGAATGTCCTTGCCATTTTCCGTCAGACTTTGAAGCAGTTCCAATCGAGGGCCGATATCTTCAGGAATCTCGTGCTCCTTCACGACCATGAAGAACTTGACGCGCATGAGGGAAGACAGCTTTGTGTACTGGCCCTGGACGAGGCATCGGAGAAAATTAAGCGTGACATGCCTGTGTTCCTTCAGTACTTCTCTCCCCAATAGATCTTGGACCAGATTCCATAGCTTCTCTGCTGCCCTCTGCTCGATCAATTGGATAATTATTACCTCTTCATTCTTAATTCGTTCGAATCCTACTTAGAGGGTTCCCCTAGTCGATTTTCTTTCCGAATAATAAAAAAAAGTACTCTACGAAGAGAAAGATGTCACATGTGGCCCTGGAATAATTAAGGGGTCCCCTTGAGAATTTTTAAACCTGCTTACATCTTCCCATTGATGATTCAGGACGGCATCGCAGAGGTCTTTGATCGCCTTTGTGCGGTGATATACCGGGCTCTCGGAACTGATCTCCTTCTCAATGTCATGGGTCAACGTGAAGTCCTCCCGACTCTTATAGTTCCCTACGCAACATGTAAACTTGAGTCGATTCAAAATACACAATCGATCACACCAAGCGAGAAAAAAAAACTTTCAAAAGGAAAGCAGTGGCAACGTTGACTGACAGTGAGAAATTTGGCTAGGCATATATGTGCTTCGGTTATGGAAATACAATGCAAGATATAGAAATATGTTTCCTAAGAGGTTAAATATAAAACCGAGCAAGATTCTGTCGAGAAAAGTGACGAGGCAGTCGATACCGCTGGCGGAAAGGTTACCTTTGTTGATCCGAAAGAATTGTTTTAACTTGTCGTGCAGGGTCTTGTTGTCCTTGTCCTTCGAGCTCATTTTCGACATTTTATCCGAACCCGGGTGTGTATCGTGCCGGTTAATATATCGGTAAGAATATTGCTTTACACATCGTTGCAAGACCCGCGGTCGACATGTCAAATCTTGGAGCAACTGAGAGCACCGACACTGATAACTTCTTCTATCTTCAAATAACATTAATATAGAAAAGAGTGTCTAACCTCAAATTTTGTATCTAAGGATCTCCACATCACCTAGCGGCGTTCTACTGAAATTGTTCCACATTTCGTGTAGCCACTGATCTTTGCCTACAACAGGTAACATCTAAATTTGTTATACCAAGAGAATTCTCACTTTACGAGACTTTAACAGGAATGTTTAGATTAATTTTACATGAATTCATGCAAAGTTAGGCGATAGCAACTCGGCGATTCCGCGAAATATGAGGCATTTTGACTGCGTATGTTAGGTTAAGTTACTTTTAGAGTCCGAAGGGTATGGCTACTCTTTGTTATTCTCTGCTTTTGGGATTGTAGAAATAAAGATGGCGAAATGCTGACGAGTTTTTCTGTCGAGGACCTGTCAAAGTAGACCGAAATACGCGGTTTTGCGACCTGAATAGCCGATAAATGTGACTTGTCGTGGGTATACGGAGATGCCTGTTCTGCGCGTTTATGGTTTACAAGTGGGAATCATTTTTCTACTGCTGCAAGGTGACGAGCTATGACTGGCACTTTACACTCCTATCTATGTTCGATATACTTATATCACGTTATTATTTACGTCCATTCGTGCCTTTAGTTCCGGTGTGTATTGCCTCTTTAATAATGTTGGACGCAGTCTATCGTTTGGTTCTGGGCTTGTACTTTCATCAGAGTCCTTGTATTTTTGCATGGTGGATGTATACATTTGTAAACATTTCTTTTGAATAACACTTCATTGACCGTTCCAGTTGAAACCTCTCTTGGTAGCAACTATGTGACAATATCTCAAGATGGACCTGCAGTTCTCGGAGCTGCGATCACGCTTCGAGCCGACCTGTTTGATATGAGCGGCAATAGGCCTTCGGGAAAGTTCCAGTACTCGTGGACGGATCATGGATTCCACTCGTACACGGTAGTTGAGCTAATGCAATATTTTTCTCACCAATGACTCCGACAATGCTGAAAAATTGATATCCATTTTACTTTATTGCATGTTTTCCAATTACAGAGCGAATGGACGTCAAATACAACCACTTATTGGACCCTAGTGTATCCCGCAAAGAATTCTACAATTGGAATACATCATGTCGAAGTCACCGTCAGATCATCCTTTGTAATTACTTACGAGATTGCAAAGGGAATGAGCGATGTTCGCATAACCTGTAAGTATTTCGATTGTCTTATTATGCAATGTACTGCAGTGACATATTATCCAGCATTGCTAAATGTTAAGAAACAATTTAATTAAACCATGTTATCGCAAACTATTTTTTCAGCTATGCTCAATGGAAAAATAATGATATCCCAACCCAACAGGACCACCGAAAGTAGATACGTATCATCAACGAGTGAAGCCAAATCAATCGTTAGTTTGCACAAGGGTGATTACAATTACCTGATGACAAACGCGACATCTATCTCGACTTTCTGGTTTGTCGACTGCAAGTTTTACGGCCAATCGGAAAATTTCTCCTTTGGCTACAATTTTACAATTCCAAATACATCGCACACAATCGAAGCCTTGGTGATAGCATCTTTTGACCCACCACCACTGACAACTGTGGCCCCAGTGACGACGTCAACGACGACGATACCGACGTCGAGCTCGATGGCTCCACCAGTACCAATTAATTCTACAAAACTAAACACTACATCAACCCCTAACGAAACAACCCCTGCAACGAGAACGACTTCGACGACTGTGAAGCCAATGTCAAGTTCCACTCCGATGACAAACTCGATCCCAGAGATGGGGAACCTCTCGTTTCCCTATGTTTGCCTCAACTCTTCGATTATACCTCCAGACCCAAACAAGACATATGGGTACTTTGTTAGGAAAGTCGACGTCAGAGGTAGAATCGTTATTTGGTCTAGGATTAGTTAATATGTAAGTACACATTATTTAAACTTTGTTCTCCGATGCAGCCCCCATATCCAATATCACAGTCGAGGGCACAAACTGGGTTCAGCCCTGGGCCTTGTTGTCACTGAACGTAAGCTGCGGAGGCACCGGACCCTTCAGCAAATGCTTACAATACCACCAAGGAGTATACAACGTTACTGGAAACGAGACGTGTTCCTTCATGGATAAACTACAGTCCTGTAACTTCTCCATCACCCATTACTTCTTGGAGCCGAGCGTGTACACCATTCTAGTCATCCTCAACAACGACATCGGCAAGCAAATCTATCCATTGACTATCAACATATACAAAGGTGGGTTTGATTATCAAGACAGTCTTTAATGATCTGTGGCTGTTACATAAAATAAGGTTAACCATGTATGCTTTAGTTACTACGAAACCCCAGCTTTCGGTGATAGTTGTACCGGTGACCTGTTCCTTGGTCGCTATGGTGTTGATCATCTTCGGAGTGGCCTACTACATCCAGAGCAGAGCCAGATTCACCATCGAAGTAGCGGACTTCGACTTCGGTCACAGTAATCCTGAGATGGAGTACAAAACCTTCACCGAGAGGCTGCGAGACTCCTTTAATAACGCTGTAAGCCACGGAAGCGAACGGATAAGCATACGTCCGCCCTATTACGGCAGCATGAACCGTTGAAGGGCTCGGAGGCGCACAGAGACGTAGAATATCGCCGGTAAAAAGCCGTTTCCATGAGTTAACGCCATCAACCTCCTTAATCTATAAAAATTTCAAAGGAAAATCACGCTCGTCCCGAGAAGTGGAGTCGCTTCTGAAGAGATCGAAGGGTTATTTTGACAATACTCTAAAACTTTGTCCGCATTTTCAGAAATACAAGCCGCTCAACGCACCTGGATCGATGCAGTGACAGTGAATCGAGGACAGATGGCCAACATTTAGATGAATTCCAAAGAGAAGATGCACCGACAGAGTTTGAGTCTGTCAGGGTTCCAGCTACGAGATCGACCAGCAATTGCTCGACTCGAGTTGGAACTGTGAGAAAGAGAATAATTCCGGTGGCAAGAACACGTCCATTCCCTGCCGAATGATCGAATAAAATCATTCGGCAAGTAAGAACTTTAATCTGGATTTTCCTAGATGAAATGACGTACACAAATACACATACATATACACTGAATCATCGATTAACTTTAAAGAGGAGACTCTCAAGGGACTCATGAATCATGAAGTTACTAATAGACAGCTTAGCAATTTCGGGTTATGTAAGATGGTTTCTGTGGATCGAAACATTTCCATTGCCAGTGTAGAAAGATTTTTAGCTTGCAAAGCCAGAAATGTCATGATCACTGGGTCAGTGAGCTGCAGTATTCGTAGAGAGTAAGACTTTCGGGATAAAATTCTACCGATGCTCTGTCGAGTCCATCACGTTATCAATTGGATGCTTAATCAATCAACGAATGCACTTGTAATCCACATGATAAGCGACAGGTAATACCGAAATGTGTACATAGAGATGACTATGAAATAAACATTATAGGCTGTGAAGTTGTACCTAAACTTTCACACCAAGGATGAGATTACGTCGGGCTAATTGCCTGCTAATATTTTATCATATTTGCCTAACAAAGATATGCGAACCACGTCAATTGAATATTACATTGAACCCTCATCAATTAGTATCACATATCCTGTCAAGATTAGCGAAATCATGATTCAGGGATAAACTTCGAAAAGCCAATGGACTTTTGCACACCGGAAAGAATAAAAATGACTCTATGTAGCGAATCGATAAGATCAAAGCTTAGGGGAATACCAGTAATTTGCTTTACAGCATGTTTGGAATCGAACGTCAAGGCGGGAGTCTTGGAAATGCTGGCGCTGTGTTATTTTTCATTTCATAGATTCCAATGAACCGCTTATCATTGTGGTATCTTTTGAGGTGAAGATAACATCGTTCGACATCGGGGTTATCAAACTACAATTACTGCGTTCGTGCCGAATCAATGATATGAAATTCTACCAACGTGATATAAAGAACCGATTTTTCTTCCTGGGGATTTTTCCTTCCTTTCCACGTGCAAGATGAAAGATAAAAAACTGTCCAGTCTCTAAATGCAATCGCTACAAAGCCATTGCAAATTACGTTACTGTGCGAGTTATGGCTCGCCGAAACAATGTGACACAGCGTCTTAAAATGTTACATTGCGTCACGGTGACGTCGGAATGCGCTATAAGTGACAGAGAGCGATATTTCGACATTCTCGCGATAACGCGTTATCCGACAACGCAGTGTCGCCTCTCTTCTCGTCGACACCTTAAAAAATTTCACGCCCACGCAAGATCGCTTAAAAAAAAAACACAAGCGGTGCAATAGAGGCAACCTACGGCGAGCAGAAAATATCGGGGCAATAACAAGAGCCGTCACGTACGCGGTTGTCATCCTAACGTAAACAAGCGTGACGAACGACAAACGAAGCACCATTAGGTCATTACGAAATCCTGCGATTCAAGCGATTAACGCGAATTCACGGTCGGCGTAAGGTATCATCGTATCGGTGCCACACTTTTTCACACATTTTTATCAGTCCCGATCTGATACGGATTAACCTCTGCGAACGGCGACGCGAAACGCGCTCTTGCCGGGCGTGGCCGCCATCTTGACCGCCATTTTATCGGTTGCCATGGCGACGCGTCCAGCGTCTATCTAAGCGCGGGTTGTACGAAAATGACGATTTGCGTCACGTAAACGTTTCGAAGCACATAAAACTAATTGAAAATGTGACAGAATGTGGAGGACACAGGCAAGGCCGATGTGCGCGCAATTCGAATGATAAATAACAGGCAGAGGAACAGGAAATCGTCGCGTAGCGAGGTGTACTTCAAAGCGCGGCCGGATGCATTAATTTCCTTATGTCACGTCAAAACGTGACGACCGATTGTTTGGTCTGGTCTCTAAAAGCTCCGCTTAAATACATAAATTCATCCTCGCGACGAAGGGGCCGAGAAAATGCCTGATTCTCGCGAACGAGTGGGAACCCCCGAGTCGCAAGTTACGCGCTTCTTAGGTTAGACTTCCGCGGCGCTTTTTCGTCGTTTCAATAAGAAGCAAGCATTCGCTGAGTGGATATTAAATTTTATATTTCACTCGGCTCGATTTGCAAACGGACGGGTGCGAAGGTCGGTGTGAACGCGAATCGTGACGCGAATGCCGAGAGAAATTCTAGCCAGTGGCATGATCCGACATCGGACGTCGCGTTGACGTGCATTTAAACATTCTTCGAGGAACGGACACGAGGAAACATCGCTTCTTTACGGAGGATTGAGAGATATCATTCACTTTAGTTGGCGTTCACCCTGCTCTCTTTGTTTCCTATATCGCGTAGATCGCTCTAACGCCACTTACAATTAATAAAACTGGACTTCGTTTCAGTCCCGATTGTAAAAATCATTGCTTTACCAAGAAACCCGACAGCGTTTCGCGCCAAATACGTATTTCGCGTCTTTTTGTAAAGATGAAAGAAAAAATGGAAATTGTAGATTTAATGTAATAATCGTCCTCCATTCGTTTTGTGATGGTGACGATGTGCTTATACGTATTTGGCGCAGGTGTCTCAGTCTTGATAAAGGTGTTTTCGACGTGACAAGTGTATTTTGTTGGGAATACAGATTTTCCCGATCGTTCCCAGCCCTCTAAAGGAAGGCCTTCGACGACGCTACTTTCCGATAAACTCTCGGCGATAACGCCACCACTTAAACGTCGGTTTGTTACTGCATTCTACACGAGATTGCCGTTTGCATTCTTCGTGTCTCGTTTCGCGACAATTTACTTATCACCGGCCAATTTTACTCCCCTCCGACTCTCTTCGAGGATGTCCGTTTTTGACGAGCGACGAGATCATTGTCCTTGGACGATATTTACGCCGACGAGACCGTCGTTCGAAGGCTGAGACGAGGCGAGAATAGGAATACCGAATTACATTAGTTTTTATGGAAGTAAGCCTCCACCAAGACTCTTATTAGGACTTGGCCACCTTCGCGACGAGGGACAATCCTAGACGTAGGATTAATCGTAACATATGAACACCTTGTAAACGCTCTCCCCTAAAAATTAAGCCAATATGAAAGAATCATTCTATATATATTATATATTATTTCATGCGAATCTATTTATATGTGACAAAAATCCCCATGAAATCGAGAATAAGAGGTCAGATTACGTTTTTTCGACGAAACGTCCAGTGGAAAGTTTTGCGCTTCCTTATTACCGCTGCACTTTATCGATGATATCGTCTCTTCTGAGGTCACTCGAGGAGTCAGCCGATAGGAAGTGGAGTTCTTCACCGGCAGGCTCCCTGGAAGAAAAAGAAGAGAGTAAGAAAAGAAAGTAAACGCGTCGAACTTCCCTCGAATATTCGCCTCGTTATCGCGGGGGAATTTTCCACGTTCAAGGCGAACACGTGGAAGCGACCGCCGCGGAAAATCGTGCGGAATGGAATTTACTTGATGCGACTATTCCCGGGTCGAATTATGGTTAGGCATGTTATTAAGTACGTTATTAGTATCGTCATACGAAGTTAACGTCGATCTTCTTGCGAAATTCAGTCACGCTCGGAAGTAAATCCCAGATCTATGGACGCAGAATGCCAATAAGATGTGTAGCTATACACAGTTGATTTGACAAATATATTAAACAAATATAAAAGTTAGAAACTAAACATGAATCTCAGGACGCATATTCTACTATATTTGGGAAAGATAGTTGACTTGAATTTCTCATGAGAAGGAAGCAATAAAGGGGCGCTGTTACCTCGCTCTTATTCCTTTTACGTGAAATAGTTCCGCGACGCAATATAGCGATAGCTTAACAGTAAGAGAGAGAAAGGATGGCCCGTCTATTCGTTTTCTTTTTACCGTGATTCCAAGAAAATCAAGGAAATCGTTTACGGGCTGCATAAATCACGCCCGTGAGTGAATCCCTGGATCGTAGGGGGCTCGCTAGGCGGCGGATCGCGCGGCGCCGCTGATTGGTCGAGAGCTCCCGAGCCGCGCTCTGATTGGTCGAGAGCTTCCGAGCCGCGCGCTGATTGGTCAGTCGGTCCGCCCGACCGAGGCGCGGCTCCCCACCTTGCAACCCTCCGTGGAGTGCGCGGCGTATCTAGAGGGGAGACCTCCAGCCCACCGATTTAAAAGCACGCGGCAAATGCACGCGCCAAACATTGATTTAAGTGGTTTTCGCGATCCTTGTTACTCGGGCGGCAGAATTAAATTGCCGCGGGACTCTGTTAAGTTTAATCTATCGTTCGACTCTGGTGATCTCGAGGGGTGTCTCACGGGAATACCCCGCTCGCATTCCTAGCAAAGTTTACGGATTACTGCACACCTCGACGCGTGCTGTTCTTCACCTCGAGATCGGTAGGTGAGTAAAAAAAGCCCCCAACGTTTCTTGGGGACAAAACATCTAAAACTAATCTACCACCGTATCGAATCTAGTTTAAAATTTCATTTGCATTTAAATTCGCACACCAGCATTTATGCACTTTTCATGTAGAAATGTCTTGAGTGCCAGGACCTTCCCTAGGGCCTCCACGTGTACATGAAAAAATCTCAAACGATTCGGTGCATCCAGTTTGGAGAACAGTTGTATTAATATTTCCACCTTTCAATATCTAGAGGCGTTGATTATTACTCTAGTTGGGATATCAAACGGCGAATTAGAGGAGGAAATCCTTGGTCCTGATCTCGCCATAACCGCGGCCGAACTTTTAGCTGGCAACGATAAGATTTCTCCCGGCGAACGAGGAAGTGATCGCAAAGGGGGAAATTCGGTTCAAGTCGAGCGGAGAAGAGGCAAATACTGCGCTAGTTCGATCACGACTTCCCGATCGGCTCTATTGAACGACCGATCGACTCCTGCTTTCCCCGATCGACTCTGAAACAAGGAAAAGATTTAGCAAACTCGATAGAGTTTTCCGGAAAATACATTGAAAAGCATGTGCGAACGGCACCGGATATTCCCTACAAAAATTCGGCACTTTAACTAATCGGTAGAGTTTCGCACCAAATACGTAAATGCTAGCGCTTAAAGTGCGTAGCGCTATAAGCGCGGTATAATTAAGATATTTCACGTTAATCGCAGTTGTTGCAATCGGCTGCTGATTTCGTTTATCGTCGAGGAAATAAGCGGCGTCGCCTGAAGAGCGATCGCTCCTGATAACAGCCTCTCGAGATGATAAAGATTGCCCGGTGGAATCGTCCTCCTCGTCGCCCGGTTTACGTAACCTCCTGTCCGACCGCAGCCAGAAAAGCGGCAGAAAATATAAAAAAGAGGCGTTCTTCAGGAATGACATTGTAGCCGTGATAACGCAGTTAATCTGCAATTTATACCGCGGCTCGCGAGTGTGACTTTCCTCAAGAGCGAATACATTGAAATGTCTGAAAGCCAATTTCAGGATTTTGCTCTAACAAACTGTAAAATCGGTTAAAGGGAGGTTTACACGTGGAATTTTATTAACACTAGAATTACCGGCGGACTGATTTTATTTTTTTTCACCGTATACAACTAGTCATTTTGACTGGGCTTGGTAGTTCTAGTGTTAAATAAGAAACATTTATAGATTTCTAAATCTACTTTCACGTATCGCTAACGACGTGGGTACTAGTAAAGTAAGATTGCCTAAATTGGACCATTTATTTAAATACCATGTTTTCCATATTTAAGCCAATCGACTCCTGTCGAATTCACCGTGGAAAGTTGTAACTTGTACCGTTATTTACGAGTAATAAAAAAAAAATACAACGTAACGGGAGACTCAATGGAAATGGTGAACATCATAAAAAACGTAAACGTCGAGGAGAGTACATTTTGGAAAATATTTTCACCTTTTATGTATACAGAATGACCCTTTCATATAACCATTAAGGCGGTCCAAATTAGGCAACTTTCACCTATTAAATATAGTATGCAACTGTGCATATTTGGCGCGAGACTCTACCGAGTTACCTGAATCGTTCATCCATGGTCCATGGGAAGTACGCGAGGAAACCTTCCGGAATGTTGAACGATGAATTCATGGGAACGAGTCTCTCCCCTTTTATCTTGAAGTGCCTCCTGGAGTCATCTGGAGCGTCCCCTAGGACTCCAGGACGGCTCATCATCCGGGCTGGGAAAAACACCGGGGAATTCCTAGGATTCCAATGTTTTGGAGTAAATCAGCTGATCAAAGAGCCGCGCGTTTACTCACGTGCTCGCGTTATTTGGCCGTCCGTGACTCCAGGGTGTTGGGCGGCGCTCCCGGGTGGATTAAACATTCGGAAATATTCCGCTGATGACACAGTGCGGCCCATCATCTGTTTACGGAAACATGGGGTATAATTTAGATCTCACTTATCGCTCGTAAATACTGAAAAAGGTATTCGCCCGATCTCGCCAGGTTGGAATAACAGCGTGGAGACCGGCAAGGAACAAAACGCGCGGCCAGGGATGACTTTCCCCGGCAGCGGGCTTTTTCGACAGACTTTAAGCCCTCGTAAAAAAAACTCCTTATCTCCCAGCCGCTCTCGTAAAATCTAACAGGCCTTTACGAGCCTCGCGTGACTTTAACTGCTAGGCGGACCGGAGGAAAATCGCCTGGTCGATTAAGTATAAAAAATCTACTTAGGTAGTTAAACCCGAGAAGTCTAGTCGGGGAACGTCAGTGGACATTAGGAATTAGCTGGTAATTTATGAGTGGCAGGGTTCGCCCTCTTGGAGTTGGAAAGCTATTCATTTGTACAGCTCGTGCCCACATCCGCACGGCGCCCTAGTTGATGGGCGAATGCCGGAATTGGCGCCGCGGTCTCCAATATATACCTGACCTTCCACTCGAGTTGCGCGAGCCCCCACCAGAAATGGGTGGCGCCACCATTGAGGGGTAAGAGGTGGCAAGTGCGTTAGCCGTCCGCGGCCTCCACCGGGGGCAGCACAGGTCGCGATTGCACGACCCTGCCCGTGAGCAATCTCCCAACTCATCTCTACGCTTTCCGCGTTGATCCCGTGTGCTTTCCGCGCACTTTCCGCGTGAATGGAAATTAGGCATTAGCCCTGTCAAAACAGTATGTTTTCAGACACGTGTCAGCTGTGGCGGCCACGTGACAGGCAATGACAAGTCATGAAACCTAACCTAGGAGGGAGTGTCTCTCTTTGTTCGCTTTCTATCAGTCGAGTGTCCCTGCGACGTTTTACTATTACCGTCCGGTAATTTAAGCCTGATTACACCCGGTCGCTGTGTCATAGCCTCGATAAACTGATGATTCGCATGTTAGGTTAGGATAGCATAATACCAAACCTAGTATCGGTGCATACAATCGAAGAAATTAGGAATATTCACGAATGAGCTAGCATTATGCCCAATGACGAGAATATGTCAGGCTCAAATGGGGAAGGCTCTTCAGCGGTGAGTAGAAGCCCTTTTCAGCTTCTGATTCCTCTTAGAAACTCCCCGAGTTGACTCGGAAGGCTCTTTGCCGTACTATTTGCATAACTCACCGACTGCTTCCTCTGCTTCCAGGAGACCGAGAGGACTCCGCTGCTGTCAGCCTTCCGCCCTGCCATGGTGGAGAAGAACATCGGGATATCGCAGCAGACCCTGGTGTCGAGTGTCGGGGATCGGGGAGCCCCTGCGAGCAAGGTTCCACAGTATGTGGCAGGCTTGGCATCCACCCTGGGTGCCTTGGCAGCCGGCATGGTGCTGGGTTGGACCTCTCCGGCAGGCAAGAATGGAGTGGATCTGGCGAAGGAGTACGACATACCGTTGACCATTACGGAGTTCTCCTGGATAGGAGCCTTCGCACCCCTGGGGGCAGCTGCGATCTGCGTGCCCATCGGCATCTTGACGGATGTGGTGGGCCGGAAGAACGCCATGCTGGGGCTGGTGGTCCCCTTCACCATTGGCTGGGCCCTCATCATCTGGGCGAACTCATTCGCCATGTTTTGCATAGGCAGGTTCATAACCGGACTGAGTGGCGGTGCGTTCTGCGTGACCGCTCCGATGTACACCGGGGAGATCGCGCAAAACGAGATCCGGGGATCCCTGGGGTCGTACTTCCAGCTGATGCTGACGGCCGGAATCCTCTGCAGCTACGTCCTGGGCACGGTGTTAAACATGTTCCAGCTGTCCATCGTCTCGGCGGTGGTGCCGCTCGTCTTCTTCGGGATCTTCTTCTTCATGCCAGAGACGCCTACGTATTACTTGAAGAAGGGCGACGAAGACGCAGCCCGGGCGAGCTTGGTGCGCCTCCGGGGTCCGCGGTACGACGTGGAGCCAGAACTCCAGGCCCAGCGGGAGTCGCTCGACGAGGCCGCCCGGAACGCCGTCTCCGTCTTCAAGGCTTTCCGCTCCAAGGCCGCCGTCAAGGGCCTGGTGGTAGCCTTCGGGCTGATGCTCTTCCAGCAGCTCAGCGGAGTCAATGCGATCATCTTCTACGCGGGCGACATCTTCCAGAAGGCCGAAGGCACCGACGACCCTGAAGTGGCGGACCGCTCGGCCATCATCGTCGGAGTCATGCAGGTGGTGGCGGTCTTCGTTAGCACCCTCATCGTTGATCGGCTAGGTCGCCGACTGCTCCTCCTCGTCTCCTCCGTGGCCATGTGCCTGGCCACCCTGGTCCTCGGCGTCTACTTCTACCTGAGCAGCTCCGGCCAGAACATCGACAACATCCGTTGGCTTCCTCTCGTCTCCGTCTGCGGCTTCATCATCCTCTTCTCCCTCGGGTTCGGACCCATACCCTGGATGATGATGGGTGAGCTCTTCGCCTCGAACATCAAGGGCATCGCCGGGAGCAGCGCCTGCCTCTTCAACTGGCTCATCGCCTTCATCGTCACCAAATTCTACTCCGACCTGGAGAATGCCCTCGGGGCGCACGTCACCTTCTGGATATTCAGCGGGGTCTGCGCCTTAGGAACCGCCTTCGTCTTCCTCCAGGTCCCGGAGACCAAGGGCAAGACCCTCGACGAGATCCAGATCGAGCTAGGGGCCGCTCCTCCGGCTAGATCCTCCAGGACGAACCCTGAAGGGCCTGCCAAGGCGTGAGGGATCTTCACCCTGGACCGTTTCCTCGACCCGGGCTCTTCGTCCTGGCCCTCTGGGAACCCTCCCAGGGTTCGCCAGGACTCCCTCTACCCTGAGAATTCTCTTGCCTTCGAGAGGTCCGCACCTGCGGCTCGAGATCCTATCTCCAAGACTGATGCGCTTGCGGTTTAAAACCTTCGCGTGTATTATTTAGGATAAGATAAGCACCTTAAGGCGATATCAAAGTGACATCCTTAGATTAATCGTCCATGAAATTACACTTTTCTCCTAACTGAATGTACCGAATCGTTTGAAATTTTACCACGTGGTCATGAACACCCTAAGGAAGGTCCCGACACCAGTTTGGAAAGTTTCATAAGCGAGAGCTCTGAGATGCCGCTTTTATATCGCGTTAAGTGTAATTGTACTTATATGTAAATAAATTATTGACCCTATCACCGATTTATTCTTCAGGGCGCGTTCGGCCCCGATATAATCCTGACTTCGTCGCCAAATCCAGGTAGAGGTCCGTCAGCGGAATGATTTATTTTAAGTACGTCCTTGATCTGTTTTCCGTACTCCTCGTGGGGTATGAGATGGAATCATCGTCATTTTATCACAGATGATAAACACCCAGGGGATGGACAAGCCGATGTTACCACGTCTCCTACGTCGCCAACTCCGGGAACAGACTAGCTAGTAACTGATCCAGCAGGACGTAGGCTAGGTGCTTGTTCAGGGGGGCGTTCTGCAGCGGGTCCAGGAGGGAGTCCATGAGACTGCACCAGGTGGACCGTAGGCCCACCATCCACCAGGGGATCAGGTCGTGGAGGCCCTGTTTAGCAGCCTGACGTTTGTCCTCGTCGACGTGGGAGGACGGATCCTTCCCGGTGGTAGAGTCCAGGTCGAATATACTGGAGTACAGGAGCTTCACCACGAGTGCCGCTCGTCCTCCGCTCAGCAGCTTCACCAGGGTGTCGTACAGCAGCCGGTTCGCCATGGGGTCGACGTTGCGGCGGGCCAGGGTGGCGACGAGCCAGAGCACCCTCGACACCGGCGGCGAGACGTTCAGCAGGGTGTCAGCTGTTGGCAGGTTAATCGTCAATTAGCTTAACCAGAGTTACGAGTAACCGGCGGATTAACATTAAGGCGAAGCGAAACCCGTGGAAAGTGTCAGAACCTAGTGGTTTTAAATCCCCTAGAATTAACATTCGAGCAATATAACTAGTAACATATCCCCTAGATTTTTAATCAGTTCAGTGGAATTCCCTTAAAAAAAAAAATGAAACACTCGAATCGACCGGACCGAGTCGGGTCTCGCATCGCCTCCAGGAGGTCCCTCGTGACTCACCAGCCTCCACGGCGCAGTAGGAGGCCCCTGTGACGTGCTGCCTCCTGGACGCGACGTAAGGGAAATCCTGGATGCGGGGGTTCAGGTTCAGATTGTTCCCAAAGGGGCTCTGGGCGATTAGATCCGGTCCCTTCCTGACAGGCTCGTGGAATCTGTGCTCGCTCATCTCCACGGCCAGGTCGGCGTGCTCGGACTTTACGCAGGTCGAGGCCAAGAAGACGCTCATGAACTTGTCTAGGTGTTGGCCACGCTCCTTCCTCAGCCTGTGAGCCATGCTCTGGTAGAGGACGCCGATGTCAGGCGCGCTGTAGTTGGTCAGGTAGGGCTTCAAGTTGGGGGCCGTCAGGAAGCCGTAGAGGAGCTCGCTGCTTCTCAGAGTGGGCTTCGAGAGGAGCCTCTGGAGGAAGTCTTGGTACCGTTGCCGGTTCGCCGCCAGCGAGGGGTGTTGGTTCTTCCTGGTGGGCAAGGGCGAGTCATTCAGCTCCTTGTCGCCGTGGAACTCGGCGAGACGAGCCCTCAGGGCGTAGAAGTCGGAGTCGCGGCGAAGGACCGTCCAGAACTTCTCCTCGGCGGCCCCGTGGACGGCCACGGTATACAGAGGCTGAGCGCCACCCCCGTCCACGTGGGGTACCGTCACGCGCCAGGTCGTCAGGTCGCGGCCACCCCTGTCCGAAACCGCTTCGCTGTACACCCTGGAGGAGCAGTCCACCTCCTCTGCCTGGTAGATGCGTTGGCTCTGAAAAGGTGCCCCGTCGACCGCCGAGGCTCGCAGCGCTCCCCGGATTTTCCCCAGCTGACTGCTCAGGCGAGCTCCGACCCCGGCGCCGCTGCTCGAGCTGGAGACACCAAGACATCTCCTGACTCCTTCACCTCAGGGGATCCCCTTCATTAAGAGGATGTGAAAGGGGCATCCGAAAGCTCAATCGTTCGTGAAACTGAATGTACCGAATCGAGACTTTTTTAACGCTACACTTTCATATCACCTTAACGCACTTACCTGCTCTGCGTAGACGACCTCGAGTGCATGCTCGTCGGCTGTTGTCCGCATAGGAGCTTGTACAGCTGAAAGTACATTGATAGTTAGTCGATAGACTATCTCCAAATTCAACCAGTGTCTCTTAAACGACGCTTCGCATATTTTCTGCGTGTATGTAATTTTTACGTTACGTCATTTTAAATGATTATTTTTATTACCTCGTAACTATGATGGAATGAAGGTAAACACGTTGCCTCCAATAAAGCGTGGGCTTCTTGATGGGCTTGATAAAGCGGTCTTGAGGTCCTCAGCTCCTGGACCTTCTCGGGTCCACCAGCCAAGACTATCGATTCGATGGGAATTTATTATACTTGTCTTTACTTGCAGCATGTCGTAGCCCTAAATTATCAGAAAGTTAAATGCTAACCGCTTTCCATTCCTTTCGATATATATAACGGTAAGTGCAGATAGTCCGGGGCTTCAGGGTTGAGGTACGTGGAGTATATATTTTGAGCATCGATGTACAAGCTTTCCTCGATGTCTGGAGTCATCTCAGGATTCAGCATTCGTTTACTGAGGTCATCTAAAAAAAGAACTGCAAATTATATCAGGTTTTAAACAAGGTGTAATTTTGACCAGAAAGTTGCGTACCGATGTCTAAGCAGAATTGTAGTAATCGTACAGGTCCAGACTTCTTGATGTGTTGCATGAATAAGTAGAGCAACTGCGCATTGTTCAGTACTTCTTCGAGAGACGGCTTCAGAGGATCAGGTGCAGACTGGACTATGGATAGAGGAGTGGCCCAGGAATGTAGCATCGGAACGCACATCGAATCAGCTGTTTGAGACAATACACCGTTGTGTCTAGTCGACAGAATAATCAGAGTATTGATATTGTCAGGATTGGCAAGGGCATCGATCGCTGGGAGCAAGACCCAGTTAGCCAAAACTTCGCGAAGAATTACCTGTAATCGTATGACATATGTAACAATCCTCTTTGCAATAAAATACATCTATATAAAACTAAACCTACCCTGTTATTTGTAGAGATATGAGTGGCAGGCAATAAGTGTGGCATTAAGGCCATTATCAATCCACGAAGATAGTTTAACTCTGCACTGCGTGAATATGCAGCAGGATGCACTTTCGGACCCAAATAATCAGTGACGTAATCCTCTGGATTTCCACCTTGTTCTTTAGCCCGCCGAGATAAGATTCGCCAGTCTTGAGCATGGTGCAGAGCAATAGGAATTAAATTATTAAAAATTATGGCTGGAACATTAGCTCTTAATAATCTATCCGCGATGTTCCTTGTAGCAGTTGCGATAGCTATTTTGAGCTGCTGAACGAAAGCATCATCCGATGAAAAATTTGAATACCATGCACAGACGTACGTCTGCAATAACTGCTCCAGTAACTGTGAAAAAAATAAAAACAAAGTAAGGGATCTCATGAAGTATTTCTTTTGTAACACAGTATATGCCAAAGAAAGTACATTTTCTAACGCAGCATCAAAATCCTTCGGCACTCGGACTTGAGTCGAATGTAACGACGGTCGATGCCTCTTACAGGCGTCGCCACCACAGACTCCACATGACTCTTCGGCATTGCCCTGTACCACAGATTTCTTCTGTATAGTCTTCAAGTTTGCGCCAACAAAACACAAAAGTTGCATGCCCTGAACAGCAGTGATGACGTACAACGAAAACAGTAACAAAATCCACATAGAACTGGAACGATAGAGAACCATAACCTTTATTCGTTTGAATGGATGTATCAATTCAATCGTCCGGATAACAATTATAAGTTTATTATCTTTAATTAGTGGGACAGTAAACATGGCAAATAAAGTAAACTAACCTATTAAATGCAGCCGCAAGCACGATGATCGTAATCACCGTGAATGTCAGTGACAACTCGACCGCGTCGCCTATTAAGAACATCATCTTCGAGGAAGTCGAAGTGCTAAAACTCTAAACTTTTCACCGCAATAAGTCATTCGCACAATTATTATAAACAGAATTATTCCCGGCAAAAAAGTCTATTTCAATTTATCTATAACTGACAGCGTAATTAAATCGAGTTTCATCCATGAAAGATGAATTGAGAGATGGCTTACTCATCGATTCTTGCTCTGTGGCATACTAGTCGGACTAAACTCAGAGCATCTCTGTTCCGAGATATAAAATGTTGAGAGAGTCATCTCGCGGACTGATCGCGAAGTTACTTTGCATCGCTTTTCGCCCCATTCAAGCCACAGACAAATTCTAGCTGTTATATTCTACTCGGTCGAAGCTTCGATTATAAACGTGCTGGCCGAAAAGTGTTCGGGGTCTGATCTCCCCTCGATTTCGGGAAATTAATTATTGTTCGTTGATCTCGAGGACTATGGAGGACGATGGCGATCCAGTAGTCAAAGAGGTTAGTAAAACAATCGCTGTTCACACGTGGTTTTCGCGGAGTTTGGAAAACGTGGTGGTTTTAGAGGTTAGGTATGGAGTAGAGGCATTGCTGATTATTCATAATCGCTATTTTGAACGTATAGCGTTTTTAAAAAAGTTCTAATCGAGGTCTCGATGAAGTCGAAGAGGTGTTTTAGGGGTTAGGGTTTTGTTAGAATCTGGATTTAGAATTGACTTTAAACCTCTTTCAGATACCAGTACTTTTATCGAAGACGCTAGCTGACAAACTCTTCATTTTCCAATACCCGGTCCGACCTGTGAGGGATGGGTACGACAATGCAACGTTCTTAAAAAGTGCAATTAAACTGGAGAACCAGGAAGTCTGTCTCGAGCTGTCTCTGGATACAAGAAGCGTCAACTACGATCGTAGCAAAGGAGAGCAGATTACGTTGAATGTTGATGGAGGGTCGAGGAGCGACCGGGAGGGAGAAGAGCCCATGTTCGACAGGTTCTGATGATTTTCAATTCATCTCTTATTTTTTTTATTAGAATCGTTCTGATGAATTTCATATTTTAGCCAATTCATGGACAAAATTTCTTTGCACTCGTCCCGGGCGATACCAGATTGCTCCAATTATGCCGTGGGAGTATTTCAGGATGACGAATTCCATGTTACTCCACTAAAAGGAATCATCCAGCTTCGTCCACAGTTTACTTATCTCGATAAAAGTGACAAACGAGCCAAAGAAGAGGCCAAGATCATGGGAGAAGGTATTAGCCGATTCAGAGATTAAAATTAAATCAGAGTTATCGCCAAAGCAGGAATTTATACAACTTGGTTGCTGATTTAATGAACATTTTATATCGTATAGAAACTGTCGACGAGGAGGACAACGTGACGCAGGTTAACGTCACGTTTGCAAGGCAGAAACCTGAGTTTTTGAAAAAGATGCGAGAACAATCTTTCCAGCATCATGCCAAGAAAAGTTCAGAAGAGCCATGGATTCAGACAAATTATATTTCCGCATCAAGTCCTCAAGCTGAGGTCAGTAGTTGAAATAATAATTTTTCATTCTAAACATTCTCATTTATACTCCCACTTAAACTATGTCATTTATCTTCACTTTATTTACAGTTAACCCGGCTAGAAATGTTCTCTGCATCTACTGATGAGTCGGTGAATGGACTTAACCTTAAAAGTCAGCAATATCTCGGACTCTTGGCTCCACCAATGAAAGAAGAGCAATACTCGAAAGCAAACATTCCTTATCATGGAACGTCTCTCAGTTACATACGTATGCTGCCGTTGCTTGATCAAGTTCGCATTTTAATGAAGGATGGTACGTTAAAGATTAAATTTCAGGATCATCTGTAGAGGTGATAATAACACCAAGTATTAAGTAACATTTAATCTTGCAGCCAAAGTGATGTCATTTACCCAATTAAGGTCATTGCTGTCACCCGATCAAGAAACCTCCTCGATATTAAAATACCTGCAACAAGTTGCTGTTCTGGTGCAAGGGAACTGGGTCGTAAACAGTGAACTGATTTATCAGAAGGATACCATCTCATCGCACAGTGGAATACCTTCGGAGCTAATGTGCAGGGCAAGGGATTACGTGGTAATTGAAGCGAAAAGGCTGATCACTTGTTTAGAGTATTTATAATCCAGTGAATAAGATGATTTAATCTCTGTAATTAATTCCAGCTCTTGTCATTCACTGAGAACGAGTACATCGACCGAAGAGCGATTTCTTCCATAATTAAATTGCCTGCCGAAGAAATCAGGGAAATATTCACAAACCTAGCGAAGCACCAGCCAAAGAAAGGTTGGCAGTTAATTCTTCCATCGAGCAAAGAATTCAGCGAAAGGTAAATGATATGTTAGGTTATGCACAGAAATACTTTGAGGGAAGTTACATATTAATCCAAATCATAGGTATCCAGAGATAGCTCAACGTCAAGAGATGTTTTGGGAGGCGAAGAGAAAACACCTGAGAGAAGCGATGGGGACCCAAAGCCAAGTTCCACAGCGACAAAGAAGAAAGTCCAACAGGGAGTCGATCGGATCCGAGAACGAGGAGAGGAACATTGGCCGGGGCAGAAAAAGTCTGAGAGAATCTTCGGTGTCCGATAATGACAGTGCCACGGAGGGTGCCGTTAAACACAAGAAAGTCAACCGATCCAGAAAGATTTCGGAAACCACGTGACGATAGCTTGACAAAATGAGGTTATGGTGAAATTCCAATTGCCTGTAGAGAGTCTTCGGTAGCCAATTTAAGAGCTGCGAACCAGTCTCGAGGAAGCTATCGAACGACTTCTTTCATCGGAGCTTGAAATGTTATAGGGTATTTCAGAGGATTGTATTTTTCATGCTCGCGAAACTATTGGTTCATGGACATGGTGTGACACGTTACGAGGACATTATTAATCAAGCCTCCCGATTGGTATTCCATGTCCGAAGCATGAAGAGAGCTGTTCAGTGTCTTGATATGGGATTTCTCATCCCAGCCTGGCGTTTTGCATTCTTTTTTATATAACTGGTAACGTTTCCCTGCATCGAAAGCTACTTTTGGCAATCGTGTCTAATTAAGTTGACCATTCGAGGGGTCGAGTGGTATGATATTTATTTTTTTTTTGTGAAGTTAGGAAAGACAAGGAGAGATTCTTTTGGGTCTTAGAGCGAATTCGTTTCCTAGGGTGTAAGGGAGCATCGCCCGGGACCGACCATGTAAATTAAGTTTCGTATTATTCTTACGTACGTATTTATTATGCTAACAATTTATATCGTGTAAACTGTACATACTGAGAGGGAGGGAAACTGATATTCAGTTGGCAAGCCCTTGTTTCAATAAAGGAAAGGGCCGGTGGAGTCAGGCCGCGATTCGTGCAAGACTCATCCTACACATTTATTCCATTGAGAAATTTATTCTCATAGGTAGTTTATTTATATCCGAAAATCGTTTAGCAATGCGTAGGGGCGATCTCGGTCTTGAGGATGTCGGTTTGCTCGAGATTTTTCGGTGGTCATTGTGACACTGAACAAAAAAGAAATCCTCATTTTAAGGTCTTAGTAGCTGTTAGGTGTTCTTCCAGACGGCTTTCGGGTTCCCCAGGGATTCTTGGATTTCCTGGAGGGTCTTCCCCTTGGTCTCGGGGACGAAGAAGTAGGTGAACGGGACGGTCATGAAGACACCCAGGCCGTAGGTCCAGAAGACGTATCTCTCTCCCACAAGGTCCACAAAGGGTTGATAAGTCTTCGTTGACAAGAAAGCCATGACAGCGGAGGTGGAGCTGGTGCCAAAGGCTGCCAAAGTCTTGACATTCGGGGGGAAGAGCTCCCCGGAGAGGGCACTGGGAACTGGGACCAGTCCATAACAGGAGAAGACGTTGAAGGCCACCTGTGTCGCGAAGAAGAGATAAAAAGACACCTTGAAGAGGAGCCTGAGCAGATATTGAAGTAGAAACCATGGACGCGATCAACCAAAGAATATTGTCATAAACAATTATTTAGTTGTCCACGTAATGACCATATTCTATGGTTGGACCAATAAAAATCATATCGATTCAATTGAATGTTTTCCCACGTGCAGAAACTCACCAGTGCAGTTATGGGGAACCATGAGAGGTCCCGTCCTTGGAAGCTCCCTGAAGAGAGGAAGTGGAAATGCACCCCCAGCATTATCAGTGCCAAGGAGGTCCCAAGGCTGGAGGTGATAAGCAGCGACCTTCTGCCGAACCTGTCGACGAGGAGCGTGGCGGTGGTTCCGGCCAGGATGGTCGAAATCCCCAGGCCTATCACGACGGTGCTGGGTGTCAAGGACACCTCGCTTTTGGTCACGATGATCTCTGCGTAGAGGATCAACGTGTTCCGGCCGCTCAAGTAGAAGAAGAAGTTAAGGAAGAACATTACGAAGGCGGCCTTGAGGATCCCAGGGTGGCGGAACTCCTTGATCCTCTCAAGGAGACTCATCTTTGGACCTCTGATGAAGTCCTGGAGCTCCTGGACCTCTTTTTTAACGTCGGCTTCTCTACGGTACCACTGCAGGGCCTTTTCGGCCTTCTCGAGCTCGTCGTTCCTCACGTGGTCGTGGGGCGAGTCCGGGATCAACAGGAAGAGCACCACGAAGAGCAGGTTGGGCAGCAACCCCACGTAGGCGAAGAGCTCCATGCTTAGGAACGGACCCAGGACGTTCCCCAGGACCGAGCCGATGGAGTTGACGTTCACGTTCAAGGATATCTGCGAGCGGATTAATTATTATTAAGCTATGGTCTGAAATTCTGGTTATTTTAACCGGGATTATTATTTTTATTGGGACCTTACCAGGGCTCCGCGAATACCTGGGTCTGCTATTTCCCCCAGGAAGAGGGCCAGGGATGACCAGATCATCCCTGCGGCGATTCCGCTGCAGAATCTCGCCGCGTAGAGCCAATGCACCGAGTTGGCCACGATGACGAAGACCCAGCTGAAGGCTAAGGGGAAGCCGCTGATTTGGAGGGTTTTCTTCCGGCCGATGAGTTCTGAATAAGATTAAAATGGTGTTAAAGTGACTTTTGAGGTCCCTGTTAAAATAACCAGAATTCTGATTTTTTTTTCATTCTTTCCTTCAGTGTAGCCATTTCAAGCGACCAAGCACTCACCTTGGCAAGCCACCCCGACGAAGGCCCCGAAGACGCGGCCGAGGTTCATGAGGGAGGCGACCCAGGAGGCCTGGGACTCGTTCATCCGGATGGGGCCCTCCGAGTCCGGCGAGGTCAGCTGGGCCAGATAGGGCGAGGCCCAGCCGTTCATGAAGCCGGTGTCCACCAGGGCCAGGGTCGCTGTCCAAAACGCGTTACCCCAGGGCCAGAACCGAATGGATCTCGGATCTCGGCGCCGCTTTGGCTTTCATGGTACTTACCGATGGTCCCGGCCACCCACTGAGGCCATTGGGTCAGGGTGCCCTTATCGGTCCCCGCCATCTTCGGGGTCGACATTCTACCTTGTTATCTCGAAGCCGCCTCTTCCGCGGGGAGGCGCCGCTCTTCGTGGACCCCCGAGTCCACCCTGGTCCCCAGGCTCATGCTAGACCCACCGAGGCCTCCTGCAAGTCGTAATTGTCAATTAATAATATTAATTATTATATATATATTTTTTTTTTGCTTCAATGAATTTTTGTTTTCTCAGTTTAGGGGTGTGGTTTCCTCGGTGCGGTAAAGTCGTACTTCAAAAGGTATTATTAGTTGTCTGGTGAGGTATGGACAAGGATGCACCACCTCCTTGTTCGAATGCTTTCCTCCCAGGTTCCTGACGAGTCGATTGGTCGACAACGAGAGACTGATCGAGAACTCGAAGAGCCTCCGCATTTTCCCTAGACGAATCGTTATTAAGGAGAGGTGTTTACCACAAGCCAGGTCGGCTATCCAGGGTGTCGGTTCTGTTTGTCGAGGCACCTGGTGATCGGCTATAAATCGTCGTTATCGCGGTCTTCGGGATCGCGTGATAGGCGGATTTTTCGCCGAGAAGTCGCGCTTCGACGCCCGGAGGAGAAGAAAAAAAAAAAAAGAGAGAGATCCGCTCTTTGTTTGCCCCGAAAACCACACGCAAGTGGAGCATGACTCTTTTTGTCCCCTCTGCATCCTATTATTTAAACATTTGCATACTGGCTCGATGGCCTTATCATTCACGGATTGACGGACATTCTTGGGATGTATGAATTCCCCGTGGGAATTGACAGTCTCAGATCATTACTCTGATCTATGATGCCTTTTTTTAAATCGCAGAATTTATTTCGCCACGATTTTCATTTTTTTTTCGGCGCATCCTCGAAATCTAATTATTCTCTTGATATTTTTTTAAAGGCGGCGAAAAGGAGATTAGATAATCCCTTTTGTTTTATCTATTTCGGTTATGGTTTCATAATCGGATATTTTATAGTCAGACATTCAGTAGTCAGATATTTCATCGCCAGACATTTCACGCTTAGACATTTCATGATCAGACATTTCATCGACAGATATTTCGTAACTAGGCACTTCATCGTAAAAATAATGAAGAGTGAGAAAGTTCTGTTTTTTTTTTTCCAGTTCTGTCTTCTGTAGTCAGATCAAGTTGCTGACGAAAGTTGCAGACTACATTTTAGTTTTCCTTGACGGTCGCATGTTTCCTGCCTTTCGATAAGTTACGTGACAATCATCTGCAATTTCCTTCAGGGTCTTCGGAAATGATCCCGTGGCAGATTTAAGATTCCTTAACGGTGGTTTCAGACAATTTCAGAATTACAGAAAAATGCCGGACCTGGAGGAGCAGACGCGACTTCCGAGCGAGGTGAAGACAAGGAGTCCCTTAAACGTCGTGGTGGAAAAGATAGAGAATACTCGAGCTTTGGTCCACGGAGATCTGAGGTTATCTTTCATGATAATAATCTCATAATATCACTACTGATTGTTTAATGATTTAGTCGAGAGAGTCTGAAGGACTTGCTGACGTCTTCGACCAGTCTGAGAGAGAATGAAAACGAGATTGGCGAAAAGGATGAGACAGATCCTGAGAAAGCAGGTCAAGGATCCAGGTCTAAGGTCAAAATGCCGAAAGGAGAAGGTCTGAAAGAGTTCCCGAGGTCCGAAAGTGGAAATCTGACTTCTGCGAAAAAGATGCTGGAGAAAATCGTCGAATATGTGGAGGTCGACGACGAGGAACCTCATCTGGCGAAGAGAAAAAGTCGAATAGAAAGTTGATTTTAGATATAGGATGTATGGTGTCTGAAAACGCGATCATTTTATCATTTTTTGGCACTTCATAGGCAGACCAGCGTCTCATACCAATACATCCTATATCTACTTGAATCAACTCATTTGGAAATCCCCAACATCGATCCCATATTCTGCAGGTGATATCGAGAAGATCGATTTCCCCGAGGCGAAGGGAGTTGTCGAAGAGGAAGACGGTGGCCAGGAGGTTGCGAGGAAAGAGAAGAGGAGATTATCCTTGAGCACAGGGCCCGGGAAAGGGCCGAAAAGTTCGGATCCGAGAAAAGCCGAGAGAGCTGGCAGGATTCGCGAGAGCGAAGTCTCGAAGATCAACTACGTGAAACTCTGCGAGCCCGACTGGGAGGCTGCGATGTACACCGACGATGATTTCGCTGAGCTCCCAGACCTCGACTCCGATTTCGACGACGACGTGGAAGACAGAGACGTCTTCGAGTGCGTGAGGAGGAGCGACGTCGAGCCGACTTTGTCCTTCGATGGCCAATGGCTTGGGCGACACATGAAAAGACCCTTGGTTCTCGCCATGAGCGAGATCGCCGCAAAAAAGCCTCGAAACCCCGTGCAATATCTTGCCTTTTGGCTCTTCAAGTACAGGAACTCGCAGGAGGAGGCTCGTAAGAGGCAGGAAATGGAGGAGGAACTCGCGGGTCTGAAAGCGCAGCTCGACCACGTGGTGAGAAACGTCAGAGTCAGCTGATCGACCGATCAGCTGATTCCGACAACGCGCGCGCGGAGCATGGATTGCAATCTTGTTATCTCTCTCTTTCTCTTACTTGCGGTTCATCATTTCGTTATACGTGTTGTTCTACTCTTTATTGTCACGGTCTCATTTTTTTACTCCTCGTTTTGTCGTTTTTCCCGTTTCACCCTGTAAGGGGTAATTTTTTTTTTCAGGAGCCGGTAGAAGAAGTGGAGGTAAATTCGTCGACCTCCGCCGAGGAGGAGGAAGGAGAAGGTGGTGTCTCCAAGGATTGGAACTTCCAGGCGTACGAGTCCAAAGTGCAAGGATAACTACTGTACACCTCTTGCTGAAATTTATTTATTTATTATTACATTACTTATACATGTTCTCTTTCCCAATTCTACTTTTGTCATGATCAGACATTTCACGGTCATACATGCCATAATCAGATATTTCGTAATTAAGACATTTCCTGTTAAAAAAAAAAAAAAACGAAAACAGTCATTCCGTTCTCCTTCTTTCAATCCTACCTTCGTGGCCAGAGTAGCATGCGGAGTTCATCCACCCTACGGTCCATGCTGTGTATACGGAAGTGAGGGTCGGTAAGCGACATCGCGGTTGTCGAATCCGCCACTAGACGGCAAAACTATCGATTCGCGAACCCTCCACGGAGTTTCGCGCGCCTGCGCGTCGTCATTGTCCGAGGGTCCGTCGAGGTGACGCAAAGCGGGAAGAAAAAGAAACCGAAACATCGGGAAACGAGTCGTCTGTATTGACAATGCGTCCCTAGAAGCAGGTTCGGAATTCGCCCGAGGTCCTTTTTCATCTCCTCTCCGTGTAATTCGCGCATTTCATCGGAAGCCTCGGAAAGAAGACGGGGAGGGAAAAGCAAGATGGCGGCGCCCACTCAAGGGCAAGTCAGGTGGCGCGTCGGTCGACGACTCACCCCTCACCCCCGACGAGGGAAACGCGCCCTATAGGGCGACAGTTTACCCGAGACTCGCGTGCCGACCAGTCCTCGTGTTATTTTTCCTCCCAAAGCCCGAATTCGGTTCCCCGGGGAGCCGGAAATTCCCTCGCGAGTGACTCTTTACGCGGGGGACTGCAAAATCCAAAATGGCGGCGTCCTACCCGTGATCGATCGACCCGCGCGGAAGAAATCTCACCACAGACTCTCAAAGTGCATCTCCCCGAGGATTATCTCTCCATTTCGTGGATACTCCAAGCTAGAAGCCATTAAAACCATTGAAACGATCTCGCAACTCAACAGGAGCAGATCGCCACGCGCGAGGGTGTCGCTCTTCAAGATGGCGGCGCGCAGGTCGACAAGATGGCAGCGTGCTCGTCAACAAAGGCAGTCAAGGGTCCCGTTGTATTAATGTTTACATCCTAAGAAGACTCATCGGGTGGACAGTGTAATACGTGCCGTCGAGGAGGACAGGGTCAATAGGGAATAAGCGAGTTGCCAAGAATCCATCCGAAACGAAAAGGCATCCAAGATGGCGTCGATTCCCGTGCCTCGCGGCAGGTGTCGCGTCGGTCGGCGCGACCTGTCGGCCCAGCCTGCAGCCCTCTCGCGGGGGAAGAGCGCGGAGTAGCGCGACAGGCGAGTCGCGCGGGGAGAGGAACGTCGCTTGGCCGCGTCCGGGCCTCGGATCCTAACCTCTGGAGGCGAGAGTCGAGACCCTCCCCAGTGGGCGCGAGATCTCCGGGAGTACCCGTGCGGTGTTGCCGAGTGTGCTGGTCGAGCGGTCGCGGATGCGGGCGCGTCGCCTCGAGAGAGGTCGGGTGGTCGAGTCGAGGGCGGCCCATCGGGGCAGTCGCGCGGCGGCCGGCCCCGAGTGAGTACGGGCCCCGGGGGAGCAGCGGGGGAGTGCAGGTGAGTCGCCGCTGCCGCGGCGGGTCCGGGCCCTCCCGGGCCTCGGGAGTGCCGCCGAGGCGGACGGCCGCCATCTTGGGTGCGCGCGCGCGAGCGAGCGAGACGGCGCGATCGGCGGGCCCGCTGTGCGAGAGAGACCGACCGAGGAAGCCAGGAGGTCCTGCGACGTGGAGGCGTCCTCCCCAGAAGAGGCCCCGAGGAGGAGAACCTCCGCCGAGTGGAGGGTGTGGTAAGAAGGGTTAAGGACGACGTGGAGACTGGGTGGTGACGATCTTATTAACGGCCCTTCAGCCGCGCGGAGGCTGCACCGCGTCCTCTCGAGGGCGGCCGCCTGCCATCTCGGTATCTGGGTCGCAGCCGGGCGAAAGTATGGCGCCGCAGGTGGAGGCGATGGACCGGCCGAGGGCAGGTGTGGTCGGGACGTGAGGAGCCTCACCTGGGGAGAGGGCGGTGGATACCGGAACCGGAGTTGGGAGTCCCGTTTCTCGGCTTCGTCCTTGTTATGGACGAGCCCGGAAGAGGATGTGAAGGACCGGGACGACCCTGACCCCCGGAATCTCGGCCGACGACGGGATGGACCAGTGGGGAATCTGCGGCATCCCTTCCGGCTAGTCGGGAACGAGGTCCTTCGCAGTCCCCGGGAGCTCCCGGTCGATGTGAAGGCCGCCTCTTGGGCGGAGGGGCACGCCGGAGTACCTCGAGGGCCATTAACCTCCTTTCGACGCCGCCATGCCAGGGTGAACCCTCCGGGGTTCACCTGCGGACCGCTCTCTCTCTCTCTCCCTCTGCACATGGGAAGACCCTCGCTGGTCGAGTGCGAGGCGAGGCGGACCTCGTGAAGAGTTGCCCTCTTCGTCATCCTCGGTATCATGTACCGCTGGGCCGAGGTCCCAGCTCGCTGCGTCCCGGTGGCGTGGAAGAATTCCAAGGACACCCTGATAAACACCCCGAAGAGTACTCTGGACGTCTCATTGTTCAACTTCCTCGGACGTGGATCCAAGATCACTCGGCTGAACTTCCCGAGGAACTTCGAGTGGGGTTTGCGGAGCGATCGCCAGTGAGGAGGGCTCGACCGACCTGGG